AACAGCGGACCTGGTTGGGAACTCCAACCAGTTCCACAGACATAACATAAAGTCTATCACAGATTCTGATGGGCCAGAATGTTTTACAACTTCATCTACAAAGAGAGGCTGCTGAAGCTATAAACTTCAGTCAAATGGCATTTCTGTGGAATTTCAGATAGCAGCCCAAAGAAAAAAAGCCCATTAAAATAATAGCAATAACACTTAGACTTATGTACTGCTTCATAGTGCTTTACAGCCCTCTCTAAGTGGTTTACAGAGTCAGCCTATTGCCCCCAACAGTTTGGGTCCTCATTTTACCACTTCAGAAGGAGGGAAGGCTGAGCCAACCTTGAGCCTGGTGAGATTTGAACTGCCAAATTGTAGACAGCTGGTAGTCAACAGAAGTAGCCTGCAGTACTGCACTCTAACCACTGTGCCACCGCAGCTCCTTGTTTTCACTATATTACATACTTCAGTAGGTTAAGTTACCTCTATATCCTGAAGTTCTAGTTCCTTTTAAACATCTTCTTGTGAAGAAACATTCAAAACATGGTTTTTCAGGTGGTTTTTCAGATGTCATCTATTATCAAGTACATTTATCTAACCTTCTTAGTTCATTTATTGAGATTGCTTGCTGTGCCAGTGGGTGCTTCCAAACAGTAAGAAGCTGGATGGTAATTCATGAGTTTAGTTAAAGTGGATTATCAACAGATTCTCATTTTGCAGGAAAAATGCAAAATAAACAGTAATGTCTGAACTGTATCCAAACAAGCACATTCTCAATAAATATCTGTGCCCAGAGGTGGTATTCAGCAGATTCTGACCAGTTCTGGAGAACCAGTAGCGGAAATTTTGAGTAGTTCGAAGAACCGGCAAATCCCACCTCTGACTGCCCCCCCCCCCCCATCTATTCTCTGCCTCCCGAGTCTCAGCTGTTCGGCTGGATCTTCTTTTGTTGCCCTGCACAGGAGAACGAAGGTGGAATTCAGGTTAGTGAGGTGGGGAGGGAATGGAGATTTTACAGTATCCTTTCCCTGACACACCCACCAAGCCATGCCCACCAAGCTACGCCCACAGAACCAGCCGTAAAAAAAATTGAATCCCACCACTGTCTGTGCCACAAAAGACATCAATGTTATGCTAATTTAATTGTTATAGTTGTCTTCCCCAAAGAGAGGCCTGATATTTTTTTCTTATTAAGATTCCATCATCTCTAACTGGTTGGGAATTGTGAGCCAGTTGGTAGTTGGAATGGTTGAAATTATCCAGAAGCATGAGCAAAGCTTCCTCTGCCTAGACAAGAATTTTATATGTTGGGGAGTAGAGAGTGAGTTTATGGACATCCAGAAAGGGGCAGTTTGCAACCGAGAACAGTGGAGTTTTCTTCGTATGCTGTAAAGAATGCTGGGAATTGGAGTTCTATCAATCGACTGACAATTCTGCATTAGATATCAGAGGCAGGCTGATATCTGCCATTGTGTAAGAAATAAAATAATGGGGCTGCATAGAATGTGTTAGTTTGGAAGGGATATAATCTCTATCCTCTCTCATTCACATTTTTGGATGAGCAATCGGCAGTTAATAATTGGACACTTTCAGAGAAGTAGCTGGTGCTCAGATACATAATTTAATATCTGCTAAGGGATAGGAGGGATTGTGCTCAGTTGTACCTGAGAGCATTTCCATTCCAGACATCCAGCTCAACATAACCATCCTTTTACCTTTTGGAGTAAATTATAATTCAATTCCAATATTCAGTTCAATCTCGAGTTCGATTCATGGATGTCAAGACATTTAGGGATGACCTTGGGGGAAAGTATGAAAGAACTGTTAAGAAGGAAGCTGCAACATCAAACATATATTACTTTCAGCCATGGGCCAGTCTAAAACTTGCAGAAAACTTTACACAATCTAGAAACTGAAGCAAGCATGAGAAAGATGCTTGATCAATGCCTTGATTTTGTTTAGTATAAGATGGGACAGAGAGAAAGACTTGGACAAGCTTTCAAAACAGATGCCTTTCAAGACAAACGCCACAGAAATTTCTGGCGTGCTCCTTTATTGGTGTAGAGTACAGTGCATCTTAAAATAAACAAAATCAAGGAGGCATTATTTGCGGTTTGTTTCTCATATTTCTTTGTACTGGGTAATCTTCCTGCATTTCCTTTACTGCAAAGCAATTTCTGAACTCTTTTACTCCGGATTCCACACATTCTTTCAAGATGTACTATCTTCTTTCTTTTTATGATTGAATCTTTACTGCTGTTTTACCTTATAAAAACATCCACCTTTTTGAGCAACACAAGAGGTTAAATCTCTTGTGTTGTGAATGTGCTGTTAAAAGGAGACATAATAGCAATAGCACTTAGACTTATATACTGCTTTATACCACTTTACAGCCCTCTCTAAGCGGTTTACAGAGTCAGCCTATTGCCCCCCACAATCTGGGTCCTCATTTTACCCACCTCGGAAGGATGGAAGGCTGGGTCAACCTTGAGCCTGGTGGGATTTGAACAGCCAATAGTCAGCAGAAGTGGCCTGCAGTACAGCACTCTAACCACTGCGCCTAGATAATACCAAGATCTTGTCTGCTAACTCATGTTAATTTAATTAACATGAACAGTATATATCGAAAGCTTCTTTTAGTTTCCTGAGCCAGACCAAATTTTTGATTGTGGTCTGTTGTGGGAACACAGTGGAAGAACATAAAACAATTATTGGATGCAATTAGGTCTTGTAGGCTGGGGAGAATGTAAAGAGACTATTTTGGTTGCTTGCTGTTTAAAAACTATGTTGTTTTCCATTAATGTCATCGTGCCTGGGGATCCAGTGGTGGAATGGAGCCTGTGAGTTGGTTATATTGATAGCAATTGTATTGATTGTACTCCCCCACAAATTAAGTTTTATGGTTTTAACTGTTTTAATTGGCTTTGCATTGCTTTTTATTTTTAATTGTTTATTGTTTTCTTATTTAACTCTGTGAGCTGCCCAGTCACAAATGTGAAATTGGGGGGGGGGGGTGCTACATAAATTAAACAAAGAAATAGTGTGAAGTTGCCTAGAGCCATTTTGGATTTGGGTAGCCTAGCAACTTGATAAACGAGTAAGAAGCACATCAGTGGTATAATTCTATCTACACTATACTCATCTAGCATGGCTCAAATATTTGTTCAGGATTCCAACATGAGGTGGAATTAGATGTTAAATGTTAGGTAATTATTTTTCTTAAACATTGCTGGCTTACTTTAGATGCTCTCTGAGCACAGGCTTCCAGCTGAAGCTCCTAAGTTTAATTATCTTGCCTGTTGGGGAGTTAAGCTCAAGTCTTCCACAATATCTTGCAACTACTCTGTTGATTTAATAAAGTGGGTTTTTTTTGCTATCCTACTGCCTGCTCACCCATAAAAACATTTCTAGCTGCACCATGCATAGCATTTGCAGTTGCTAAGGATTATTATCTTGAGCATCTAAAAAAGAAAAATTGCTGATACGTGATCTAACAACATTACCTCTTTTCTCTTTGTCATCAGCATCTAGAGCAAAGAACATGATGAAAACAGGAAGTATGGAATTAAATTTAATAGGGTTAGAAATATGTAGTTGTTTCCTTTTTCTCTCTAATACACCTTAACCAGATTTTGTGGTAACTCTTTTTTCAGTGTAGCACTATACATTACTAAAATTATTTTTTTAGGGCTTGAAAGTTATAAAATAAACATGTGGTCAGTTACTCTGGGAATCCGAAAACAATAAGTAACTGTTTATTCTTGCTTCCCTTTTAAATCTGCAGCTCAGTATTTTGCAAGCATCATGGTCATTGTTGGTTTATCTGTAGTAGTAACAGTCTTGGTTCTTCAGTTTCATCATCATGACCCTCAAGCAGGAAAGATGCCCCAGTGGGTAAGTGACCACTACAAATCAGCCTTCACAAACAGCGATTATCTTTTATATTTCATCACTTAGACGATGCTAGAAAGAACAAATGATATTAAGGATAGGATACTAATTCTTACTTCCTCTCCTCACATTGGTTTTTGCTGAGCCTGCAGGGTTTATGACTCACCAAGCAGGAAACCTTTCATTTTTTCTTTTGACCTTTTCAAGAAAAAGTATTTTTATTTCTTTTAGTATAGAGAAAAAGAAAAATAAGGAAAAGTGAATTTAGTGAATTAAACGAAAACAAGAATACAGAATAGTCTCTCTCTCACACACACAGACGTCTTACTCGCCCTTATGGGTGGTTTGTATTGTCCTCTACCAGACGTCTGGGAGTTTGAGGGTTCGTGCCATATCTTAGCTGTTCCTACTGCTGCACTTTGGTCAGAAAGCTCTAATGCTCTTCCTGGGATCTTTTGGAGCCACTCTTCCTGCTTAGATGTCACAGCCTCAAGGGTTCCTACCACCAATGGGACTAGTTTCATGTTTGTTTTCCTCATCCAGTCTAGTTCCTCCTTCAGACCCTGGTAGTTCTCCAGCTTCTGATACTTCTTCTTCCCCATGTTATGGTTATTTGGCACTGCTGCATCTACCACCAGTTCTTCTCCATGACCTTCTGTGGAATCTCCCATATGGACCTGTGAGGGTCTAGTTCAGGGGTCCCCAAGCGTGGCAACTTTAAGTCTTGTGGACTTCAACTCTCAGAATTCTGGGAGGTGAAGTCCACAAGTCTTAAAGTTGCCAAGTTTGGAGGCTTCTGGTCTAGTTCATACACTGTGCATTTCAGTTTGAATTTTTAAGTTTATAATCATGTGGACCCTGTTGCACAGTTACTTTCCATTTTGAAAATATTTTTAATTTACAGAATCAAAAGTAGCAAAAAAACCGTTCCCAACAAAAATCACATTTTGTATTAAGTAAAACATCAGATATACTAGCATAAGTCTTAGTTTCACCTGAACTTTGGCCCATTCCTTTAAAAATGGCCACCTAACCACAAGCCTTTGCTTCTGTTCTGCTAAAAGCATGCACCTCTGAATTCAGTTCAAATCTTTCTCACAACATGAGTGTCTTCATGTAGGGTTTTTTTTTTGTCCATTTACCTTCTTTTGAAATGTTTTCTTTTTTAGTCTACAGTTTTAAATATCCCGATGAATAATAACCAGACCTGACTCTGCTGTCAGCTTAAAGTAGTAAAAAGAAATGTTTTTCCTTAGTCTTGGCATTTCACGGTCATCAATAGCACCTTCTGAAGTTTCTGCTGTTTTTTTTTTCTTGTTTCCTCATGTATCTCTTTTTGGAATCATACATACGTATGGTATTGCACTTTTGCCCCTCCTCCACTGTAAAACTCCCTTCACATGTAAACACTCTAAAATGTAATTTTTAAACATTAAATATTCATCATCAGGAGCGTATTATTTCTTCCTTGTACTTATTAAAAAGGCTCAGTTGGTGTCTTGGTATCATAAAACATTGCATGGCAGAAGTGCTAATCTTATTCCTTTACATTTCTGCCACATAATACTCTGTGAGATCTGTTTGTTGCAAGAATCTGAGTAGCAGCTCCAAGATATGTTCTTTACATATTTACAACTGTTTTCCATCTTGCAGATATTTTCATAAAGTTCAAGAACTGTTTTGAGTAGTCTCAGTGGCAGAGATATTAGTTTATCTAAAAGCTACCCAACTAAATCCCATTAAAACAGAATTTGAGTTAGATACTTTGCTGAGTATTTTTCACTAAACAAATACAGGTAGTCCTCGGCTTACAACGATTTGTTTTAACTATGATTCAGAGTTACGAAGTCACTGAAAAGAAGTGACTAACGACCCATCTCAAAGTTGTGACGGTCATCCCACCCCCCCGTCACATGATCATGATTTTGGAGCCAACTCATTTATGACTGTTGCAGTGTCCTGTAGTCATGTGACTATGATTTGTGACCTTCTTCCCAGTCATCTCCCAACAAACAAAGTCATAACTCACTTAATGGCCCCAGGATTTGCTTAATGACCACAATAAAATGGTTATAAAAGTGAAATTGGTTACACAATGACTCATTTAATGACCTCATTGCATAGCAATCAAAATTTCTGTCCCAATTGTGGTCAGAAGTCAAGGACTACCTATACAGGAGCAATACTCTTTTCCAGTCTGAAGCTGGTTCAAAGTTCTTAAGGACTTTTCTGCTCAACAATTAGAGTAAAATAGGAAACGATAAGAGAAATAAATGAAAAAGTTTTGACTGGTTGTGTCAAAATAGCAGTTGGCCTTTTCCCATTCATTACATTTAGCAGGCTTAGCAATCGGTTTCAATCAAATTAAATTTCGTTGACTTCAATAAATGCAACTTTCCAGTGATTGGATTCTTGGCAAATGTTAATTTATTGGGAGCAATCAAATTCTTCCTAAAGCTACCAGTAAGCCTTATTATGAAGGATTATAGGTATCTTTAAGAAAGGATCTGTTTCTGCTGCAAGAATACAAAAGCGATTTTGTGAAAAAACCTGAGAAGCTTCCCCCCCCTCCCCCGATGAACAGCTTAAGGCTAGAGGAAGGGCTGGAGGAAGCAGATTAATTGAAAAATGATTTTGTCCAAGATCTTTGTAATGAGCTGTTATGCTTCATATAGCAATGTACCAAACGGCAATATCCTTTGTGAACCACGCTGCTCTCTTTTGTACAATCACTCACAAGGCCTCCATGAAGGGCACTGAGCGTTTCTGTCTTTTTCAGGTCCGTATCGTCTTGCTGAACTGGTGCGCTTGGTTTCTCCGAATGAAAAAACCAGGGGAGAACATCAGGCCTCTCTCTTGCAGATACAGCCACTCGAGGCACCAGTCCAGTGTCAGCAGTGTAGAAATGAACATCTTACCAGGACACCATTCTAGCAATGGCAACATGATCTACAGCTACCATGCCATAGAAAACCCCTGCTGCCCACAGAATAATGAGATAGACACCAAGGGCGGAAAGGACCAGAGCTCTTCGCCCGAAGATAACGACAGCACTCAGAGAAAAGTTTTAATGGACACTATCCCTGTGATTGTGAAAATCCTGGAGGAAGTTCAGTTCATTGCAGCCCGTTTCCGGAAACAGGATGAAGGGGAAGAGGTCTGCAGTGAATGGAAGTTTGCAGCTGCTGTCATAGACAGATTATGCCTTGTGGCATTTTCACTTTTTGCCATCATCTGCACGCTTACAATTCTCATGTCTGCTCCAAATTTTATTGAAGCTGTTACAAAAGATTTTACATAAGCCTCTCTAAAATGAATAGACGAATGCCCCAGTGTAATTGGAAATTACAAAATGATGCTATTAGTTTTGAAGAACAATGAGATTTCAAATGGAAGTAAGACTTTCTGTGCTGAATTCACTATTAAAACAAGAAGTCGGCATGTGTTTCAAATTCCAATTGTCTCCCCAGTGTTAGATATTCTAGATACAGAATTGGCTCTTGTTATTGTTATTTGTTTCAAATAGTGTCTTTCTTCCTATACTTGTGATCATAATCACCAATAATATTAGACAAGAAATCAGATACACAGCATACACTTTACCGAGTAAATAGAATCTATATGTGCTACTAGGAAACACTAGTGAACATGTTGCTGCATTGGTAAATTCTTCCTAGAAACCTGATCTTTGCTAAATGTATCATTTTCAATATTTTTGTTTGGCATTGTAGTTTAACACACATCTCATCTCCAGTAATGTATTGAATGATGCTGCTAGTTGCTGTTTGCCAAATAAATGGCAAGTTTTAGCTTTTATTATCACTGTGATAATCTGAAACATTTTCCACTTGATAACAATGTGAAGTCAATGCAATACTTTTTTCTAGTAAGTTAAAAATGTTTTCATTGTTGAATATTCTGTTTTTCTATTACATAAATTACGCCCTTTCCCTAACTTGAGTGCTGCGACTGCACCCTTATTATCTTTGTCTTTGAATTTATGTCTGAACATCTTAAATTACACCAACCTTCTTGATTTTAATTTTATTATAATTAATATATACCACAACCCAAAATGTGCATGGAATGCAACATGTTTCACTTATTATTGATAACTATTGATAGAAATTGGAGATCTAGTCAGATGAGTAAAATTAATGCACACCAAAGCAAGATTCAGTTTTTCTGCACTATGTTGCTTTGAATGGAATACACATCCCCTTCACTTCTAACTGCACATTAAAACCTGGTCATGACTCCTTGTAGTTTTTACCTTGTACAGAAAAAAAATACATATTTTTTTTTCTACAGAATAAAAAGATTCCAGAGTCTAAGAAACCTGTAAGATCACAGAAAGATGTTGTTAATCTAGCTTTTCCTCCATTGGACACCATGGTTAATGAATAAAGGAATTGTTCATTCTAAGTCACCAGGATTGAAATAGATAGTGATTTGCCAAATGCAAATAATCACACCGTACATTTAACTCACCCAAGATCACAATTTGTACTCTTGGAAGTGTACAATGTAAAATTTTCCAACTGTTTGCAAGCTGCCAAATTGTTATGATGATACCTTTCCTCAATAATTATTTCATGTGGAAGAAGAAATTGAGGAAGGACTTATAGATAAAACAGAATTGGCCAAGACCATTGGTTTTTTTTTTAAAGGATCATTTTTTATAATCAAATTGCATTTACAAGAAAATGAATTACTAAGAGTAAAAAGATAAGATTCACAATAAGTTAATTTGATACAAAACATGCACTTTTTGTAGACATTTTTTTAAACACCTGTATTACTGATGCAAAAATCTGTGTGATCTGCCAGTGAATACATGCAAAGGAATCGAGAGAAATGAAAAGTGAATATTGATTCCAATGTGTTGATAAAATGTAATGCACTTTAAAAAATGAAATTGAAGAGAAGTATGGCCTTCTGACAATGTGTTTATACAGGAATCTATTTCTAAAGGCATAACAGTGATGGAGTGTTACTGCTCCCCACCTGGAACAGAGTCTCAGCATGATGCCAAGGTTTGGTTAGTGGACAGAAACTCTACTCTGCTGATTATTCATTTAACTGGCAAAGTAATGCAGATCCTTTGGATATCCAATAGTCGGTTGGCCTTTTTGAAGGAAGCAAGACGGTAACCACAAAATTGGTAGAATGACCTAATTACAAAAAAGTAAGAAAAAATTGTTAGCGTTTCAAACTCATGTTCCTAAGTTGTCGCGCCCCCTCCCCAATACACACAAAACCCAGAATAAGATCTGGAATAAAGAAAACAGCAGAACATGCTAATTATATTTGGCTGAAAGAGGTGGGCAATCTTTGGGCATCGGTATGCTGCTGATGCTAAGCCATTGGCATGCATGTTGGCAAAAGTATACAGACATGGACAGAAAACCTCTGTTTCATCTTATTAGGAGGAGAGAACTATAAAGAAGGAGCTCCTAATACTTTCTTCCTCAATGCAGTATCACGCTTGCCTGAGTCCCCTGCTGATCTGATGACTGCTGACAGAAGGGCATGTGAAGGGGACAGCAGGAACTAGGGGTAGAGAAAGTTATCTGCTTTGGGGGTCTGCATGCAGCCCATTGGAGGCCTAGGATTCCCAATGAATTGGGTCAACTTGTGTCCAACTTGTGTGGAATAGGCTAGCTTTTCTGGAAGGGGACAAACTGTGTATTAGCAGTTTTGCTAACACAAAGTGTACCTTAATGTGCTGATGTAGCTTCAAAACGCAGGCACCGTAAATCAGAGACCTACATGCATGTTTTGGGTTAAAGTGACATTATTCCTCAGATACATGCATTGATTATGGTGAATTGCAAGAACAGGCTTGCCATGTGCTTAAACATGGCACACAAGCACACTAAACCATAATGCTTGAAAATCATGCTTCCGCCATTCTAGGAAATAAAAATCATTCCATAGTTAAAAAGCAAGATTTCTTCTGGTCCTTTGGCTCAAAAAAGTTAAAGACAAATTCTAACCTGGTAGCAGCAAACAAGGGCCCTGAGTTGCCCGGCTCTGCTATAGATTATGAGACCATGAGATCAAACCATTGTTTTGTTTGGGTGATAATAGGAGACAATGAACACATTTACTGCAAACTATACAGAAAAAATGCACAAAAGTTTAGCAAATTATTTTGAAACTACATGGTTGGAATGAAGCCTCTGTTTCTATGTTATTGGATGGTAACCAGTTGTACTAAAGTTTATCCCCAGGGCTGCATAAATGTCCCAGTCTGGATCAGATGTGACAATAAATCCTTGTGGAATCAGGTGAAAATGAACATGCTCCATGAGAACATTATGAATTGGAAGACAGGGTTTTAACTAAAGCAGTTTAAGACACATTTAGAGGAATTTATTCATTAGTTGAAATTCTAAAATTCTGCAATTTGTTTTCTTTTCTTTTCACTACTGATTGGGGATTCAGCCAACAGGAGCAACAACAATGCAGTCAGAACTTCAGTCTGTTGAGCTGGCAATAAGTAACCATCAATATTGTAAGATTATCTAATACTTTCATCTAAGAAGGCTTTTAGTTCATATGACATATTACCCCTATGAAGGATTGCTATGTTTATATCACCAGTAGTGTACTAAAGGAAGCAACCATATGGAAACCAGCAAAACAATCAACCAAAAAAATCTCTGATGATTCAACATGTGTGCTACTCACTTCTTTTGAGCTGAGGTAAAACAGAAGCTAGCAACAGATGTCACATCCTTATATACTGTCCAGCTTCAATGGAGTGGAATGCCCCCTACACATCCCTATTCACCTTCTCCCTATTCCAATTACCTGGAGTTTTTCACCTCCACTTCCTCATTGATAATAATTCTAGGGAAGTACATATGATATTGTCAGGAAGCTGGAACATCAGTCCACAATCATTGGCTCATGTGGCATTATCCCTACTTGCTAGTTCACCAATTAATCAGGAAAGCAATCTCCACTCTTATTCTGTGAGCCAATCGCAAAGGGGAAGATCTCTGACTTACAACAAAGCCTACATCCTTCTTAAGAAAAAGGAATGACATCGGATAACCCCAAAGAACTTGATTCTGCACATTTTGTGTCAGCTTCCAGATTAAAAAAAAAAAGGAAAATGTACTTGCTTTTTAGGAAGGATTTATCTACTCCCAGGATCTGATTTAGAAGCAGAACCTATTCCAAATACATTATTTGAAAACCCTTCTAAATACTATCAATATGGCAAATTTCAAGAATGGGACTTTGGTAGCAGATGATTTCCCTGCATCGTTTTTTAACATAATAATATCATGACAGGACTTGACTCTCACATTGCCTAGGCCTCTGGCCTTTCCTCAAGTTGTCCTTCAGCCTGGATCATTGGTTCCTTGCAAGCTCTTGCACTCTTAAGTTAGATGGGAGATTCTCTGAGATACCTGCCCTGGGAAGCCCCTTCAAAACATCCCCTGGAAGATGACTGTTTTGGGGTGGTTGTATAAAAGTCCTTTGCTAGGCTGCCATTCATGTATATTTGCCAAGTTGATATTGAATATCTACTCTTGTGAATTTTGCAGAAAAAAGAATTACCCGTGGTGGACAGAGTTCCTGCTCTAGCTCCAGTTTTGTAGAGGGGCGCATGATACAGTGAGGGGTGGGGCTCATAATTTTGATGGGGCTCAAAATGAATTACTGGAAGCATTGGGTTCATTTGTCGAGGTAACGCATCTTCTATAACCATTTCATCATCATCCCAGCGACTGGCATCCATAAACATGCCATGAACCAGCACCCCATCCTCAGGAGAAGGCAACTGAAAAAAAAAGAAGATGGGAGGTGGTTGTCAAAGCTGAGCTAATAATTCATTAGCGCTATCAAGTTCCTACCTTACTCAGGTACATATTCTTGAAATACAGCACAACATTTTTAAAAAATATCAGAAATCAACCACAGTACAAGATAAACATGATGGTTTTATATAAAGATATTTCATGTGGATTCAAGATGGTTCTTCTTTGTGGCTGGGTAGTCATTGCAGTCATAGCTTTGCAAATACCTTTTCATCCATTGGTAATTCATTGCCAAAGTGGCACAATTTCGAAGCTTCTGATACTTGTGTTTGGTCTCTATAGACAGGAATGACGTTGTAACTAAAACTAAGCTCATCAATTGGTAGGTTATATTTCCGAGCATGATTCTGAAGAGTTCCTGAGAAATAAAAAAACAAATAACCAGTCATCAAAGAACCATTAACAATGCACAGTAATTGGAATTCAATTTACCTTCACACAAACTCAGAAATATGTTCTATATTCACAATCTTTCTTGGCAAAGTTGAATTCATAATTTAATCTTTGATATTGTAAAACCCCTTTTATACAGCACTGCTTTATTATACTTCCTCACTGATCCAAGGCACTTTTATAAAACAAAGAAAATGGGAACCTTATTATTTTGAACAATTATTATGGCCCTAATGTATTGGTGTACTTGGGAGTACCATATTGGCGTTTTATTTATTATTTTTATTACTTTTCTTAGTTCAAAATAATAACATAAAGAAAAAAAACTTCCTAGTAAATTATGAGAGGGCTTCCCTCTTGAAAGCCAGGCAGTGCATGGTTTCTACTGTATTGCCGAGTGCGTATTTAACAACTATATTTTCCAATCCACTTGAGATGCTTTTCACTTACTCTAGACTTCTTCTACTTTAGAGGAGCCAATATGTTATAAATACATAGGGTGTTTTACTGCCGTGATCTTAGAATCACAGAAACATGGTTAACTGGAATTTATGTGCAAGATTAATATATTGAGCACTGGATGTTTGTTAGCAAGCTGCTTCTGATTGTGAGTTTATTTTCAAAATTGAGAAGAAGGAAAGGGCAGTCTGCTCTATATCATCCACTGCCTAAAAGAGCATTTGATAAAAATGCTGCTTCAGATGCCTTCTTTTCTGGGTACTTTTTTTAAATGAAATGAGCTATACAATCCATGATTTCAACATTACCTTCAGTACATTATTTGCATCTCTCCCCCACTGCATTTCTTCACTCCAGTTACAGCAGCAACATGGGACTAGAGTTATTTAGGAAAACTGTTGTCTCCAAATTTATTGGCATGTTATCCCCTCATCAGCACCATGGGCAACATGCTTTCAGAATACCAGTTTGGTGGCTTTACAGCTTCCCCCTTTTAATAACAGCTTTATTTCCATTTTGCACAGATTCCATCCACAAAGGGATTTGGGGGGGTGGGGCTTTAGGCCCTGCAGGGAAGGACACTGACTTTTTTTTCTCACTGACTAGTTGGTGGAAAAAGAGTTACTGGATCCCATTATACCCTCTTGGTTTTTAAAAGCCAGCAGCAGCGAAGAGAATTCTGCAGCCAATTTAAAAATGGTTTGAAGGGGATTGGGAAATGGAAACAATGCCCTGGGAGTCTGATCCCAATCAATCAAATAACAATAATGCGGCTTGGCAGGTATTCTGAGCAACTGAAACCAAAAGCGAGACAACCAATTGAGCAACTGGTTTTCCAACCCTTTTGTGAGTATGCTACCATTTAGAACATACACAGGTGACATCAGAGACAGAGACATTTATGAATGTTTACCAGTCAAAAATCCTTGTGGAAAAAAGAAACCAGAAATCCAAAATGATTTAGGTTGACCTCTTTTGAGCCAGAACTGAGGGGGAAAAAACAGTTGATATAGGTTAGGCATAAAATACGACATTCCATTTAATTTATTAAACAACGGGTTGCTGTTACTTTATTTGCAGAGAGGGACAACTGAACTGGGTTTGCCAGGGTTTTATTTCTCCATCTAAACGGATATGGCTTCGTTCCTTTTGGTCCTAATCCAGGAAATCTTTGGCGCTGCAGGATGACAATATTTGAAGTTCTCCCAGTCAGAATGAAACTCAGAGCTTCTCTCACACAGATCAGAAACTGGAGGGGGTGAGGAGGCACTCTAAGCATCCGCCTTAGTTTTTGCCCATAACCATTTTGGCTTAGTGGGAAGATAGCAGGGTGAAATAGACCAACTCTTTCCTTTACTCCCAATCTGCCTGAATAATCACTATCTTCCCACTATGACTGGTTTAAGATTGGACCTCAGTCAAAACAACCACGAGTACTTTGCACCATGTTTGAAGTTAAAGAGAAAAGGATGGTTCTGATGCACAGTTGAGGGGCTCCGAATTAGGGTATCTGCCTAAATGCTGATGCACTCAGTTTGTATTTACAGCACACCAGCAGCATATTATTTCAAATATCATAATCATATGGCATGATATCTTAGAGAAGTGGTAAGTCCAACATCTGATGGCAATGCATTATCAAGTCACAACAAAAAAGGATGCCTTTTGGAATTACGGAAGGTACATAAAATCCCACTGTTAATTTTTGATGACAAAACTGTATCCATTTTGCAAATAATCAGCTAAACCATTTAGGGAAAGCAATAATGCCATTACTCTCCCTTCCCCATTATTCTCCATGCCAAGAATAGGGAATATTACTTTCATTCTGCCAAGCATTTCCTCATTAGTTTATTTGCTGCAAGTCATATTTGGCATATTAATTTAAACAAGACAGAAGCCAACTTGTAATAAATGGAAAGGCAAGCATTTGGCATGATTTTTAACCGCCCTCCCCTTTAAAGTGTTTCTTGTCCCCACTTGTTTCCTTATAATGGTGCCTCTGACCTTCATTTTTAACAATTTGAACAATTTCAGCTGTCTGAAATGTTAGTTCCCCGAATTAATTTTAACGTCCGGAGATTGTATGATTTCCCTCCGCTGACTTACATACTTAATGTGCATATTCTTTCAGATATGTTTTTTCTGTGCACATTTTTGAGTTGCTAATTGCAGTTTGGTATGCTGATGTATTCTAGTTCGTATGCACATTTCACAGGTGCTTACTGGCCTGGGTTTACATGAATTTACCTCACATTTTATCTTTTGTGCCAAAATAATCAATGATCTCATGTTGTATTCCTCAACCTTAGCTATTTTAAGATGAGTGGACTTCAATTCCCAGAATTCCCCAGCAATCCATAGAAATTCTGGCAGCTGAAGTCCACTCATAATAAACAGGTCATTGGTGCTCTCAACTTTTTGTGGTGGGGGACAAGAAAACTGAAGAATGAACTTGTGTTACATCCTTTTTTAATTTTCCTAAAACCCCTTACACCTGAAACATAACCTAAATTATAGACCATTATTACAGTGTACACCTTTGAGTAGTATTTCTACTTACATCTATGAAGCTTGTCCTGAGTACAAGGTCTTTCACCCAGCCCCCCAAAGGTTTCAGAGATGGATATGCGGCGTTGGCCCAGAGGCCTGGAACCTGATTATTAAGAAAGCTGTGGTACACTCTCTCCATTTCTTCGGACATTACTACAAACCCTGCAATGGCTTTGTTGAGTGTTTGTAGAGAGTTCTGAAAGTTGAACAACAATACTATGCTTTAATCTTCTGTGGAGAGGAAAATAACATAAGTAATTGTATCTTCCCCAGGCAATTGTATTGCCAATTTTCTTGCTCTCACATTAGCTTCAATTATCTAATGCAGTGTTTCTTGACCTTATCAAACTTTAAGATGAGTGGACTTCAACTTCCAGAATCCCCCAGCCAGCCATGTTGGCTGGGGAATTCTGGGAATTGAAGTCCACTTATCTTAAACTTACTAAGTTGAGAGACAATGATCTAATGACCCTAACAAAATGGAGCGGTAGAAGGGAAAATCACTGATAAAATCTCAGTTAGTACTGCAGCAATGTTTTCTGAAGTTACAATACATGCAAGTTGTCTTCACATCTTCCAGGACACACTTGCCTAATTGTAATAAGGAGCTTAGCAGTAATGCATTGTAGAGATTATACAGGTATTCAACCTTCCTTCCACAGAATGAATATCCGCACACACAATGTAATAGCTGCCTTATCTAGATAGCCACGCCAGTTCAAGGATTTATGTTTCCAACTCTTCCATTGCTTTTCCTCCCCATTTGCCTTATAATGACATTTAAATTTCTGTCAGAGGAAGAGGAGAAAGAAAAGGGAGACAGGACACAAACATTCCATTTCTCAGTTTAAAATGAAAATTTCCCAGCAATTTATAATAGTTTAGTAAAAACACAGCAAAACAACAGAGCAGGCAAAAATAAGATGCAATTAAAACAAAAAATATATTCAGATAATTTTTCACTGATCTTTCATGAAAACCCCCCAGGGCTGTGTATAGTTAAAATATTTTTTTAAAAAAAATTCTGCATCAAAATAATATAGAACAAGCTAAGGCAAAGGATGAGCATACAGAATCAAGCATATAAATCATAATAAACTCAAACAAAGCCATCCTTCTCACAATCTTAATCTGAAGTGATTTGTTTGAAAATTAACTCCAACGACATCTATCAAAATCTTACTTAGATTTTGATTTTTCTACTTTGGTCATCTACTTTATATTATCCATGTTTATAAGAGGTTTTCCCAACAGTTTTTAGACCAGATTCACAAACAAATGGAAACTATCTACCATATTAGTTTGAAAAGACAAAAATGCAACTATCATGTCTTAACCTCCTTCAATTAAAGGAAGCCAGGAAAACAAATGTGGTGTGACCAATGTTCTGATAAATAAGGATGAAATTTTTCTGTCAGTGAAAGTAACATATGCCTGTGAAAATAGTGAGATAATTCCTGGAACTGTTCTCCTGATTTGTCACTCTCTTCCTACAAGGTTAATGCATTCTTTCCAATGATGTTGATATTCTTGCATTCTATGAAAGCAACATTTCTCCCATACAGACTTCATATCAATCTTCATTAGCCAGAAATTATTTCATGCTGCAGTAGGAGTGGGAGGGGCTTCTGACTTCCTGTTCGTTTCCCAAATGACTTTGTTGTGGGAAATTAGCAGAGAGTGTTGCAAATCATGATCACATGACTGTAACCGACTACAGTGATGCTGCAGCAACCACAACTCTGTAAATACAACTGGTGTGAAGATCCTAGAAATTGCCAATTTTACATAAGTAATGTGTCCTGGATTTGTAGCAAAATCTTTAAATTAGTGGATTGGAGATATAGAGAATTCTTGACGTAAAACTATTTGTTTAGCAACTGTTCCAAGTCACAACAGCAGTGAAAAAAGTGACTTGCAACCAGTACTCACACTTAGAATCATTGCGCCCATGGTCATGTGATCAAAATTCAGCTGCTTGGCAACCAGCCTGTATTTACAGAATCCTGGGGTCATGTAATTGCCATTTGTGACTTCCCAGTTGGCTTCTGACAAGCAAAGTCAATAGGGGAAGCCAGATTCACTTCACAATTGCATGCCATGGCAAAAATGTTGCAAAATTGGGTGCCACTCACTGAACGATCTGGTCCCAATTGTGGTCATAAGTCAAAGACTACCTCTACTGTGATTCAAAAATTATTGTGTTATGATGCATCATTTGGCCTGATGACCTAATTGAAGACAGCAAAGTCCACATTTTGGACAGATAGGACCACTGATTTGAAAGACAGGGTCAAAGAGGCCATCTGTGTCAAAATTATACAGCCCTCTCTCAGCCAAGAGAGCCCGCCGACCAGTGGTGGGCCATCTGTGTCAAAATTATACAGCCCTCTCTCAGCCAAGAGAGCCCGCCGACCAGTGGTGGGATTCAAATTTTTTTACTACCGTTTCTGTGGGCATAGCTTGGTGGGCATGATGTGGCTTGTTGGGCATGGCTTGTTGGGCATGGCAGGGGAAGAATACTGTAAAATCTCCATTCTCTCCCCACTCCTGGGGGAAGGTTACCACCAGTTCTCTGAACTACTCAAAATTTCTGCTTCCGGTTCTCCAGAACTGGTCAGAACCTGCTGAATACCACCTCTGCCTCTGACATCATCTATCTCCAGTTTACAACACAGTCCTTTCAGCAGTTCCAAGAAGGCTCCACTCTCATTTGCATAACTCAGGTGAAACAGATAAACCTCCAGGTGGCCTCAATGACTTGGTAAATGGAAGCAAACGACCAACTATCTGCAAGGAGTATAAATTATTCCATTCCCCACCATCCTGTCAGAATTGAAGAAGTTTCTTGGATGAGAAGTGAAATGTCTTTTAAAAAAAAGAAAAAAAGAAAGTCCAATTGCCTCTTGAAAAAGCACCCTTGGGACAACTATGACCTGGAGAACTGAGAATCCTCATAGACATTTCGCCTAGTGGAATGTTACAAACAGGCAGGAGAGCTTTAGTAGTACATAAATTAAAAGTAGTCCTCAATTTATGTTAACAACTGGGACCAGAACTTCCAATGCTAAACAAGACAGGTAAGTGAATTGTGCCCAATGTTATAGCCTTTTTGCTATTGTTATTAAGCAAATTACCACAGCTGGTTAAGTATGTTCCATGGTTGTTAAGGCATACAATCCCCTCTTGCCTATGCTAATTAGAAGTCAGCTGGGAAGGTTGCAATAACAATCACATGATCTTAGGAGGCAGCAACCATTGAAAATCCCTGCTGGTTGCCAAGCACCTGAATTTTAAGACACTGTCACAGTCATTAGTGCAAAGACTAAGCACAAAATTAAGTCATTAGGTCATTAAATAAGGTGAGGATTCTCTGTAATGCCATATGTAGTCAAAGGAATAACAAGGTAAACCATCCAAACTAGGCTTGCTGAGTCCCAATGATATCACAGGTATTATTTAGCAACACTCAGTCTTACATGTTCTTTCTCTCTCTCTCCCTCTCCCCCTTCGTCTCTCTCTCTCTCTACCTATCATCCATATCATCTTTCTTTCATACCTCTTAACTTCTTTCTTTCATACATCTTTATTTACTTTTTCTGGTAGTACTGGAAGAATGATAGAATACATTAGACAAAACTTTTTGATTTAAATTCCAATCATAACATCATAATTCATTCCACTAATTAAGAAATTTATGTTTTTATACCCTTAGCAGACTGAGAAGACCATTAAAACGATCTACTTCTTGCCCAAGAACCGTAGTTAAAGAATCTGTTCGACCTTTGCTATCCTTCACAAAAAGTATCTCTGCAGCAAGATCCATGTCCATCTTATCTGCAAAACAAAAAACCCATTGTTTTCATCTCTTAAAAAGTTAGTTACCACACATTTAAAACATACAGTGATGGATAACAGCTGATTTGAGGAGGGATTTGTGGGTCAGTGGGCAATATAAGATCTGTTCAACACCAGATTTCATACCAACTTAGAAACCCAGGAATTTTCTTTCATTGTTAAGAGGTTTTGATGGCAAAATAGATGCTTGGTCAAGGCATTTACTTAAGCCTTTGGTGACAGCTGAGCATCTAATCCCCAGGCTCTCTTAAAATTTGAGAGTTTACCACCAACCTTCCTAAAGGGAAATGGTTTAGTGGCATTGCATAAAAGCATGGAGCAATGGCAATTAGTCTTCTTGGGTTTGGTTTGACTTTTTAATCTCCTGCCCTCAGCCAGAGGACAGTGTTCCATTCCAGTAGGAAATAGGCCATGCCCATGAGGGTATTCTGGGCACTAACTTCACATACCATAGCAGAGATCCAAATCAAATAGTTTCATGAAATAATTATACCAATCAGGGAAGGATGGCAATCGTAATTTTTTACAGTAGGCAATATTAAAATCAAATCAAACCATCAAACAAAATAAAATAATGTTCCCAAATTCTCCAAGGCTTGATAGGCTAAAAACATGACACTTCTCCCATGCTTTCACTCTCCTGTGTCCTGGCAATATAAGATTTCCTTTGGCAGACACAGAAGACCTTATAATGCTAAAATACAGTTTCTAACAAGTAGAAATAACACTTTTCTATATTCTGTGTTCTACAAATTTCAGCTAAAAGTATCTCTATTTATACAAGAAAGGAAGGAATCATAAGAAAGATTTTTTTTCCTTTCCTCTTGTCAGTTCTGACTTTCCTTTAGAATAGTTATTACTACGAAGTAGTTGGTTAGTTTATGTTTTAATATATTGTATAAAAGCAAGCGAACTCTTTAAAAAGTAAGGCGGGGTATTTCAATAAAAGCTGGGCCTTTTGTTGGAAATTTTGAAGCAAACCCTTTGGAAAATCAGACAAATGAGATGTCTACAGTATAGCATGGAACTATACCAATATTCAATATACTGAGTTAACAATATATCCCCCCAAATTGCTAGATGCAGTTGCTACATTGGGCATTCTCTAGATTAAACAAACATCTTTGGAAGAAAATATTAGGTGACTTCCTTTGCTAATGAAGCAAAACAAAGGAACAAACCTAAGGATATATTTTAAATATACAGACACACTGGCATATTCTGGAAAGCACTGCAAAATTAAGTATACAATTCCATGAACATACAGAGCAAGTAGATACAGATTTTATATTTGAATAAACATATACAAGAAGTTGCTGAATGACATTCTGGCAAGTTGATTTAACGTTTTGTTTCTGGACTGTAATAACCTAAGTCAGATATTATAATCAGAATAGACAGCCAAATATTTAATAGGGCGGACAGTAACAGGTCTTATCTTAACTATGTTTTTCTAAATTATTACTCATTAAGAAAATATTTGCAGATATGCATACGCTTAAAAGAATAACTTGCCTCAATTAAGACCACGCAGATTATGCCCTCCCAAAATGGTTTATCAATAGAAATGTTATTTGAATCGTATGTTATTTTTTTAAAGGAAGCTAAAATTAAATTAGTTTTAACCTGCATTAAATAAAATCATTATGATTACTGCTTATTGCCTTATAGCAATTTTATTTCAGAGTCCGCAGAGCAGAACCATACAAATCACAAATGGCTTGACAAGCATTTTTCAGGGTAAAGATTTTATTTTGTGCATTCAGCACAATGTCTATATTGTGATTATATAAACAAGGTACACTCTAAAGGTATGAAGATTACTTTCACTTTACAACCCTATTCTCAGTTACAAGATGTTTCCTCAAACTTTTGTCATGTTTTTAAATTTTTATTTTCTCAATATTAAACATAAAGAACAAAAGAAACAAATTCTGTGTGAATCTTAAGTAGCACACAGATTTTACTAGAATAGCATGATCTTAGATAAATGAATTACATACAAGTTATTCATCTTGAATTGTTTATGATCTATTGACTTTGTAATATATGCTGGAGAATATTTATTTTTAAATGGCTTTTGCTGTTATAATTGTTTAGGAGACTGATGTATTTCCCCAGCCAATGTGTACAAAAAACTAAGGTATTTTTTATTTCTTGAAAGAAATATCTGGCGACCTGTGGTAGTTTCAACTGAACAGCCTCCTTCTGTATAAGCTTGTTTGTTGTTGAAGATGACCTTAATCCCTCGAGTTATGTAATACAAACACAAAGAAATATTTTACTTCAGAGAACATGTCTCTCTCCAATTGCGCCCCCCCCCCCCCTAAACTTTTCTCCACTTCCACAATGTCTACAGAGGAGAGTCTTTGATTACACTGCCATGGCTGCCATATTATCTCCCCCTTCCAATTCCCTTAGCAGACGTCATTATCCTTAAATATAAATATTTAAATATTGAACCTAATACAAATAAAAAGTATTGAATCTAACTCACCATGCACCTCTGGTTAGGGAATAGACCACTTCTTAAAGATAGATAATTTATATAAATGTGAATATGTGGAAAGTGATTGTTTAATTGAGACAACTGAATACTGGGTACATGAGGGAATAAAACAAGATAATCCCTGCTATTAAACAAAGTATGCAGTGATTGTCATACCAGGAATTTTAGCAAGGATTGAACTAGCAAGTTCATGCACAATCTCATCATTGCTTTTTCCTGATCCCTGGGCTGTTGTTCGTGGCTGTACATCAAGTATTGTAGTAATCAGAGTATTAGTTTCCTTTCGCTATTAAAAAAAAGAAAATATGAAAGGTATTAATTTTTAGAAACCCATATTTTAAATAGCTGACACTTAAAATTGAAAATTTTCTTTCTATAAATTTGCCTATTTGTTTAATTTCACCATTATTATGAAAGCACACTAATTCTTTATCAAGCTGAAAATTTCAATCATAAAAAAATGGTTCCATGTGAAAACCATCACACAATATATTTTTCCCATTTGGTCTTTGAAACTCCTCATAAAATGCATTCATATTAGGTTTCTCATTCTGATTCTTTAATCAACAGAACTAATTAAAGTTGATTAAACTAGTTGGCAACTCAACTCAACTCAAGTACATAATTCTAAAGCTTTCAGTTGAAAAAAGGCAATCCATCTACATATTTTTAACTTAATGATATAGCAACTTTTTAAAATATAGCATTAATGGTAGCCTTAATGATGAAAGCTGAATTCATATTTAATGGTTTTATGTAATTACTTTCTAGCAAAATATTTTTTAAAAACCCTTTTGCTTGGTCTGAATGGCCACAATTTCTTAGACAATGTACATCTTGTGAAATTTTTTTCAAATGTTGAGCTTTAAGCTTACGATATCTTTCATTTGTTTATAATGACTGATATACCATCAACCATCACTAATATTTTTAAAAACCAGTTTCTCAGTCTTGGAGTAACCGATTTCGATATTTGCTTTGGGAATTTTAAAAATGAGATGATCATACACAAGATGAAATGAGTTGAAGGGTCCTTGGTGCTCTCTGAGCTTTGTTGTTTTCTTGCAGACGTTTCATTACCCAAACTAACATCATTAAAATAAGCTCTTTATAACCCTGTGTTTTTACTATATGTGTTTCTGTCCAATGCTCCATTTCCTCACTGGAAACATTCTAGAGAAAATAAAATGATTTACAGTAGAATAAATATATCTTGTTTTGAGGAAAAACTCAAGTTCTTTCTTCCTTTCAGTGCTGCTCTGAGTTTTATTTGCTCCTGTTTTTTGGTCTTGCACAGTTTTTTTAAGTTTTGCATTGCCCCTTATTTTTAAATATGTTAAGTTGCTGGGAGTCAGACAGCATATAATAAATTGCCATGATTATATACACAAAATGTGAAATCATAGATGCTAGTTTTTTAGCTGGTGTTGGCTGCATACACATCAAGTTCTTCCCAAGAACCTAGGATGTCATCCCAAAGGTGCTTTTCAAAGGGCAAGTGGAGTTTCAGTTTTGAACTGAAGGAGATTCTTGGATGAGAAGTGAAATGCCAGAATAATTCACTGAAACATCTGTAAAATTATCAAGTATCAAAAAGGGAGCTGAAATATTAGTCAAAAATTGAGCACTTAACATGGATAAAATTTTCATCTGTCAATTTCAAAAGGCCATGCTGCAGATGCATTATGACATCCTAGGTTCTTGCGAAGAACCTGGTGTATATGAAGGCCAACACCAACTAAAGAACTGGCAGAAGCGATTTCACATTTTTGTGTACCTAATATTACTTGATAGGTAGATGAAAATACCAAATCCAGTCTAAACATCTATCTGACTGTGCACTCAACCTTAATAATTTATTATGTTAATATTACACAAGGACTATAACAGATGGCAGATACCTGAAATACTCCCAGGGAAATCTTGCCCTTGAACTAAGATTTTGTATTTTAGACTGCAGGAGTGAATTTGTTCTGTTTGCAGATTTCTGCCAACTGCAAAGGTGACCTGCGCCTTACCGAGAGAACTAGGAGATGGTGGAGTTTAAAATGTTGGACATTCCATTGAGAATAATTAAGATGATTTTCAGTGAATGATTTAAAATAACCTCAGAGAAACTGCATTAGATGTTAGAGAGCACAGTTTTATTTAACAAGAATGGTGCAGGTTGACAGTGTAAGTTTGAAGTTATTCTTCTATTAAGAAAAAAATTAAATTGATATGGCAATATTATTGGTATAAATATTATTGGTAATGAAATATGTATAGCAAGTATCATAACAGGTTTTAAAATAACTAAAAACCTTTTACATGACAGAATTATTTTGGTAACATTTCAGGGATGGACACATTTTAGCAATCCTGAATACTTAACAATTACTGCTTGTTATTTTTGTACAACTGACTAACCACTACTAAAGTCCTACTTTTGTACTGAGTTGTAAAACACAATTTATCTTAAATTAGTTTTGAACATTTATTTTGAGTATATTCGCACCTGGAATGCTAAATTGGCATTTTCATGCATTCCAAATATTTCTGGGTCATCAATCAAAGGAAGGTTTTCAATATATTCCTTGAAGTTTTGCAAACTGTCAGCCACAGGGGCAAAATATATTCCTGTTTTATTAAAAAGAAATAGAAACTTATTAAAAGACAAACACAATAACAATTTCATACATTCTATACGATGCAATTTTATGTAGATATAACTTTAATAATTAATATCATACTGGTAGCTTTCAGAAAACATTCTACCACTCTACATGATATGTGTCAGACTAGAACTTCCCAAACATCTACGTTAAAAATTGTCTAAGCATTCATAATTTTCCTTTATTGCTTTACAATGCAATATTTGTTGTTTTATGAAAGAGTACAGAAAACACATTAATATGGAACGCTGTTTGTACAGAGCTTATTTGAAACAACAAAAAATATTGTTTTTATTTGCTACTTTGATTGTTGCTCTTTCTATGTATTTAACTGAATTCTGGTGTTTTATCTAATTGAGCTTAGAATATTTTAAAGTTATTTGAAATAACAAATAACTTTAAAACATTCTAAGTTCAATTAGATAAAGCACCAGAACTCAGTTAAATACATAGAAAGAGCAACAATCAAGACAGCAAATAAAAGCAACGTTAAGCAAATTTATTTAGAGTTTGAAGTTCTTTTTTTAAAAAACTTAGAGAAATAGATAGAGCTCCATTGCACGTGGATTTGGGGTAAGCATCCTTGAGGAGAGCATCTCCTCTCCAAGAACATCTCTTTGAGCTCTCCTCAAGGACACTATCTGAGAGAAAGCTTTCTCCCCACCACCACTGCAAATTTGATGAGAATACTTAGAGAAGAGCTTCTGGATATAATTTCTAGTCCCTAAAGAGCTGCAATTCTCAATGTCACTTTTCTTCTAAACTGATACCAGTCACCTAGTAAGCAAATTAAATATTCTTTGGGGAGTTTTGGGTTGTGTTTTATCACACAGAATAGAATGACATTAATGGTTAATTACAAGGTGTTGTCAGCACAGCTACCAGGGTGTTAAAGAGAAGGAAAACTTGCTGAATTACCATTATGAATTAGAAATAATGTACTTATTTTGTTTGGAATGTATTCTGGTTGAATTGATGACATATAAACTATTCGTATAGATGTTTTTTAAACCAACAAGAAAAAATAATATATTTCAATTAGCAAGTAATTGCTTACACAAAGAGGACACTAAACTGTTCATTAACATTAAACACGTACAAACATTTTATATTTGCATACTGTATATAGCATTCTGATCGTGTAAAGTGAAGTTTGGCTAAGAAAAGTGATGAGTTTTGATTTCAAAACAGGAAGGCAATTATTAAAAGTTATCAGTGATAGTCAGGAGTGGGATGCTGCCAGTATAACAACCAGTTCGGTGTTTGTGTGCTTTGTGTGCGTGTGCGCCTGACACGCACTGTGCGCGTGTGAACAGCAATGCAAAAATCCTTACTGCTATGTTGCTTCAGGGGAGTAACACAGCTAAGGAGCGGCAATCCGCTCTTCCGCGCTGATCAGCTGGGATGATAGTACAGTACAGCGCAGGAGCAGGTGGGCGAGCTCATATGATTGTCAGAGAGAACCAGTTCACTCCCAGCTGATATTTGGAGCTAGGGGTTCACTCAAACCGGTCCAAACCGGCAGAATCCCACCCCTGGAGATAGTGTTAATTCACCTGAGCTGTTCAGAAGGATTGACATGCTAAAACATGTCCTTTGGGCATGAAAAGAAAGTCAACCTCTAAGATAGGACTAAATAAGATTGAGGAGATCCAGTTTGGGTAGCGGTTAAGGCACCAGGCCAGAAACCAGGAGTCTGTCAGTTCTAGTCCAGCTTTAGATACAAACCAGCTGGGCACTTTTGGTCACTCTTTCAACTCTGGGAAGGTGGCAAACCACTTTTGAAATCTTAACAAGAAAACTGCAGACATTGGTCCCGGCAGGAGTGAAGACTGATTCAAAAGGATTTTTAAAAAACAGATTGAAAGTGGGGAAGGACCTTTAAAATGTCTAGGGTAGTAGAAAAACTAGGTAGCTTAAAGTAGAAAAACTAAAAACAGGTATCACGGTAGATAATTAATTGGGGGAATAAAAGTAAGAGAACAGTATTTAGGCCCTGGGAAAGGCACAAGCTCTCCAGAGCCCTTGGGAAGTTATTATTTTTTAAGCACTGTGGAGGAGAGTCTCAAGAAAGTTTCAGAAGCTTTCAGCAGTTTTCATCCCCCCCCCCCCCCCCACAAAACCACTGGATGCATGTAGAGAATGAAAAGCAGAGTGGATCAAGGGCTGAATTTTCTCCAGTTTTTTTTTTTTTTTATGAAGAGAGAAAGAGCACAGAACCTATTCAGACAGGGTGCTTGGTAGTGATGTTAATTAAGACCAATAGAGTTAACATTTTCTCTGATCATGTTTTATGAGGATGGAGACGCTTGGGCAGTTCAGGCTCAAATTAGTACCTGAAATACTCCTGATTGAGATAGATATACACATGCATCCTAATGACAGGAGGAAAAAGGTGAATTACCTGATCACCCATGCTAACCGCATGGAATAAGTTATTTTTTTTGTAGAGAAATACATTCTTAATTTGAAGAGCATTAATGCCAGGGAGAATCAGATCATGGATAGCTAGCAGGAAGAGTAGGATGATGAAATCAATGGAAATGCTCTGAAGGACAAGACCAGAAATGAACTACAATGAAAACCTGAAAACTAGCAGTGAATTCAAATGAAACCATAAGAAACTAGGAAAACTATTCATGAGGATGGCTTGAAAAGAATATAGCTTTCTTCATATTGTTAATAAGATATAACTGTTTGTTTCCAAATGAACTGAGATTAGATCAGAAACAGGAAGTTATGACACAGATGTGCTGAAATGCTCGACTGAGAATAAATAGGGGAAGTGAATGAAGGCTTCATAAGATAAGCTGCACATTTCTTCCTTGTGACCAATGGAAATGGGCAAACAAATATTAAGGTTCCAATTATAAGATTATATTTGACTATTATAGAAGACAGAATGCATCTATTGGGATTAAAAGACCAATGGGTAGGTCAAGCCTTTCAGAAATTTCCAGAGCTTTATATTTGCATTACACATTACATTTAGATAATCTAATAGACATTAAATACTCCTACTACAGCTTGTAAAATATGTAGTAATTATGGGAAAGTGTACAGCCAGCAGGCTTTCTAATGAACTGGATTGGAACATTTCTATTAATAATTTCAACATGCAGCTCTAAAATAATCATATAACTATAGCATGGTAAAATCAAATGCTTGTATGCTTCCAGTGATTTTCAAAGCAGGCACATGAGATTTCTTCAATAAAATGAAATAATACTGACCTTCGTACCTGTATTCCTATCAATCTCAAGAGCCTTGAAGATTCTGTACAACTTCATTCTGCTAGTCATGTATGAAATGTACACAGAAGGACTTCTCATTTTGCTGAGCCTGTCTTGGTGACCATTCCCTGCTCTGAATACAGGTAGATCACGACTAATATAAGTTCCAATAATGCACTGGTTCTCTGTAAATGCTTTTCATCAACAACTTGCTTCTTAGGAAACAAGTACTGCTCCTGAAAAAGCAAGTTAGTGAAGCAAACAAAGGTTGTCTTGAGCTCCTATCAAGAAACCACTAATAGATAACTATAATTTAAAATAGCGGAATAAAACATTTTGCTAATAATGGTGCCCTCAATACAACGCGGGCTTAGAAATGTCTAACTACAGTATGCGAGAGATTCATTTTTTTTTTTTTTTACTTTTAAAGAGGATTGTTTTGGATCTACTGAGAAATAATCTCAGCAAAAAGAGCAGTAGGGAATAAAAATAAGCTCCTGCAATGTATTGTAGATACGTAGGTAGAGTTTTTTCCGCAAGCTTTTATTTGAAAAAAAATTGGAACCCAATGACATATTGGGAAAGGTTGATCAAGAAAAGGTAAAACTGAAGTAAAACACAGTTGGAATCAGTAGGTATGAAAGAAGAACTTGAGTAAAGTAACATCATATCCTCATCTAGAAGACATCACTCATTTGCACTCAAAAGCCTGGAAATAAGGATGCTGGTGATGCATTTGCCATACGCAGAACTAATAAACCATTGTACTGTGACGATGTACTCTATTTAGCTCACCAGCAAAAGGAGCTACTGCAGTCGACCTTGAAAGGAACAGAAGGAAACACTGCATCACAAGGGCAAAATTGTCTATATTTGAACGTATAGAAACTCAACCACTGAAATTTTAAGGTGCTTCTTCTCTTCATTTACTTTTACAGTTTAGCTTTTCTGAATTTAGGGAAACCTTTAAAAATGGCAGCGGCATGATCCAAAGATCTTGCCTTTTTTAGACTGGGAATAATCCAGAGAAACAGCCAAATGCTGATACCTATAACAATTCAGATTTTAAGAAATTGAGAGAGAACACGTCTTAACAGATGTCCAATTCCTTGTAATATAGAAATCACCATGAGCACTAAATTGATGAAGATAAGAATAGATGGCACATGAGCAGCTAGGGGTGAATAAGAATATATTGCAGCCACTTAAGGAATAGATTAAATCATAAGAATCTGAAATGTACCGTTGAATACCTGAAATTGTATTAATTTAAAATGAAATTAGATATACTTGATTTTTATAAGATTATGTCCATTCTTTTAACGGAATCAATTACCCACATATTTCATTTTTTGCCTTTTCTGTCATTGAAAATTATAGCTTGGTAAGTTCTTTTGAGGGTGCTCTGGTGAACATATTCAAGGTTTTATATGTGACAGGTGGCCAATACACTTCAGGTTGTGTATTTTTGCTCAGAATAACCATTCCAGGGAAGAATGCAATACCAGTAATTAGTTTTATTCTTCTCAAACACATCTGAATCATCGAGCAATTGCAATCAGTTTAATAGAAGCTTTTACTGATGTCAGATATCGGCAACTTAAAACATATTTACCTGATTCAGAATATTTATACTCTTCCTCTAAAGTTTCAGGAGAAAAAAACCTCTTTAGGATTGTGCGAAGACACCTTTGATCCCAAGCATCTGTAACTCGTCCTCCATATGTAATCTCCCCTGCAACATTATTTGTTTTACAAATGATCTCATCATTCATTATGTTTAATGTAACACATTTTTAGCTCTATTTTCTCTGAATAATTATTGAACTGGTGTTATCATGCATCTAAATTTCCTCTAACTACATCAATAGAAATGTGCAAAATGCCAGACTATCAAATTCTGTGTAACAAAAGATTAATTTTAATAATTGGTTAATATGCAAAATTGTATATTTGTAGGCTGATTAATGCATAATTAAATAATGTGCTATGTCTGGTAAAAAAAGTGTAAAATATGGATACCTGTGTATCTTATTACACACTCTGTGACTAATTTTCTTCCTTAACTATGGCAAGCTTCGGTGTAAAATTTGGGTTACGAAAACACTCACTAAGATTATTCTATCATTTAAATAGAAACATATAGCCAAAATGATAAACGTAATAGATACTGGTAGTGCAAATTGTGATTTTCAATTTTCATGTCAGATTTTGAAATTTTGTTTTTAAAAGCTTTTAGTTGAAACAATATCCAAAATTTTAGAGCTTTATGGCAACTGTAATAACTTCATAAATACCTACTGTGCAGTTTTCACTGAACTGCAGCATGAAGTATATTGCTGGCCCTGCCACACATTAACAATAGTGAAGCTAAGAGTGCCAGCAGATTGAGCTCTGGGTAATAAATATATTGAAACAGCCAGGAAAACGGTTGAGACTGAAATCGCAGTAAGAGTCTATGCTAATTTTTATTACATGTGTTTGTGTTTCATCCACAAGTCAAGGTGAACATCATGTTTTTCTACAATAATAATAATACTTTGTTGATTAAAATAACAATGAATTCATTATATAATCTTTGGGAAGAACTCTATAGGTGGATAAAAATGCCAGATCCAATCTAAACATCTGGCTGATGGGGTGACTAATTTTCTTCATATAAAAATCATATTTCTGTGTCATTCCTACAATTTACCCAATCATATCCACGCATTCAGTTCCCAATTCTGCTGTTTTCTTCAAATGAAGGGCTACTTCATAAATATTCCCGAAGAGGAGCAAAAACCAAGCCTTTTCAGACACTTAACCTCGTCAGATCACTTAAAACAGATCCACAGAGATTTCTGTATTACAGGGTAACAAAATGGAGCCTACTTATACTTCAAAAGGGTTTCCTCTTGTTTTTAAGTACTTGTTTATCTGCTGGGTATATTTAGTTTTAGTACATGGGAGGAGGGAGGATCTGTCTCAGTTAAATCAGGACTGACAAATACATAAAGCCATTATCTGCAATAACTATAAATATGTTCTGTGAATTGCTAGGGAGGGCTTGATCTTGCCCAACAGATACCCCATTGTCTCTTAGCTACCTGGGGAAGAGCCCCTCCCTTCTATGATTTTGGACTACATTCCACCATGTATATTCCATTCCTCAAATAAATTTGTAAGTGGATCTATGAGCTAGGGATTATGACCTATAATAAACAGTCCCTTTTGTGCTATGGTGAGTTATTTTTAAAATTGAGAGAAGTTGGCATAATTCCACAGCTTGATACACAGATTTATGGGGACAGTTCAAATAAAATTCCCAGCTGATAGTCATACTGAAGGATTATGGTTTTGTTTTTATCTTTAAGGTTAAAAAGTGCATTGGATAACACAAACTCCTTGATCTCACTTAAATAACTCTCTGACCCCAATCACTTACAAGAGACATTTATGATAGGTAATGTGTCTGGATAAGTATAGATGTCACAAAATTATTAAATTGATACCTTACCTGTTATATATGTGAGAGCATCCCAGGGTATTTTTCCTTCTTGGCAATAAAGATTGAGGTTTAATAAGGCACATTCTCTGTCACTGTCATTAAATTCATAACATATGTTCCAACCAAGGGGTCCAAATTTTTTCCTTTCCTTGAAGATTAGAAAAATTAATTATTTGGGTGAGTATTGAAGAACTTCATGACAAAAAAAAAAAGAAATCCATAAAAACCCATGTAAGAATTATTCACAATTTCTATAGCTCCTCTTCCCACATTCCATTCCATGGGTTCCCATGGCTTATTTCATTTAGCGATAATATCAGATTTTCATGGCGATAAAGAATCAGCAGAAGATATGTTTGTCCTAGAAAACTGATAAAATAGCTCCTGCTTTTCTGAAGAATGAGAAGAAAGAGCTATTTCCTCTTTAGTTGCTTTTTCCAGCTGTATCTAGTTTTCTCTTGAGATCTATATTACCAGAGGAACATTAGGGATTCAGAAGCTACAAACTGAAATGGCAGTGATTAAGAAACTAGGGAGAATTATATAATATATCTCTACATACATTGATTAGAAAACAAATCAAAGCTTTCCTGAAATTCTATTTTCAACAGCTTGAGTAAAAGCAGCAAGTGAAAAAAACCTGGCTGGTTTTCCCTGGTTCCAGAAATCTTGGGAAAACATTTTTGAACAATTTTCACAAAAACACAAAAACTGTTAAATATGTCTGCAATTAGATGTTTCTTTATATTTCTCCCATCTTCTTCTACATACAGCAGATGCATGTAGTTTTCTAGTGTACTACTTGGAGAAAGGAATAGAATATAATCTTCTTTCTAAGGATGCTGCTGCATCTCTGATGCAGTGACTTTTGATGCCCAGAAGCTTAATTGTTTCAGGATAAAAGATTAATGCCCTGCTGAAAACACTCATATGCAGAATATCAGAATCAATTTGACTACATCATAGGAAATAGAGGGAGAAGGAATAACCCAGTCTGCAAGGCTACTTCCAGATGTAAATTGTGGAACTATTAAGTCTATCAAGTATTGATGTCAAATAAATATGGGTTTCACTTAGAAAAATCAAAGAAAGTAACATGGCAGCAATGTTTGATCTAGAATACAGATGGTCAGAATTCAAGTTCAATGTAAGGAACAAATTCAGAATGCTTAGCGGTAGGCATAGGACAACTTGAGGACCAATTCAAATAAATAAGAAACACTGAAAATTAAAGCAGAAAAGATCATTCATCAACTTTCAAAGAGGAAATGATCCAAACAGCTTTCAGGATGAGCTATTGTGTTTGACAAAAGTCAGAGGATGAAAGCATGGTCAACAAGAAAGAAGTGTGATATCTGAACACAGATTTTCAGTGTTAAACATGTTAAGGACCAAAATGATATCTCAATCAAGAATGTCAACAATGTTTGGAAATAACAAGAAAAATGAGAGATATTTTTAAAATGAGAGGTATCACCAGAAAATTTACAGCAAAGGAGGAATACGCAATCATAGAAGAGGTTTAACAGAGACAAATGAGGCAAAGGAAGATGGAAAGACTATTCTAAAACCTTTACAAATGGGATTATAGAATGACAGAAACATTTATAGAGAGGACATCTATTCAAGGACTGATTCCACTAGAGAGTGAGGTACAATAGGCAATAGACTAGCTGTCAAATAGAAAAGTACAAGGCACAGAATCGAACTATTTAAAGCTTTAGATGAAACACTTAAAATTAAGAGCTTTACACCAATGGAACAAGAAATGTCTTTTCCAACACTTAGACGTTAGAAAGGTTAAAAATGGGTCTTTTTGTGGAAACATATGGAGGTGAAAGCTGAATGTTAGAAATCAGTCCTGGACATATAAAGGCTGGTTACTCTCTTGATCAGTAAGGAGAAATTCAAATAATTATGCATGATTCATGAGCAAATAGTAAACTACATAAATTAACATGCTTACCAAGACTGAGTGAAGCTGAATGGGAAAACAATATGTAAGGTAGGGAGATGACTCAAATTACTCAAATGTCTTTGGGAGAGCTATACACAGATGCAGGTCAAGATGGCAAGCAATTGTCAATATAATCACCAAGGCCAAATTAATGGCTAACTTTTCCTTTAATGTCCAGCCTGTATGGATGAGACCTCTCTTCTGCAACAACTCTTATGACTGAAAGAGAATTGCTGATCCAAAGGCACACTACGGTTGCACAGCAGATTTAAATCCAGGTCTCCCCCATGCAAGTTCAATCAGCCCCAAGACTTATATTCAACACTGGCTGTCTCATTTCCAGTGCATGGATCATACCCAAGTTGAGATCAGGAATTATACCTCTTCTTTTTCTTCTAATCTTAGAGAGAAGAGAAAGGATTCTACTTCAAGAATTAGAGATAGTTATTTTCATTTTATAATCAGGGGGTAAGATTAGAGAAACTGAAGTGTATCTGAATTCCACTGAAATCAGTTTGTGATTTCAGTTTGAAATCAGTATTTCATCAATATTTGTATTTAGAATTCCAAATGTGTCCCTTTATTAAACATGGGCAGCAACTCCATACAAATAAAGTTTCTAAGTAGATCTGGATTTCTATTCCATAAATGTGTATAATATTTCATTGCACAATATTAACAATCAGAAAATATTATAAATTTTATATTTTACTATGAGAAACTTGGATTCTCCTTTTGGTGTTTTTACAACTTTCTTCATGTTTAATTTTCTCACAAACAGCTAAGAGAATTTGAAGCAAAATGGAATGGAGAAGAAATTTCAACTGAGATGAGATGAACAAATTGTTACATAAATATTTACAGAGTATATTTCCTTTCTTTTACAGCAATAAATTGGATTGGATGAAGTTAAATAGAAATGTTTCTGAATGCTACAACAGGAATGCAAATCTTCCAGTCCAACTGATACTTAATATCTTAAATTTTCTCTAACTGAAAACATTTATACGTTAACTAAGATTTTACTGGAAGTTTAATATGATGATGATTTTATGAAGTAAATAAGAAGGCATTAGTCAAGGCAAGCAAATTACTTTTGCCTCAAAGCCACTTTCCTAAGGAAAATAGATTGTTACCACAACTACAGAAACATTGAGACAAAAGGAAGATGTTGGGAAGCAAACTCTGTATTGAAGTCTGCCCGCCCATGCCTTTAAGGCTTTGGCTTCTTCTGCTTCTGATATCATATAAAAACAATTCATGTTTCAATAAAAGAATTCACATATTATTTCCTCTCTTTTCCAAGCTGTGTGCTGCAGCGGAAATGCAGTTTGCTTTCACCAGTGATCTGAACTGATCATTTGCAGGCTGTTTTATAAATGATGAAGGTTGCATCCAACACAAAGGCTACAACTCAGAGGAATGTTACCAGAACTTCTGAGTTTTGCAGAAAGATTATGGATAATTTTTTGATGTAAACAATAAAATGAATAGAGTAGGCTTCATGAATACTGCTGCTCTGAGCTAATATATGAGTGTTCATTACCTGTGTGACCCATTCCTCAGAATGGAGGGATGAATCCGAAACAATCTGGCCATTCTGAAGGTGATTTAACTGTTTGTGGGATTTAATAGTCCAGAACTGGAGAAGTTAGGACTATGTCCAGAAACCACAAATAATTTACAGTCCTTGAAGATTTATTTCAAGAAACAGTCAACTCACTTCCAGATTGACTGATTCAATGTGTTTTCAGAGAAAATAAAAGGAACATTTCGAAGAATGCTCCAGGAGTAGAACCGTAAGTTTTGCACATCCTTGATATTAATATGCCTATAAAAAATCTCATCACTACAACATACATGATCACTATTAATTATTACTTAATATATTCTTAGAATAGATAGATACCTGAATAATTGCATGAAAAAAGCAAATACCAAAAATGATTTTTCTCCAGATTTTGCCCAATATATTTTCCTCAAAAAACGTGGGAGTCATTTCTGTGAAGGCTCTTCTGATGTTTGCTCGTAGACCTTTAGGGGGTTCGTTTGTTACCTGAATGGAAAAATATATGTACACACATGTATCAAATTGATTTTCAAATATATCCATTAACAACTTCCAGATAGCATTCCTATGATGCTTCTATGAAATTATGTAATATGAAATAGCTATGAAGCAGTGGTAATTCACACACATCATGCCTCATTGCATTTATTCATTTGCACAGCTACAGGACTAGGTTTTCCAGTTGTGCACTGTGTTGTCAAGTTAATGCATGAATTAGTAGCTATCTGTATGCAAATGGCATTTTCTACTCAGAGGAAAACTCAGCTTTTAACCAAGTTAATATATGTGATTACATCCCAAGTTGCATATAGAAATGAAAAGCTATCTTCTCTATACTAGGAAAAAAACAATTCTGCTTACATAACTGATAAATATGGAGGAATTGGAGTTAGAACTCATAAAATAGTTTTTTATTGTTTTCAAATACAGGTAGTTCCTGACTTATGAGCCCAAAATTTCTGTTGTTAAGTGAGACATTTGTTAAATGAGTTTTGCTCCATTTTATGTTTCTTGTCATGGTTGTTAAGTGAATCATTTCAGTTGATAAGTAAGTAACCCAGTTAGTAACCCTGTTTCCTCCCTTTCCATCTAATAACTACTGGTAAAAAATTTATTTTGATTGTGATTTCTATTTTTATTATTTTAGGCATATATATCTGTTAGGATTTTACTGTTTTAATGCTGTAAGCCATCCAGAGTCGTTTTAATACAAGATGGGTGACAGACAAGTAAATTTAATAAACAAACCAACAGATAAGTAAACATGGTCTTGCATTTGTCATTTATGTTTTTTATTTATTGTCTTTTAAACAAGCCCTGTAGGCATTTCTTCACTTGCTTGATTTCCTGGAATTTCTTTGTAAACTAAGAAGCATTCGGAGAATCTGAAACCGAAGTGAGGCTGCTTAAAAGCAATCATGTTCAGCACACTGTCTATCTCTCCATTCCAATCAGATACCAGGTGCTAGGCACTGAGTAAATCCCCATATGGTGCCAGGAAAGCATTCAGATCTATCAAGCTGCCAAGGACAGGCCATCTTAATTTGTTGACTGCCTTTGCAGAGTTTGTTGGTGGCAGTAATGATGCGCAGCTTCACCTGACAGCGAACTGACTATAGCAAAGGACTTAGAGCACTGTGCCCCATTTTTAAGTTGCATACCTTTTGTTCCACTGGGAACAAAAGTTCAAGTCCACAGCACTACAAGGAACCAGCCTGGCACCACCCTTCTGGCAATGACATATAGAATGGCTAGCAGGCTGGTTCACATACTAATGAAAGCTCTAGCTTGTTCTTACAGTATAGACTCTAAGAAAGATTATATGTTCAGGCACCATGAGAAAGAGCACAATTTGTCATTGGTCTCCGGTGGGATCACTCCCATAAATTTCCTCTGATTTTGCTGTCTAGGCTGCTGATAGATCCCAAACCCAAAACAGAATTTTATCTTTTTTACACCTCTAACCAGGCTTTCAATAATATTATACATGCCATGTCTGTTCATTCATACATCACTGTACTATGCAGTGATGAGGCTTTACTATAGATAGAGCTGACATTTATCAATACCACCCAAGACCAAGGGTTGTATTCTATTAAAGCACCCAGTCTCATATCACATTGCTGAGAAACCTTTTTGGACCATGCAGATAAAAACTTCATTCATTTCTAGGCTTTGCCCTCAGGACAGGTAATAGTGGCATCAGGAGCAATCTTCACCATTTTTAGAAAAACAGCCCTTCATAGTTCATAAAGCAGTTCACAATTAAACTTATGGCACCTTTACAATATGGAAACAACAGTGTTCATGGAATAACCAGTAACTCTGAAGAGGGCATGAATTATTTCCATCACAACTTAATATTTTTTTTAATCAGATTTGATGGATTGCAGCCTTGGATGAGCCTAAACATTTTATTCATCAAAATGATCTTTTATGTAAAACATAACAAAAACAACCACTGCATGTGCAAAAGCAATCAATTATATAAGAAATCTTAGGACTATTTTTAATGGATTTGAACAACAGCTCTTTCGTTGACTGGATTTTAACTTGATGAACACTAACTAATTTGAGAATCCAAGTCAGAGAAACAGCTATCAAGGGAAAGATGGATAAAGGAAAAAATTAAAACAAAAAGGGTAATGCATCCAGTGGCTGCTTTCTGTCCCTTTCTGAAGTATACCTGCTTTGGGTATTACAGAACGTAATCTTTTTTAAATAAACCTTCCCTAGTCTTCGCCAACTGAAATGAACATTTAATATAAATTAAATAATGTAATTGCATTTATATAAATTCTTCCACTTCATCATGCCCCTTTGTTCCATCATCATTTAGGTCATAAATTCCTACAGAATCTCTTTTGGATTTTGATGCTATTTTGTTAGAACAATTAGATGGAATAAAGGAAGTTCTAACAGGGTGTTTGGCCTTTTTTAATATACTTATTTTTTTTTATGCTACTCATTTTCTAAGAGAAAGCAATTTCAGAAACAGATAATTGCAGCTGCAGTGAATTCAATTTGTTCTGTAGGCTGAAAATAATTTACTCTGCAACTGTATTTTCCATTTTAATTTTTTTAAAAACCAGCCCTACCTTGACAGAATTCTGAAGGACAGTAACAGGGAAAGTAGTACATGGCATGGAACTCAAATAGAGTCGAAAGTTTTCATGGATAGTGGCACCTGAAAAACATGCAATTTTTAATAATATGTATGCATAAACTAATATTTTAGATAAAACAAGACATTTTTAATATAGTGAAACCAGAAACCATAAGATGTTTTATATTTCATTCCCTGGTCTTTGAGACTACTCCAATGTCAGAGCAGAGGAGGAATGTTACAATTTCTGTGAACCCTGACCAGGTTTGAGGGCTATTTTTTTTTTAATATTAGGAAAATGTAAGATTTGCAAGAGCCAAAGGAAGGTTTCTAGGAGAAGCTTTATGTTCCCATACCTAAATTCCCTCCTTCAGCTGCTATACAAATCCTTTAATAAAAGTTTTGAGAGAGAAAGAAGATAATCAAAGGTCTTTCTTCCTTCATGGTCTTTTTTGGAATGCTGAATTCATAAAAAATCTGAGCTTTCTAGCTGTGAAGGAAAAAATGGTCAATAGGCCAGTTCCCAAAACAAAATGCATTTTAAACTATTATGATCATTGCTCACCAATTACTATTCCTCACTTTTCAGCTGTTTCTATTAAATACAAATTAAACATGGGAAGCAATCTGAAAACTAATAATTCTAATTTTTTTCATGCTGAATGTGACTTCCCGGTAAGTTTCTGTGAGGAAAATAAACTGCATGTATTTCTGAAATGTGGCGAGGCAACGAAGCAAACACTTTCATCTATAATACAGGTAATTCTTAAGTTATAATTGAGTCTTGTAGTCATTAAGTAGTTTTTTCCCCTGAAAAGGAAAGTTTCTGGCAAAAATATGGTAAATCATGATCATGTGGCCCTGGGCTGCTACAATTATGTTGATGTTTGTGTCAATTTCCAAGCATCCAAAATGCAGTCATATAACCATAGGTGGCAGTGGCCCAGAGATATTGGGTCATAAGTACCTTTTTGGGGTGTCTATTGTAACTTTGAATGGTAGCTAACCGACTGGATTTAAGTCAAGGACTACTGTACATGGGTGAAACATTTTTTATGATACGCCCAAGGAGATACAACTTGGTTTCTTTCAATTAGAAATCAAGACTGTAGGACAGAGGTTAAAAGGTAAACTCAACATGACATAAATAGCAATAGCATTTAGACTTATATACCGCTTTATAGCCCTCTCTAAGTGGTTTACAGAGTCAGCATATTGCCCCCAACAATTTGGGTCCTCATTTTACCCACCTTCCAGGATGGAAGGCTGAGTCAACCTTGAGCTTGGTGGGATTTGAACTGCCAAATTGTAGGCAGCTGCCCTGCAAAAGTTGCTTGCAGTACTGCACTCTAACCACTGCACCATAGCAGCTCCTCAATAAATGTATTGACATAAAAAGATTGGTGGGGGGGGGGGATAAATTATTGCAGCAAAAAGAAATGAGGATTTCTTCTTCATATTCCTTTCCATATAATTTAAGCTTTCCTAGTGATTATTTTTGTATTTGTATTTGTTAGATATCCATCCCATCTTTCCCATAAACACTCAAGGCAGTTTCATATCAGTCTTCTTCTGGACATGAGTATATATAATTGCCTATTATGTTTGGTTTATTTAATAGAAAATGAACCAAGAACAAAAATTCTATGATTCAAGTCTTGTATTCTGTTGCCAAGAGTTGACAGTCACCCTATTTTTTCAGTAACTTCAGCAATATGGGAATAATCAGGTTCTATTTTATAAGGTTATTGCAAGCATAACTGAGCTAATGTTTGTAAAAAAAATGATAACCATTAAAAATAAGAGGCATGTAAAACCTTCTGTCAGGAATGTTTCAATATCAAGAACTGCAGTAGTAAAGTAAAATACCCATAGAAACGTTGGTAACTATTAAATTACAGGATTGAAATATTCAGAAGGAGATCACCAACTTTTCATCAACCTTTCTTTTAAATGTTGCAATCTATCCCCAACCTCCAACATGACCCCATAGTTTAAATTCTGAATCAACTCTGATTTCTTTCAAATGAAGCATTCCTGAGAAAGAAAAATAATTTTAAAATACTTACCTGGCTCTGTAAATGTTTTAATGAGCTCTTCCATTGGTAACATCCATGACACAGCTAAATGGCAATTCTGAAGAAATACCCAATTTCCTGTTCTCAGTGCATCCTTAATCATTCTTTCAGCAATAGGTCCTTGTCCTTGTCCTAATGAGATTGATTGCACTCTGAAAATCAATGCACTGTGTTAGTATTCACATTATACATATCTGAAATACATTATTTAAATATTCTAGATTCTTAGTGATTAGCAGGATCAAATATTTACATCTAAACATAAAAATAATTAAACTTTTACACAAACTGTGCAATCATTTATTTATCCACTGAAATCAATACAGGAGATTTTGTATGCTACATTATTACGAATCTGGACTATAATATGCATCTTCTGAAAAGCAGTTTTATTACTTTATACTGAATACATTTCGCACTCAGAGCTCACATTACCTGCTCTCTTTATTCATTTATTTCTTTTATTGTATTTATTAAAAACATTTGTATACGCCTCATTAAAAATATAAAAAGAAATTTTCGATAAAATTCAAACCATTAATGCAGTAAGTTTTAAAATGATTAACCAGCCTTTTTGTACAGATGCCTCAACCAGTAGGAAGAGCTATGTATTTTTGAAATGGTGGAAAATCCTCAGGATAGACCAGTGGTGTCAAACTCGCAGCCTGAGGGTCAGGTGCATCACATAGTGGCCATGCCCATCCCTGGTTTAGCGAAGGGGAAAAAAGTATATCAATGTGACGACGCGAGTTTGAAACCCTTGGGCTAGCTAGACCTTCTCAAATACAGCTGACATGAATCAGTTGTGAAACTCACACCATCTCCCTGTGAAACCTGAAAGTTGCAAAGCTCAAAGTAAAGGCAATAAAAAAATTACTCTGGAAGTTCTATGAGGTCTTTGTCCCAAGAAAAATTATAACATATCAAAGCTGTTAGGCATGACCTGAAAAAAGGTATGTTTGCCCTCAGTCAATCTTTGAACCCAATGAAGTACAAAAAAGGTCCCCTCTTTTAGTTCTAGAAGTGGTACCAGCCTCTGAAACAAATAATCATACTTGAAACCCTGACTATTTGACAGTGTCATTCAAACAGCAAAAAGCAAAGGCTTATCATCTGCCTGATAGGTTGTCTTTGCCTTGCTATGGAAATCTAAGACTGTTGTATCAGCAATAGCAGCACCTTTGTCCAACTATTATAGCGTCATTTTTCCTCAATAAAATTCTTGAGAGCTCAGTATTGTTGGAACTATGAATATATGCCACTATTTCTATTCTGCAAATGATGAAGGGAAAAACATTAATTTCCCCTTGTGCTCCTATCTTTGTGAGATAGACAGGCAGTTTTAAAAATTTGATAAAGATAGATAGAAGGGAGGGAGAGAAAGAGAGAACGAGAGAGAGATTGAAAAGAGGATTGCTCTGATTTTTTGTTGAAAAAAATCAGATTTAGGCATATGCATACCAGATAAAGCATGGGACAAATGTTTATGAACATTTTTATGCTCTTCATAAAGGACCTCTAGTTTGGCATCACATTAGGGAAGCACAGGAGACTCAAAACATCCAGAGGAGCAAATATATATTTAATGCATACAAATCCAATTTGACAGTTTACTTGGCTGTGCTTTGGAACTGAAGCCAGTGCAACTAAATACTCTCAGCCAGTGGCCAAATTACGACATGATGAATATTTAGCATAGTATTAATAAGGACAGGCAAAGTTTAATTATTACTGTTCTATTTTTTTCTTCACATGATCTCCTTTCTTATATTTTTAAAAATAGGAAACTAAAACAGTAAATGTATCACTGCTTGAGGTTTTGGCAGCTTCTTTTTAAAAATTATCAGCATTAAAATGTCATGTCTGATTCATCCAGCTTCAAAACAGGCAAGACAGATGTCAGAAACAAAATATTTTTTTTCCTTCTTATTGAGGCAACAGTTCTCATTAATGAATTCAATCAGAACTAAATGTTGTCACTAGTGACAGAATACTACTTATTAGGAAGGAAAATGGAAGACTCCAGAAGGAGAATTAAACATAGACAGCCCTCTTAAATGGGACACAGTGCTGCTAAAAACTATATAACCTGGGGATATTTAACATCTTTTCTTACTCTTTGCAAGGCAGCCTTTTTCAACAAGTTCACCATGTATGTATATAATCCAACTTTTTTTAAAAAAAAGTCTTAATACACCATCTTGAATACAGCCAAATTAAAAGAAAGCATAGTTTTTACATTTAAATGACATTATGTCTCATATAGAATACAGAATGACAATCTATACCGTTCTGAATAATCTCGTTCTTTTGCAAATCTTTGGAAAGCCCCCATGGGGTCGGAGCCTGTACTTAAGATGAACACCAGCGGTGTGGCAGGAGACATATCTTGGTAAAGAGTTGCCAGATCAACTGGAGGATTCTCAATGAATTGCTTCCCAAGGTTCTCCATCACAAACTCGGTAAGTGCTGACACGATCTAGAAATAGCAACACAGTTAATTTCTTAGCTCAAGAGCATAAGAACATAATGGTTGCAGTATGAATAAAAATAGTGGAACAATAATTGCATTTACTTTTCAACACTATTCATATAAAGTTAAATGGGTTACTTCTTTCAGTATACAGGTGGTCCTCTATTTATGACCACAATTGAGCCACATTTCTGTTGCTAAGTGAGACATATGTTAAGTGAATTTTGCCCCCACTTTATGACTGTTTTTGCCACAGTTCTTAAGTGAATCGCTGCAGTTGTTAGGTTAGTAACATGGTTGTTAAGTGAATCTGGCTTCCCTGTTGACTTTGCTTGTCAGAAGGTCTCAAAAGGGGAGCACATGACCTGGGGACACTGCAACCATCATAATTATGAGTCAGTTGCCAAGTATCTGAAATTTGATCAAGTGACCATTGGGAGTCTGCAACGGTCGTAAGTATGACAAAATGGTCACAAATCACTTTTTTCAGTGCAGTTGTCACTTTGAACGAACTGTTGTAAGTCGAGGACTAGCTGTATTTTATTATAAACTACAGGTACTCCTCTCTCACTGACAGCCTTGTTTAGTAACCGTTCAGTTATGACAGTTAAAAAAAAGTCAATCAAAATCAAGTCATGATTTTTTGCATCTCATTTCATTTTAACACAATCTATGTGTATATATTTCTTTTTAAAATATAATTCTGAGAAGGCATCCATGAGTTTCACTAGATTATCCAAGGGGTCTAGGGACAAAAAGTTTAAGAGTGCTAATTCTAAACCACTAACATCTTTTTTTCCCAAGTTTTATTGGATTTTTATTTTTAAGTATATATCAATATCAATACATGAACAGCGTGGCCTCTGGATATAATCCACTTCAATACAAACAGCAGTCATGATAATCATAATAGTCATGATAATCATAATTAATCAAACTGATATAATCCTAGTATTAATATACATGATTTTCAGAGTAGTTATTCAATATTTCAATGTTTCATTTTAATGCCAATGATATTATAAGCATACATGATAATACCATCTTTCAACCTCTGATCTTTTCTAATTATTGCTTACATTCTGTTATATAAAAATTATATCTGCTAATATTCCCCCTATTTTTTATTTCTACCTCTATTCTAGCTTCTAATCAGGTCACCATTGCTAATCCTAGTATTAATACACATGTTTATATTAAGACATACTCCTTCATTATTTGGTTATTCCAAGTCACAATATGCCATTCAAGTACCAGTCTTCCTATTATTTAATAATACTATCTTTCAATCTCCAATCTTTCCTTCTAACTATTGCTTCACATAAAGGTGTATATTCTTATTTCTACCTCTATTCAAATTTCTAATCAGGCCAACATTATATTTAGAAAAAAATATAATAATTCCTTTCTATCTATCATTTCTCATCCATTTTAATACTTCAATTCTTATTCATTTTTTGACTTGCCTCCCATACTCCTCTCTTGGATCTTTGTCTGTATCAACATCTGTATCTTCACCATTCATACTGAATATTTCTCCCATCTCTATCCTCCTAAGCTGCCAGGTCTCCAGAGTATCCACCCAAACCCCTATCTCCCTTTCGAAATTATCTTCCAAGTTATCCGATTCCATTTTTAAATCTCTTAAAGTACTTTTCCCTTGGTTTATTTCATCAGTCATTATTGTCTTTATTGTCTTCTCTTTCTCATCTTCTTGCTTTGTTTGCTGGTTTGTCCATTCTATCTTTTCTTCCATTCTTTCTGCTATCTCCTCTCTTTCCTGGACTCTTTGATCTTCGTTCATTATCAGTTGTAGCATATTTTCTATTTTCTCATATATGCCTTGCATTAGGTTCTTTATCTCTCTGTGATTCTTTTATATAGTTCCCCTAATGCTTTGAAACATCAGCACCATTTCTCTTGAAATCCCACACATTTCCCCCGATGGAGCATCTTGTCATAACTCAATAAATCCCACTCTTGCTCAAGTCCAAAAGCAATATGTTCCAGTCTAATGTTACTCCTCAGAAAGTTCAATAATCATAGTTCTTTACATCTCAGGATTAATTAATTCCATTTGAGTAGTCTAGGCAGCTTCCGCAAATCAAAAGTCACTTTACTTATGTATCTTCCTTATTCTGACAATAGAGTCTCCAGTAATCATAAAGTAAATAGTTATAGAACAGTAAGTGTCCCCACAGTCCTCCAGATGAATGTTGTTTATTTCTCTTATCAAATTTTTTTCTAAACTTGTAGAGGTCTGGTATATTCCATTCACCAGTAGATGGCGGCTTCAGCTTAGGTTTCAGCATTGTTTCAAGTCTTATAGATTTGCTTAATCAAATTTAGTTCAATTTATGGAAGCAAACTTGGCTATTCAAGTAGAGTCAAGGAGATAGTTCCAGCATTTTATAATGCCCAATTTAAAAGTCCAATTTTCTATGTTTTAAAAAGTCTTTAGCTTTTCTCCCCTTAGTTCGTTTCTTTTGGGTCTAGGATTTTTCTCTCTATGGTTGTTTGCCGCTTTGAGAAATAGTTCTAAGAGTCTCTTTTTCTGGATTTTCCCCTTTCTTTTTTTCTTTAAAGTTAGGGTCTAAATAAAAAGGAGTCTTCTCACCCAGCTCCAATCTCTGTTCATCTACACTGTTCCTGCACATTTCTTAATTGCCTCAGCTGTCACAGCTTCGTGGCAGCCATGATTGATGCCTCTTCTCCTCATTGTGGATGAGAGGGAAGAAGCCCGAGGTTCAGCAGGAGAGTTGCTGCTCTCCGCGACCGGCAGGGCACCCCTATTTTCTTTACCATCTCTACAGGGTGGCGTTAGCTCCTTTTGGAGCCCTCCAACAGGGAGAATTCAATGTGGGAGCGCCTCCAATATTGCCGCAACATCAGCCAGAAGTCACCACTACTAACCTCTTATTGGGAATAAAAAAGAGTAGCTTTTTCTTCCTGCATGCCTGAAAGGACACTACTAACATAGCAACAATGCCTTACATTGTCAATAAAAACTTACCTTCTCTTCCACAAAACATTTCACTATAATTAATTTCTGAAACATGGTCAGCCTAAAATCCCAGGGAATGTATGGCTTGTCATCTTTTTTTTTCTTTTCATCAGCTTCAGCCTTATAGCCTTCCCACTCTTCTGGATTGATACGAATATCAAGTTGCCCTAAAAAAATCATAATAGTTTCAAGTCATTTTCACAATGGGGTTGATATGATATTAGATTATGGCTAATTCTATCTCCATTCAGTTCATTAAAAATATGGATCTTTAAAAAAATATGGCCATAATGATGTCTCACTGGAGATCATGTGTTGGTAAGTATATATTGCATATTTAATTTAGTTTAATTTAATTTTAATTTAATTAATTTAATTATTATTTAATCAGTCATTCTATTGAGAATCAATCATTGTGAATCAATACATATACACACTGGTTGATAAAACTTACATGCAGTTAAGACATATGTGTCAATGTAACGGAATTAAAATAACCAATAATAAACTGAAGTTAACATACAATTTATAAAAATAAATAAAATAAACCAGAAAAAGATAAATGAAACAATTAAACCATATAATTAATTCAAATTAAAGAAAATTAAAGATGAAAATTAAAAACTAATCAAATGCGCATTGGAAAAGTTGGGTCTCTCAGAGATTCTACAACACAGGAAAATATGAAGAAAAGCTTAATTCTAATGGAAGGGTATTCCTTTTACAGGCAGTCCTCGACTTAGGATCACAAATGAGCCCCTAATTTATGTTGCTAAGTGAGAAATTTGTTAAGTGAGTTTTGCCCCATTTTATAACTTTTCTTGCCACAGTTGTTAAGTGAATCACGGAAGTTGTTAAATTAGTAACCCAGTTGTTACATGAATCTTGCTCCCCCATTGATTTTGCTGGTCAGAGGGTCGCAAAAGGTGATTACATGGGACATTGCAACCGACATAAATACAAACCATTTGCCAAGCATCTGAATTTTGATCACGTGATCATGGGAATGCTGCAACAGTTATAAGTATTAAAAACAGGGGTGGGATTCTACCGGTTCGCACCTATTCGCTAGAACCGGTTGTTAACATTCAAAGCAGTTCGGAGAACCGGTTGTTAGAAGAAATTACTGGCCTAATCCTGTAAGGAAGGCAGGAAGGAAACATTTTGGTGTTGCTTACAGAAACTGCCTCTCCATTAACCCTTATTACATGCTTGGCAGGAATAGACTTCCTGTCTCAGGAACTTCTCTGGAGTTTTTTTTCCTTCCTTTGCTGGTACTTTGCTTGTGTAGAGTGACCATTCAAAGTTACAATGGCACTGAAAAAAGTGACTTATGACCATTTTTCACACTTACGACTGTTGCAGCACCCCCATAGTCATGAGGCCAGGCGAGGAGATGAGTGCCTCGATGTGAGTGATATTGAGTTGGCCATGCCCAGCCAATAACATCACTACCAAGTCATGCCCACCAACTTAGCCATGCCCACAGAACTGGTTGTTAAAAAATTTGAATCCCACCCCTGATTAAAAATGGTCATGAATCACTTTTTTCAGTGCTATTGTAACTTTGAACGATCAGTAAATGAACTATTGTAAGTCGAGGACTATCTGTACTCTACAAAAGTGGAATATTACCAAAAACATCTCCTGTGAAAAATGCACTGGATGTTTAATTTGCTTGCTTTACTCATGTTGTTCTTTTGTTCTGACTCTAATTTCATTTAGCATGCTTTCAAACCCTAATTTTAAATCCTGGTTGCCATTAACCCTAATTAGTGTGATATATAATTAGTTTAAATGTAGCACTATTACACATGACAAAGAAAGAAGGGAAGCAGAATTTGGGAATGGTATCAATGTTATTGTGGTTTTTTTTTTACTTTTTATTGGAAGATGTTGTGAGAGCTATTATTAGAAACCGTCATTTTTAAAGATTATAAAAACAATGGAGAGGAATGGAAAAATAGGAGAGATTCCATATCCCCCAAGTTGCCTCTTGATTTGCAAATCATGGCTTGCAGACAGCCAGGATACTGTCTTAGTGGGAGTATTTGCTGACAAAGGAAGAGGCTCCAATTATGCAAATACTAGTTGACAAAGTAGGCTTTAGTTGCTGAGACACTCATTAGGGAACTTAAAAAGAAATGTAGCATGGATCTCTCCCACAGTGGATTCACTAAAAAGCAGTCTGCCATTGCAGACAGCAACACTAAACTCAATCCCACAAGGTTTATCTTTTTAAAATAAGAGGCTCCAAGAAACAAAAATATAAACCAAAACAAAGTTGTATATGACTAAAAGACTTTCCTTACCATTTGTATTTCCCAATGCAAGCTTCTCTGATATTGTTCTTTCTTAGGCAAATTTCTCTAATGTGAATGTTTAACACATAAAATGAAGTGGCAGCTGCACTTGCTTTTACATGGCTATAGTTCTCCCTTTGGGAGAGGTTTGGAGTAGATCAAACTAACTAGCCAGAAAGAACACCTTTAAGCACTTCTTCCTATGCTGTCTAGTTTGGAAAACAAGATCTTTATTGCAACTAACAGAATAATAGAGTTGGAAGGGCCCTTGGAGATCTTCTAGCCCAACCCTCTGCTCAGGCAGGAAATGTGACACCATTTCAGACAAATGGTTATCCAATCTTTTAACTAACTAACTGACTAACTAACTAACTAACTAACTAACTAACTAACTAACTAACTAACTAACTAACTAACTAACTAACTCTTATTAACCATTAAAATACAATTAAAATGTACACAGTATGCAATCTTAAAAAGGGAATTTAATTATTTGAGAGGATTCCAATTTGTGTGGGAAAAGCATAAAACCATTTCTTGTATAAACATTTTTTACAATCTCTTTTCATAAATATGTTACCTAGTTTAATGAAAATGGGCTTGAGCAATATGTCTTTTTGAATGCCCTCAAAACTTGGAAGTGTTTCTTCTAAGTCACAGCACATAAACCACGTATTTTCTTCCAGCCATGGAATCTGAGGTTTGGCAGGCCTCTCCTGTTATAAAGATGATAGATGTGTCAAGTAAAATGGGCAAAAGTTGTATAGAGAATATATTCAGGCTACACATTAGATAAAACATGAATACAGTTGAAGAAAATCCAAAGCCTGACGTAATTACTGTATTGCCTAGTTTTCTGATTAAACCTTAATCTCAGATCTCTGATCAGCTGCTTAATGATAACAATACGGGTACAGGTCATCTTTGACTTACAGCCATTCCTTTAGTGACCATCTAAAGTAACAACAACATTGAAGAAGTGACTTATGACCACTCCCTGTGCTTATGACTGTCACAACATTTCCATGGTCAGGTAATCAGTATTTCAGGCACTTGGCAACCAGCATATATTTATGACAGTTACAGCATCTCAAAATCACATGATTGCCATTTGCAACTTTCTCAGTTGGCTTCCGACAAGCAAAGTCATTAAGATTCACTTAATGACTACATGATTCACTTAACAGCCATAGTGATTCGCTTAACAATTGTGACAAAGAAGGTAATAAAATTAGATGTGACCACTTAACAATTGCTTTGCTTTCATAGCAGATGTTCTGGCTGAGGACACTCTATCCTTTTTTTTTGTTAGAGTTTTTCTATTTTTGCTATTCTTTTTCTGTTTCTTCTTCTTTATAGACTTTAAAACACCAAAAAGAACAACACCTTTCTGGGTATTTAAAAATTAAGTGGATTTGAAGGCCAATACCTACAGAAAAGGAATATCTCAGCCTAGCACTGCTCAGGCCTTTCCTTATTTACTGACTGGATGCTTGGCTGTATCCTGAATGGTTGTATCTCTATTCATTGTTTCTTATGGGTGTAAGGGTGTTTGGTAGATAGACAGACAGACATTTTATTTTGGTCATTGACTAATAAAAGTATATTCAATTAAACAAACAGCACAAATCTACCCCCTAACACAAGGACAATTAGCAACTACTTGTATAAGGATGTTTTGTTTTTCTTTGTTTTATTTAAATTCTCAATGAGAAGTTAGAATGCTAACCTCTTGTTTACAATGACTAAAAATAGAGATTTGAAATTTCTCTAATTATAAAAATCATGCCCCAAATACCTTATCCAAACCAGCAGCTCCACGCAGGAAAAAATTCCATTCAAGGTCTGTAAGTTCTTCTTTCTGCCGCATGATTTCAATGCACAGCATGAAGCTGTAGATGAGTTTGTGCTGTTCAAAGAGGCCTCGGGAAACATTAGTGTAAGTTGCATAGAGAGTCTGACTAAGTAGGATTCCTAATCGCAATTGCAGAAGATCATTTTTTTCAGAAGTTTCAATTGTTGCATTAAATAGCTACAAAGAGAAAGGAAAAGAAAACTGGCATTAAAGAGCATAGGGAAAGTGAGATCCTGAAATTATAAAAAAAAGAAGCAGAACATTAATTTAGATTTTTAAGGACTTTTTTATCTGGCCTTTATTGTTTTTATAAATAAATGGAAGTGGTGAACATACCTAATACTCCTTCCTCCTCTTATTTTTTTCCACAACAACAATACAATACAACATACAATACAACAATGCAATACAACAATACAATAATACTGTGGGCTGAGAGATGGTGACTGGCCCAAAGCAGTGGGCCAACTAAGTTTATTTAATTTTACATGCTGCCTGACTCTGAGTGAAGAATAACAGAATTGACAGGGACCCTGGAGATTTTCTAGTCCAATCCCTACTCAAGCAAGAGACCCTATAACCATGGTTGTCAAACTTGCCACGTCATGTGATGTTTTATGACATTTTCCCATTCGCCGAGATGGGGTGGGCGTGGCCTGAGAGTGATGCATCTGGCCTGTGGGCCATCCATTTGACATCCCTGCCCTATACCTTCAGACAAACGGTTATCCAATCTCTTCTTAAAACCTCCAGTGACGGAGCATCCACAACTTCTGAAGGCAAGCTGTTCTGCCAAATAATTGTTCTCTCAGGAAAGTTCTCCTTATTGGTTGGTTCTCTCCTTGATTAGTTTCTATCCATTGCTTTTTTCTACCTTCAGGTGCTTTGGAGAATCGGTGGACTCCCTCTTCTTTGTGGCAGCCCCTAATTAGTATGGTATGCTGTACAGTTCTTCTGACAAATTATCTTATAGAAACACCAGGATCTAACAAATGAGGCAACCAGCTTTATCTGTAGTTATCTCAATCAATAATAAAGCAAGTCATATTGCAAATCATTTTAGCAATTAAAATGAGTTTCAGAGCCAATGACATGGAGGGAATTGTCTTTGTTACATCAGTTTTTTATAAGAAAAAAAATAGCTAATGGAAATATGCAGTTGAAAGAAAAGTTACCAACCTGTTTGAAATATTTTAAAGAAAACTGATACATTGGATCAATATCGGAAAGACTTGCAATTACAAAATACATAACTGATCCTCGAGTAGCAACGGGGCGATATTTTTCTCGAGCAGCATTTATCTTTTCTTCTGTAGTTTCTGCTTCTACAAGCCTTATTTTAATGGCACCAGAGGTAATCTAAAAGCACAAATTTAAATTTTATTTAAGGGCTTATATTTCTCCCCACAATCTCTCATACATAAAATGGCTTCCTCCAATAAGTCCCTAAATAATAGGTTTGAGAGTAACTGGCCCAAAGTCACCCATGGCTGAAGGTAATCTTAAATTTGAGTCTTCTTGCTCCTAATGTTGCTTTATAATCTTTATAATACTGTCTCATTTTAAACATGGAACAAATTTTTCACAAAGAAAGCTGCTGTACCATTTGGAAAGACACAGATAATAACAATATTTAATTTTTGCACCTTTTAGAGGTTCAATGTGCTGAAACCATACTCAGTTACAGTATGTAAATTTTTTCATATTAGGATTAGTAGGATTATAACTCAAGACTGTGTTTCTAAGGTGGATTAATCGCTCTAAATTGGCTTGATATATGAAGGAGATTCTTTATATTAGGATTATGAACTGAAGTATTTGCTGGCAACTGTTGTAAATCTAATGATATCCCTGTAATGTAAGACTTAATAAACTGATTTGTGATCTTGGCATAAACAAGAGGTTTTTTACGTGTCATCTTTTTCATATTCCGTTGTTTGCAGATAATTCAAGAATAGAATCTATTTCTTAATGAAAAATGATAGTATTTTCACTTTGTAATATGCAAATGTCAAATAAGTTACTCCAATTATTCAAATGTAACCTTGTCTAGAATATAATCACTGAAAACCACAAGCTTAATATATTTCCTTGATTATGAGCACAATTAAATTTGAAGATAGGTATATATGTAGGTAAGTAGACAAACTGTATAGATAGATAAAAGACAGACAGATATAAAATGCATCCTGCCTTTGAGTCTTGAAGTGTATTGATGAGTTCTTCATTGTCCAGAATATTCCCTTCTGATGTAAAAAGCATTTTTAGAATTTTATCTTCAATTGCTTTCAGTTGATTCTTATCAGCATTGATTCTTACAATGAGTTGTGTTCTTTGCTCCTCTAGCTCTGGTCTCTCTAATCGCACGACATCACTGAAATGACAGTTAAAATGAACAATTGGTTAACATGAGCTATGTTATTATAAGTTAATGTTTTAACTATTATTCAGTACAAAAATCTTTATTTCTGATCCTTTGGAGCATAGGATCACAGCCACCATTATGCCAAAATGAGTATCACGACACTATAATACAAGCTCCACTGCTCTCTAACTGCATCTCAATTCTGCATGCAAGCCTATAATGGATAGAAATTGTATTGCTATGTCATGGTGCAGATTTTATTATTTGCCTCTTTCCCTGACACCCAAGTGCTAGATGGGATAGTTTATAGAAAAAAAAATGACATTCCACTAAAAAGAAGATCAGCACCCCACCCCCCAAAAATAGCTTAATGTGAAGCAAGCTTGGGCATATAATTCTGATTGCCCATAAGGCAAAAATAAAGTAAGAAGGGGAATGCAATGAAGAAGTTGGAAAAGGAAGACATTTTCAATTGTCTTTGAAAATATATTTCTAGAAATCCTCAAGACATGAGAGCTGTTTCTAGAAATAAATGAAGAAATGAAAATTTCTAATGTAACTTGGAATTAATGCTATCATGATTACAGATAGTCCTCAACTTATGACCACAATTGAACCCCAAATCTATGTTGCTAAGTAAGAAATTTGTTAAGTGAGTTTCCCCCCATTTTAGTGCTCTATGAAATATTTTAACAAATGTATTTTTAATTGCAATCATTGTTAAACTTTTGGTAATTTCTAATTTGCTTTGCTAGAAACCTACAGAATCTTAGAATATCAGAACATGATACTATAACATAGCCTATTGGTCATAAGGGTCTCTAAATTTCTTATAGGTTTATAAAAAAGAGATGATTTTCTAGAAATATTTCATTGTATTTCTCCCAAATATAAATTAAAACGACTGATATAAAGGAAAAAATGCTTATAATCATGTGTAAACAATCTCATTCAGGAGATGGCATTAGAATCATAAACCCAGCAGGCCTATGCATATTGTACCAAACTGCAGCATCATAAACACAATGAACTGTATTAACCAGAGTTCTCCAAAGCAGGAAATTATACTTAACTGTTCAATTAATACCTGATTGCTTTCTCCTAGCCATGTAGGAGTCTCAAAGTGGAAGCTTCTGGGCAAATTTACAAATGATTTTTTTTTTTACAATAAACACTGTTATGCAGCAATGATTTGGAGCTCTAATTTTCCAGGTAGAATAAAACAAAAAAATATACAAATATTTAGTGTTTTATATAACTCCTTTCAACAGCTTCTTAATGTTGATCCAGATATCGGCAAGTGCTTTCATACTCATCTTTTTATCAATTTTCTCAATTATAAAAAAAAGCATGTGTTTGCTGTGGATTAAAAGTTTAGTACAAAAAGATTGGATTGAGGAGGAATTTTACTTAGTTTCTTGTTTGGGCTCTAAGTGTCAAGGAAGGAGAAAAAACGTTTATTCAACAGAAAATATTTTTTCTTATCTATTTTGTTTTCCAATATCAGAATTAGCTCTAATCCTAGGGAAGCAGGCAAAAAAAAAAACCACACCTCAGGTTGAGGTTAAGCATGTCTTCAGCATGGCCTCTCACAGGGGGAACCACACTTTAAGCCTGGTGTAGGTTTCTTTTTAGCTTTTACAAAAGGATAGCATGTCAGTTGAGTTAATAAGAGAAGGCCAGGAATAGCAGTTGTTTTAAGCAGGTCTTTTTTCCTTAGATTTATTTATAAGTGATAACCAATGCCATATTAAATGATATGGAAACTATAAGGAATGAAGCTGTTTTTAATCTATGCAAATGGAAGTTTCACACCTTTTTGCTGCTGTTCCCAATACAAAGCACCAGAGACAATAAAATATCATAAAATAAAAAATGGCAGAGGTAGTTTTCTCCAGAAACAACCCTCTGAATGGAAGCTGGAAAGAATAGTAAAATTTACAGAGTTACAGTAATCAGCGTTGGATCGTTAAGCATGGAGATTTTAATTAATTAATTTGTTAGAACTCATTGGAGTTGATATTGGTATTACCACATTTGATAATGTGATATTACCACATTTGGGAACATTAGTAGGTTCTTTTGTAATGCTTATTAGCACATAGCCACATTTCAGTGAAACACATTCTTCTGATACCGATGAATATTAGATTCCAGGACACTTCTGGTTGTTGGCTTTGCTGACAGCAGGGATTCGCCTTCTCTGCGATTCCTGCTGTGCTAGCCGCCTTGGTGCCTCCGATCCTGACGGATTTGGAGGCTAAGGCTGCCCTGTTGGGGCAGCTGAAGATAGGGGAGAACCGGACGGGGGTGAGGAGCATCGCAACCCCCCCCCAGCTGGCAATAACCCCCTTTTCTCAAGACGGTTCCAGCGGTGGTCTTTTTATGGCCACCATAAAGAAGCCGGCAATTGGATAAAGAATGCGCAGGAGGGAGAAGGAGTTTTCTTTTTTTTAAAAAAAAAGAAAGTTTTTTTCTTGGTCGAACTGGGACCTTAAGGATATATTTAACACCTGGGAAAGTAATGACTTGGAAGCTATTGTTCCCGATTGATGTTTTCAGCTGCGAAGAAAAGTGACAAAAAGGGGAAGTTACTCTCCCTCCCCTATGGAATTAACAAATGGACAAGGGAAACCAGCCTTTTGGTAGAAGGTAAAACCTAAACTCCTTTGTTATAAGTGGGAAGGGAGAGGCTTGGGAAAACAATTTTTTACTCTAAGACTTTGCTGGAGGAGATGCCTTGAAGATAAAGAGAATTTTCTTTCCCTAATTTGACTTCACCCCTAGAAGAGAAACTGTAAAAAGAAGAAGCTTCTACTCTGCCTGGACTGTTTGATGACTGTGGGACTTTGGGACTTTTGGGAACTGTTTTAAGCTTGGAATAACTGATTGGTTTAAGAAGAGGATACGAAAGAGAAGAAGAAACTTTAAAATGGCTCTAACTCTTGATGAACTAAAAAAACAATATCTAAAAACAAAGAAAGAAGGCAAAGATGTTATGGGAGAAGCCCTTTGTTTCCTAGATATGGCGCTTGCTATGTGTCAGCAAATTAAACAACAGCTGCAAGAAACCGAGGAAGAAGAAGCCATTTTTAATGAACTAAACGGTGTGACTAAGAAAGAAAGGAGAAAGAGAGGAGCGAAAAGGAAGGACTTAAGAAATAAAAAAATATTTATGAAAGAGAAAAAGAAGATGCAAAAACAACAGAATGCTAGAAAGCAAAAGGAAAGAGGAATGCAGAAAGGGGAAATTAAGAAGGCAGAGGTTTTGAGAGGAGGGGGTAAAAAGTTTAGGCGGGCTAAGAAGGAAAGGGAAAAGGGGGAAAAAGTTACAAAGATATAAGACAAGATGGAGATAAGGAAAAATTTTTCAGGGATAATGGGTAATATATGGGTTTTTTTTTAAAAAAAGGGGGGGATTCTGCAAAGTACACATGAGTATTGTAATAGTGGTATTTGTATTATAAGTAGATAACCAGAACTTTTTAAGATTTAATAAAAGGCTAAAATATCAAGGTATAACTTTAAAAGGTTTAATAATGAATGATAATAAGTTTTAATAAAATACTAAAGGGAATGTTTAAAATATTAGTTTGAATATAGAGTTTAATGGATTAATGTGTTGATTGTTATGGATTTATTATTGTAGTATTGGTTTTTGAAATAGTAGAATGTACTAAGCAGAATCTGATTGGGATTTAGGTGTTATTTTAAATTTTAACTTAGGGGAATGATAGAAAGGCATCATACTCCGATTAGTGATTCCAGGGGAAACTATTCTTTCTTAAATTGGAAATGAGACAGATGTAAATGGAGAAATGGACAAAAGATATAAAAAAAAATTTTTTTTAAAGAAAGCAAGATTAAATATATAAAACAGAATTAAGATGAGGCAAAAGTGGAGAGGAGTTATATAATAGATATAGAATGGTAAATAAGATGGGTAATGGTATATAAGAAAAGCGTGAATACAACTGAGTCCATACAAAAAGAGGTAATCTGGGGCCAAGTTACTTTCTAGAAGAAAGCTTTATGTTTTTTATGTCTGTGTTTTATGTGTGTGTGTTTAATTAAGAATTAAATAATAAAATCTCGGAAGAAGACTAGATGAGAATAATTATAAACAAGCCAGAGGGAAATATAAAGTTGATGACTGGATAGCAGATAAATCAGAAAGGAAATATGATTGAATAATGATTAAAGAGAAACAATGTGGAATTTGGTAAAGAGAATTTACGTGTTTATATGGAAATGGGATAAATTATAAGTATGTGATATAAAGCAATATGTTACCTGCCTTGTAAGGATCTACAATGGAAAGAGGTTTTATGTTTTTAATGTTTAATGATGTTTTGTCTTGTTTGTTTGTCTGTAAAATCAATAAAACTTGTTTAAAAAAAAAAAGAATATTAGATTCCACTACTTTGTTTTATCTAATTAATGAATATATATAATACTTTTTCACATTTCACAACAATAATAGAAGAAACTAATATTGCTTCATGCAGGTGAGATGAGGCTACAAAGAAATTGAGCAGAATTTACACAAACAGTCTATAAGATTGAGGCTCCTGCTATATGCTATAGACATATTCAAAAATTACACTAAGGAATAGAAGCAATACCTTAGCAGTTGATCTTCCAGACCAGATCGGGTAACAGTAAAATTTATTATAGTTACTTTGATGCACACCTATAAGATAAAGAAAAAAAGAAAACCATCTTCATGTTTTAAAAAAATGTTATATTCAGATAAAAAAATACTGATAAAAAGTTACAAATGACCCTTCAAAAGATGATAGGAAGTTCACACTGCAGTCTAGTGGATGTTTACTCAATTAATTAATTAAGGTCTCTTAATGAAATAGAAGTTATATATTTTATAAATATTTCGAATTCTGAAACTGGTTGCAAAGGCCTTAAGATATCTCTGGATTCTGCAAAGCAGTTAAGAACTACCAAACAAACCAAGCTAATGTGCTTTGATAGGACTTGATATTCCCAAGTACAGATGACAGTCTTTAACAGTTTTAGTTGTTGTTACACTGCTCATTACTTCTGAAAAGTTATACAGTAATTTTGCAGAGGTGGTATTCAGCAGGTTCTGACCAGTTCAGGAGAACCAGTAGCGAAAATTTTGAGTAATTCGGAGAACCTGCAAATACTACCTCTGACTGGAGATTTTACAGTCTCCTTCCTCTGCCATGCCCACCAAGACATGCCCACAGAACCGGTAGTAAATTTTTTTGAATCCCACCACTGTAACTGTGGCCTTGAACTGATTTTTCACAGTTAGACTATAAAACATTTAATACCCCACCAAAATCATTTTATGGTGACATGAAAAAAAGCAACAAAATTAATAGCCCAATACTTTCTTCTTCCTTATCTTCTAATATATATTATTTCTTATACTGTAATGTCACTACGTTGTACCTTTTCCTGCCCTGTTTCATATCATAGGTGAAGATTTAAAATGTGCACAACAATGTTGCAAAAAAAGTTAAGTATTTTAATATATAACAGAGAAAGAGGCAGAATTTAACATAAAATGCTTTTTTCCTTAGCCTTCCAATGTCAACTATAGTATACAGTTTAACGTCCCCTCTATTATAAAATCTACTATATTTGACTGATACATAGAAAATTCTGATGTAAACAATATTTATCCAGATGCTGAATCATTCACTAGCTGATTCACAACTTGAGTTAGCCTAAGGCTTCCTTTGACAAGGTTTTGTTGGAAAAGTCATTGTGGCTGCTTCTGTGTAATACTTTAAGCTATAATCTATCATTTATTTAGCCCAAGAGGATAGGTTTACATAAAAAAAGTATGTGGCCTTGAAACAATAAACCACATTAAGACTTATTGTAATTGTATATGAGGAGACCTTCAGAAATGGGGTGAAGAAATAGTATCTACGGAACAAATAAGAATAAGCATAGCCTGCACCTGCATTTTTAGCAGAGAAAGAGGCTCGAAAGGGACTCTCCCTAAATTCTCAGGCTGTAAAAGAGATGGTGGGCGAATTGTACTATCATACTCACAAGATTCTGTTAATGTATCCTTACAGTAAAGTAGAATTAACTCATCTAACCATGTGTCCTGTGTGATATACCTGGGAAGGCTGACACTAAGTTCACATATGATCAAAAATAAGCACAGTTACTAAATATTAACTGTACCAAAAAAGAGATAGATTGAAACCAGGATTTCTAGCTCATTGTATTGCTCGCATAACAGAAAGAGGTACAAGAATGCCATAACTGATTTCATTATAAAAGCAGGAATTGTTTCATAATGGAACCATCACTTTTCTACAATAAACAAACTTACTTGAGAAGTTTGTCCTTTAATAATATACAGTATCTCTTGTTTCTCCTTTTCTCTCTCATATACCTTACCTTTGTAGGAGCTTCTGTATGAAAGTGTTTGAAAGTTACAACTGGTTCTATTTTCTGTATAATTACTATAGCAGTTTCTGAGCTCCATGACCATAATTCAAATTACATTCTATTTCAAATGTTCATAAGTGAAAGAAAGTAAACAGTTTGCTAATTTTAGCCCATTTTTCTCCATAGAAAAAAATGAGAAGCAAGCTGATTAAGATTCATACTTCCCATTTCTTATACTAAATTATGCATACAAAAACATCCACAAAGCAAAAATAATGGAGCCCAGAAAGTATCATTAGCACACTGTCTATCAACTGTACAAAAACATTCCCAGTATAACTTTTACAGATGTTGTTAATTTAGATAAAGAAAGCCTAAGATGGTTTTGCAAAAAAATATACAATTACTTTAATTGAATCAAAAAATATGCCTTTTTAAAAAATTCTTAGAGTCTAATTTTATGTTGTCTACTCAGAATTATGCTCAATTGAATAACTACAGAAAATTGCAGCTCAGCTACAACATCTAATTAATATGATACCTCAGGTAAATAGTGGGGATTTGGCATTTTTGTTGTCATGTAGAACTTGAAGTTTCTATCATAATCTATGTCTGAATCTCCAAGGCGAATTAACAGTCTTCCTCCAGAAACAAAAGTCTGTTTCAAAAGAATAGGTTCCAGGGCTGGGTCAAGCGTTTCTTTAATCTATTGAAAAAGAAGAAAAGCATACGTTTTACTAAATACAATTTTGAGAAATCATTAAAAAAAATCAGCTAGTGCATGCATGCATTAGGCTGTTTAGAAGAGATCAGGAACAAGAGGTCAGATTCTACAGCCACAGGCTACTGTAGTTGAGTCACAGTATCTATCTATCTATCTATCTATCTATCTATCTATCTATCTATCTATCTATCTATCTAATTATCTCTTTTTCAATTTGGACTTCATCAAGCCAAAAAGACCAATACAATTGTCCCTATCCACAAGGTTCCAAGTTTCCAAATCTTTCTGGTGTGTCATAACTGCTACATCATATAAAGGGCTTTGAGGCATTCATATAAGAAGTCCATTGTCTACCTTTATCATTACTATCATTATATTCAATAAACATAGATAAAGCCAATCACTTTCTAGGATATAATGCTTTGGGATATCTCCTCCCTAAAATGGAAAAAAGTATTTTCAGGGATTCACAATGATAAAAGGCACAACTAGGATGGTTCCCCTTCCACACCTCTTTTTTATGTTTTTCAACTCAACAGACTATACAAAGAAATAATATAAAAGAGCTCAGATCTATATCTTTCAGCAGGATAACTCTCTAAGATCAAATAGCATGGAAGCAGAGTCAGGGAATTGGGGAATAATAAGGTCAGAGAAAAACTGTGTTTTAAAATAACTGGACCTGGTTTGGAGCTATGGAGAAAAGAAGTTTAAAAATTCTACAGTACGGTACATCTCTTTTGGAAGAGGCAATTGGGCAACGAGTTGGAATGTAGCCTTTAACTTATGACCACAATTGGGACTGAAATTTCTGTTGTAAGTCATTGTAGTTAAAAACTGAGTCATCCCATGACGGGATTTTATGGCCATTTTTAATGTGATTGCTAAGTTGAATCACAGTCTTAACTATAAATTAAGTGACAAGTGTGTACAGAACTCAGGTTTCAAAGGATTTTATTATAAACTATTTGAAGCTTCCAACTATGATCCAATGTCTTCTATTCACACAGAATTCTCACAAGTGACAAATAACTGGCGTGGGGCCCAAGAGTGGTACACAACCCTGGGGATGTTTGGTGGCTTGAGACACACCCTCCGCTTTTTGTAACATTTCAAATGTTTTAACTTGTTTTAATTCTGTTAAACCTGTTTGACACTGTTTTTTAACTATGTCTTTTTACAAGACCACATGTTTTGTTTGTAAACTGCTCAGAGGCATTCATTCATGTGAGAAGGGTAGGGTAGAAATTTGATAAATAAAAAAACAAAAACAAATAAATAAACATAGATTCTCCCAGAAGTTGAAGAAAGTCATTTTTCTTATGGAGATTTTAGCAAGCAATTGTAGCCTGTGGAATAAATCTAATAGCTATAAATAAAAGAATAGTAATAAGATTATTATATGTAAATGCAATAGATTCAAACCTCTTCTAGAAGCACAGGTAAACCCAGACGAATAGCATTCTCCAGTGTACGTAGGAAACCAGTGTCTGTGAGCTTAATTATTTTTAAACCACATTTTGCTTCTTTGTTTCTTATCCAACGGTTTGCCTGTATATTAAAAAAGATATCATTAAATGTGAAATTTTAATTGAACCCTAAAAGGACTGTTCATTTTATTTTCTTAAAACATTCAGATCCTAAAATTAATTTCCTTCTCATTTCTATAATTGTTATATCAGCACAGAGTGAAATCAAAATCTACTGTTTGCCTTGTTTTTTCAGGGTGATAATTAGAGGCAAAATGAGAATTTAAACCAATATTCCTCAGTTATGCTCATGCTTACGCAAGTAAAATTAAGATAAATACAAGAGAAGTTTCTACACTGCCAACTATGTGAGATCCTCCACCTATGGCAAGGAATTCAGATGAGAAATAGGATTGTTATAACAAGCAGCAGAGGGATCCTTCAAATCTGATACATATAATAGTGGTGGTATTAACAGTGTAGTAGAGTATTTTTTTAAGGTTTGAGAGAAAGAACACTATCAGCGTTGAGAATATGTCAGGGTTTATTTACTATCAACAATTCTCAGTTTATTTGCAGAAACTAGGAAATATGAATGGTTTCTCGTCACTCCAAGTTTGAAAATGCACTGTATATTTTTTTAAAATATGGGGAATATCTACAGAAGATGCTATTGGCAGCGTGGATTTGCAAGGTTCAGGAGGCACCTTCTTCATACATGGCAGTTATTAGAATGAGAATTTGATAAGGAACTTTTCATGACAGCAACTAAATTATTGTTTACTGGGCTGCACTTTTTAAAACTCTTTTTCTTGGCATAAAGGTAAAAGAAAACAGACTACAGTGGCAACATGATAGGCACCTGATTGAGAATTACTTCAGTGATCCTGGCTTCTCACCACAGAGTAAGGAATAAATGACCACATATATAGATTTTAATTTTCCTCTATTCTTTAATAATAAATTCCCTATTCTATCTAACCAATGGAGGAGAATGATATAATTGAAGCTGGAAGACAATGTCTAGTTAATTTGAAACAACTATGTCCTTTCTTTCACATAGCTACCTTGTTCTACAAGTACACCTATTTTATCACAGGGTAACTTCCATTTTGTTTTGTTTTGTTTTATTTGGTAGATTTACATGGCCACCCATTTCAAATACATGACTCTATTGATATTGCTTTTTTGTAGCTATTATTGCTATACCCTGCCATTACAGAAGACTGCCAGATATTACTGTGGTATGTATTGAGCCCAGAAGTGAATAGTTCTAGGGCCAATTAAAATGTTGAAGGATTTCTGGGTATTCAAAAGCCAACAGTTCTAGAAAGTGGATAGCAGCTATTGGATAGATCTTCTATAATAATTGAGAAAGAAGGAGGTGTTTGTTTGTTCAAAGAATCCAGATCACAGTGATAGGTTGGTGAAATTGTAGTTGGGAACCAGAGGGAAGATTAAAAGGATCAGTGGTCCAGTTTGACAAAGTCAATTCAGAAAAGTAGTGGCAAATCCCTAAATTCTTCTGTGACTTTCTTTTTCTTTTCAAACTATTAGAGCAAGGTGACAGAAGAAGGAATACATTATTCAGAGACTAGAAGCTAAGCTGGATCTCTAAAGGAACATAAACCAACAACACTGAATAATAATTGCACACGTCTTTATAGAAACAAACTATATTTCTTGAATATGTCAGCTATGAATAAATGATTAAAATAAACACTTACCTGATCCTGAGGATCAATCATGAGTGGCCAGCGCCGTCCACGTGTAACTAGAATGCCATTTTCAGTTGAAACATAATCGCGAGGTAATCCGTCAGTATTCCACTGTCGAATTTCATAGGGATCTCCCAAAATATTTATAAGACTGAAGTCAGAACTAATAGGAATGTCTAGATCTTGGCATTGTTTGATCCAGCATTCAATTAACTAATTTGAAAAGGGAAACACAAATCAGGAAAAGCTATTTCAGTTACTGTAAGAAATACTAATTATTTTAATCAAGACAAGGTTTGCATGAGAGTTAATAAGGCAGATGTTCAATATGAAGATATATTTAACTGGATGATCTAAAATTATATAGTAATGTTTTGGGATATAAATAATCTTATAAACCAAAAGACCTTTCCCTTAATGAGATTGTCAAAATGAGTAGGACCATAATTCTGATTTTTCAGCAATTGCTTTTGACTTCGGTAGTGGAAAATTATATACAATTGTAGCTGGGTAGTAATCAATGGAATTGGTAGATATAAAAGTTCAAGTACTGGTAAAAAGAATTCAATGGTCCTTAACATTAAAAAAAACCCTAATAATAAAAACATCCCAGATCCTTGGGAAGGATTCTATAAATATTTGGTTGACTGTGTAACCAACCATGAAAATCTAATTATGTCAATATTTTTGCTTTTGTAGGCATCTATTAATGATACTAATCTATTTTTAGATAATTTTAACTTTTTAAACAATTTGTAATTTCCACTAAAACACAGGTAGTCCTCGACTTACAAAAGTTAATTTAATGACCGTTCAAAGTTAAAATGGCACTGAAAAAAGTGGCCATTTTTTTTACAGTTACAACTTTGTAGCATCCCCATGATCATGTCATCAAAATTCATAGGCTTGGCAACAGGTTCATACTTATGACCGCTGCTGTGTCCCAAAATCATGTGATTACCTTTTGCAACCCTCTGGCAAGCAAAGTCAATGGAGAAGCAAGATTCACTTAACAACCGGGTTACAAACTTATCAACCACAGTGATTCACTTTACCACTGTGGCAAGAAAGGTGATTAAATGGGGCAAAATTCACTTAACAAATGTCTCAGTTAACAACATAAATTTGGGGCTCAATTGTGGTCATAAGTCGAGGATTATATGTAAATAAATACATAAAGGGGAATAGGGGAAGCGGAAAGCGAACAAAAATGAAAAGAAAGTACACAGTTATGAGACCTAGAGATAATGGGTAGATGAGGAGTAGGAAAAGGGATTCTCAAGGTAATATATCACGGTATACAAGAATACAGACTTTTAAATTGAAAAGATTGGAACTGATTTTTTGGGGGGGTTTGTTTCTTTTTTTAAGGATTATGGCTAAATCACATATAGCTCTAACTGGAATAATTGTGGAAATGGGAATTTATGATAAGAATGATAAGTGTAAAGAAGAATAAAATTAAAATGAATTATCCTTGAGAAGGAGCCTTTCATAATTTTCTCCACTTCAAGTAAAACTTCAAGCCTCTAGTTGGCAGTGTTACAAAGTTTCTTAGTTCTCACTTTCCCCCCTCCTCTCACAAAGAGATAGTTAAAGTTCAAAAAAAAAGAACAAGAGATATATACATATATATACAAAAAGAGAAATAACCAAAGGGAGCCTCTAGCTTAGAAAAGAGTTAAAAAGAAAAAAAAAGAGATCCAAGGGAGAATGAAATATATGTAGAAAGAAAAAACGAGACCAGTCCGGTTATCTACTAAGTAGCAATAAAGTCCGGTAACAAAAAATAAAATAAAAATAAAAGTAAAACCTCGCTTTGACGTCTCCCTTAAAAAAACGCCGCCAATTCAGTTTTGTCAAAAATCACACAGATTTCTTCTAACAGTCAAAGTGTCCTTTCAAACCTCAAAATATTTAAAAAAAAAGCAGTTTCTCACCCAGCCGACACACTTTCTCTTTCAGCCTCTTCCTTTCCGGAGCTGCCCCGACTTCAGAATCATGGGGGCTGCCTCTTCGCCGCCAGCAAAAGGGACTTCTCCTGGGTCATCCAGGGACTTTGCGGTGTCCCTGGGATCCACATGGTATGCCCCTCACAATAACCATCCCTATGGGACGGTTTAGGTCCGTTTGGACCAGCCAGGGGCGAAGATATCGGCTGCAATCATAGAGCTCGATTGCAAGCCGTATCGTCTCGGCGCTAGCTCCTCCCCTCCTCTCCTCTTGTGATAAGATAGAGGGAAGAGCGCAGTATTATTACAGGTGCTTTTCTGGATTTCTATCAACAATTAAATATTTATTGCTTGACTTTGAAGCCTGTGGGAAAGGGAAGTGAGCCATAACAAAAGCCTTGGACAATTAAACAGAGTGCAGTGTGTTGTTTCTTTCTCTTAAAATCCCTTTTTTAATTCCACTACACCCCCCCAACTAGCATTATTGTAAATTCTTATTTTAGCAATGCTTCTATTTTTACTCTTTATTTTCAAGGGGAAGCCTTAGAATTTTTTTTATTTTTACTTTTATTTTTTCTCCTTTTTTATTGGGATTTTTGTTTTTTCTATTTATACTCCTGGATTATTTTGGTCTCCTTTTCTTTTCTTTTTAAATTGGGATTCTCTAATTGGATTAAGGTTTGAAGAACCTGAAGATACTACTTCTTTTTTTTTTCTTCTCTTGCTTTGTTCTTTTTTTTATTATTATTATTACTGGGCTCGCTTCTTTTTATTTTTATTTTTTATCCTGGATTACTCTATAATTGGATTAGGGTCAGGAAGAACCTGAAAAATCTCCTTTTTTTTCCCCTCTTTTTTCTTTTTTTTCTCTCTCCCTCACTATTGGATTTTTTGCTGCTGGACTTTTCCACTTTGGATTATAATTGGCTACGTTTTTGATTGGATTAAAATTTGAAAGAACCTGAAGATTTTGAACCACCTAAAATGAGTAGGAAATTCATACCCCTGGGTGCTTCCATATCTCCTTCTGCTTCCTCACCACCTGGAGGACAACGTTCAACGCAGGTAATGTCAAAGCAAGATAAAGAACAAGAAAAAGTAACTTTACTGATGATCATGCAAGGAATTCAAGACCTTAAGACAAAAATAGATATTATTGAACAAAGAACAGGGAAGACTGAAGAAAAGGTGGAAAATATCCAATAGATGATGGTGAAGTATGATGTGAGAATTCAAAAAGTTGAAGAAGAGGGTAAACGAAGAGAGGAGAAGATTGGAAATATTCATACTAGATTAATGGTGGTTGAACAAGAAAAAAAGCGGGATGATGAAGTGGGAGATGGAGAGGTCCGAATTTTATCTTAGATTCCAAAATATAGAGGAAGAAAAAGGGCAAGACTTGGCTGCGATAATGATAGAAATCTTGGCTGATGCTTTGGAAACAACAGAGGAAAAGATGATGGATGGAGTAGATGAGATATATCGAGTTTCCACAAGATATGTGATGAGAAATAACCTACCCAGAGAAGTCCACATTAGATTTACTAAAAAATCTATTAAGACACAAATTTTACAAGCGGCAAGAGAGAAGATGTTGAAATACAAAGGTAAAGAAATCCTGGTCCTAAAACAAATACCTAGAAGAGTGAGAGAGATGAGAGGAGAATATCGATTTCTGACCAAAGCGTTATTGAAAAAGGAGGTGAATTACAGATGGCTGATCCCAGAAGGATTGATGTTTATATGGCAAGAAAAGAGATATAGAATTGATTCAGTTGAGAAAGCAGAACTCTTCTACGCAGATTTTTTTGGAAGGAGAGAGGAAGAGGCAGAAAAAGAGGTCTTATTAACTGAATCCCAAGAGGAACAAATGGAGATGGAAAAAGAAGAAGGCGTAGTAGGTGGACAGGTGGATATCAAAGACCAACGTGAACCAAGATGTATGAGACCCGCCAAGTCTAAATATAAAATATCATCATGGAAGAGAAAAAATTGATAACAATGAACATAAACGGACTGAATTCAGCTGCTAAGAGAAGGAAGACTTTTCATAAATTAGGGAAATTAAAGTTTGACATAATTTGCTTACAAGAAGTACATATTAAAAAACAACATGAACAATTGTTAGTGCAGCCAAAATTAGGGAAATTATTTACTTCTTTGACTCAATGTAAGAAAAGAGGAGTGGTCTTATATATTAAAGAGGCTATCCCCGCAAAACTGATCCACGCTGATGAAGATGGAAGAATATTAATGGTGGAAATGATGGATAATAATATAAAAATACTTTTGATTGCAATTTAAAAAAAACAATAGCACTTAGACTTATATAGCGCTTCAGAGTGCTTTTACACACCTCTCTAAGAAAGAGCATATTGCCCCCAACAATCTGGTCCTCATTTTACCAACCTTGGACAGATAGAAGGCTGAGCCAACCTTGAGTCTGGTGACATTCGAACTGCCAAATTGCAGGCAGCCAGCAGGCAGCAGAAGTAGCCTACAGTACTGCACTCTAACCACTGCGCTCCCGTGGCTCATAAATATTTGACCTGAGCAGCATGCTCCCAAATCACTATTTCCATTCTAGGTTACAGTTTCCATTTACACATTTTTCCTTCTTTTTGATCTTGATTATTATTTTAAAGAGCAGCATCAAAAAATATCCGTTCCCTTAGCCACTCTTGATTACTGACAGCAAAAAGGGGAAGATCATGATTTGGCTGTGTAGATTTTTTTTACAGTTCTCCATATGTGGAAAAATTATTTGCACTTATTTAGATTTACAAGTGCTTCTATGATGTACAGCAGTGGTTTATGAAGCATACAGGCTTCATAATAAGATAAAAATAAAAGTCAAATCAGTAAAAGTTATGGTCTAGAGAAAATAAATATTTTAATTTAACTCACCAATTGCCTATAATGTGCAGTAAAAGCCCCATAGTAGGCTACACAAGCAGCAGCTATGAATACATTTCCAGTGATATTTGAAATCTCTGCCTCAAAATTCAAAATACTTTCTTCCCATCGAACCTGTTCATCCCCTAATGCAGCTGTAAGTCTTCCAGCGCGGTTGAGACGAGCCTGAGTCAGTGCCATGGTCTTTGCTAAACAATGATAATTCTATTAGATCATGGTTATAATTCAGAGTAATTCATTTCATCAACTATTTTTTGTCTTTTGAATGACTAACAAAACACAGCACTAGAGTTAGCAATATGAAAGATTTCATTATGGAGTAATTCTTAAAAAATAGATTACGATCATTTGATTTTGTGTTGATAATCTACACTTTCGTACCAGACTGCCTTCCTAACATAACATGACACATTTCTCACATATGGATATTTTGCTATTACATTTTGTGTGTACGGCTTCAGTGAAAATATGTTTTTGAAAGATGACGTGTAAGCAGGATTTTAAGATGTTACTAAACTACACTTTTACAAGCAGTCCTCAACTTACAACAGTTCGCTTAGTGATCATTCAAAGTTACAACAGCACTATAAAAGTGCCTTAGAACATTTTTCACACTTACAACAGTTGCAGCATCCCCAATGGTCACATGATCAAAAATTCAGCAACTGATTCACACTTACGATGATTGCAGTGTCCCAGGATGATGTGATCACTTTTTCAACCTTCTGATAAGCGAAGTCAATGGGGGAGCCAGACTCACTTAACAACCATGGCACTAATTTAACAACTGCAGTGATTCACTTAACAACTTTGGCAAGAAAGATCATAAAATGTGGCAAAACTCACTTGACAACTGTCATGCTTAGCTACAGAAATTTTGAGCTCAATTGTAGCTGTAAGTCAAGGACTACTTGTATTAGTACAGATTTCATGAGAGCTTAGAACTCGTTCCATACACTAAGAAGATAATTAAGAAACACCACTCTGAAATATTTTTTATAATTTTTAAAATAGGTACTTACCAAGGGTTTCTTTTTCATTCACACTTCTTTCATATTGATCTTGTAATTCCTGTATTTGTTCCTCTACCTGTCTCAGTTTTTTTTGCTTATCACGAAGGGTAGCTAAAGTTGCATCAAGTTCTGCCTAATCATAATACGAATTAATTCAAATTATTATTCTGCCATATATTCTGAATGTCTTATTTTATTTATTTGCTCAGTTGCTTTCGAGCAAAATAGAATATGGAAGAAACTACAAATAATTATACATTATCACTACTTATATAACATTATAAATTATGTAACATTTAATACATATTCATGTTCACTTTGAGGAATCTCAAGATTTCCTCAGAATGAGTCACCATCCTTAAAAATAGAATTGCATCTGAATCAAAGTATCACAAATCCAACTCTTTTGGTACCATGCCAAACTAACAATTTATTGTAATACCAATCTAATTTAATATATTAGTAAATGGAACAGCTATAAAATATTCCTTCCTACACCCGTTCATGCACACATGCTTTGTTGAGAACAAAAATGTTGGAATGGGAATTATAACAACAACTTTCCTTTGAAAAGTTCATGGGCAAATAGGCAGCGGCAGAGATTTTCCTCCCTGATTTCAATTTTATGTTATATTGCCATATGATGGTTCTCATTTATCAGATAATCAAATATTTCTGAAATATTGCTACTTCACTATGGCATGCCACCTAAAAACACGTAAAATGTATGGACTAATGATTTTGGGGCATGTTAGCAAAATACATTAGATTCATTTATTCAATTTATAGTCCTCCATTCTGTTCACATTAGGGTCAAAAATGCTAACAACAACCAATTACAGAAATGCCAAATATATTTCTTCTCAAAGATATAGAAATAATAACATTATAGCCCTCCCTCCCCCTGGCCACATGTTATCATATAAGCATCTTGCTACAGAAACAAATCTTAATTCTTCTAAAGATGTAAATGAAGGCAATTTCAGAAACAACACATTCCCTAATTTGCGGAACATGCAAAATAGAAATGTAAAGAGGAAAACAAAATAAAAACACAAACATTGCCACTCATAAAAATAAGCTGATGACTGAAACTTTAAAAAACATCATTCACTTGCAATTGCCTCAACTTTATATACAGACGGGGATTGTTCTGTGGGGAAGTGGGAAGTACATAAACTCAGCCCTAGCTCTGTCCGTTTGATTTAAAGGAGAGAGTTTGATAAAGGAAAAAAAAACAATATTGAAATTGTTGTGGTAGCAGTGCTACTCTTCAGACAACGGTAATTTGAAGGGATTTCTATAAAAGCTTAAACTAAGCAAATGTTCTCCATTACTGTCAGCTTGGTCTAAGTAAGCAAATGCAGAAGGGCAGGTCTAAAGAATCAGCAAATTCTTCTTTGACTCTGTGCTTTTGCAAGACAAGAAGAGAAAAATATTCTATGCTCCTGCAGGTTTGGGAATGAAATGGAAAGAGAAAGAAAGGCATTTAACATCTAACATTACAAATAAAGAATTTTCATAATCCAAGACAGGTTACATGTCAAATATAGGAAGGAATTCTTTCATTGTATGAAAGAATCAATAGAGAACCGATTGTACTAGAAAAAGTGCTTATTTTCATCACTTAGTTGCTAATAGGTAAAAACAGAAGAGAATTGATTCACCAGTTAATAAACAGACTGCAGATAAAAAAAAATTGGGAAAAAAAGAATAAATACCTGGGCAGCATGTAACTTTTGCCTTTTTGGCTCGACCACCTTTACAACGCGAGAGTATAAATCCATAGCTCTCACCCACATGCACATAGACTTGCATGCCTTTGACACTTTCTCTACCTTTTCTGGCACAAAATCAGGATTGTTTATGTATTTCTGAAGCTTACTTAATATCGCGCTCTTTATATTTTCTTTATCATATTCTAGAAGCTTCCTCAGGAAAGCGGAATCACTGAGTAGTTGTTTTGCTGTTGCCCAGTCAGGCCTGAAAGATTAAAATGAAAAGATTGATGAAGATCTTCCCTGGAAAATATATATTGTAAAAAGATCAGTATTATACATATATATATATATATATATTTAAAAACCCTCCAGTTTTAAGATGAAATATACTGCATGTTTATGACCTACAGGTATATCCAGTATACAGACTTGGTGAAAAGAGTTAAAAAAGGCTTCTGATCCTAGGGGGAGGATATAATACAAGGAAATTGTGCTGGATGCTGCATGTTTAAATTATTTTTTTTGCAGTATCATAAACTGAAGCTGCTATGGTTTGTCCCACAGTCAGCCAAGATGGTCAGACTGAATTTTGCATTTTTATCTATTTACTGAGTCCTTTCCAAGGAGCTGGGATAGACAAGTGTGAATGTTTGATGGGGGATCATTGCAGGATGAAAGCTGTTCCAAGTAAAGCTTATTATTATTTAGAGTTTTTTTATCCCACCTTCATTATTTTTTATAAGAGAGAGACAGAGAGAGGGGAGGGAGGGAGGGAGGGAGGGAGGGAGAGGGAGAGAGAGAGAGAGAGAGAGAGAGAGAGAGAGAGAGAGAGAGAGAGAGAGAGAGAGAGAGACTGGCCCAAATTTGGGAGTAGAATTTACAGTTTCCTGTAAATCTAGCCTTCTAGCCTGGTGCCTTAACCATTATGAATATCATTTAATTCATTTTTTGAAAAAGAAAGTATATTAATTGCTACAATTTCTCTTTCTGTACAGCATAGAAAATTTAACTACATCCCAACATATAAAAATATATAATTTCATTATCCTGAGGCAGTTTTTTTTATCTTTCTTTTTCCTTGGCAAACACAAGGTTCCTTTCTATTTTTTAAACAGAATATATGTTTTCATCCATATCACTGACATCCTCTAAAAAGTAAATGAGAGATTGATAAAACATGCTGCCATTTTTGATGTCATACATAATTCTTTTTTATGCAGAAATGGAAAGAAGGCGATTTACAACTGCATCTTGAGGCTTAGTTCTGCTGAGAAACTGAAATGCCAGCACTAAATAGTCCAAGTGTTGTACTTTATTTGGCAAATAACATTACTGTGGGCTGCCTGCAATCCTATGCCACACCCTCCAAAATCAATTATTAAATGTAGATTTTTATTTCTGAGTAAACATGTATAGGGTTACACTCTTTATGTACTATTATAAATAACATAAAAGATGTGATTAATTACAGTCCTTTGTTATAGGAAGAGAAACTCATAAATGAAATGTTCTGATTTCTCTTCTCAAAAAAGGATAATTATCTTCATGTCACACTTTCATTCAAGAGCTCAAATTGCTACATGACAAAACAATGTTGTTTTAAAATCAAGACTACTGAAACATAAGCAAAACATCCAAAAACGAAAACAATTCTATATTGTTCTATATGATTTAATGCATTAAAAAGGATATGGAGTATACAGATTCTCAAACTGATATCAGTAGATGAAGAGAAGATGGCCTTGTAAGAAATTGACAATCATATAAATAAACTGATACTATTTAGTCATAGTTATTGAACAGTTACTCCATTTTAAATTGGTAATATTGGACAGCATTTCTATTTATTCAGATTCACTGAATCCAGTGGGGTTGGTTTTTTTGTAAATCTTATTAAGAGTAAATCAGTACTAAATCCATGGTTTTGTCTCATAAATATGTGTAATTGTGTAACATAAATATATATTCTGATCAATTTATTTAAAACAAAAATACAAGGTGATAATCTTGATTAAATTAAGCAAGCAAATGAGTCAGTTACTGTTATTTTAACCATTTAGTCATATCTGACTATTGGCGACTTTATAGGCAAGTGCTGTCCATGCTATCCTGTCAAGCACAGCTTCTTTCAATTGTTGGATGCACAACTTTGTATCAGATTTAATGTTATAAAGCCAGCATGTTTTTGCTTTCCCCTTCTTCTTGTTCCATTAATCATTCCTAGTATCATTGCCTTCTCCAATGGATTTGCATGCATGACATGGCCAAAATAAATCAGACATAAACAAATGAGTAGTCATCATAAAACATCAAAGATGTGCATCTATTTAGGGAGTTATTCATACTCATAAGCAGATGGGACATACAAGGCTTCGAAGGGTAGAGTCAACTTGCAAATTTACTCTATGTGTCAGTTTTGTCTGGCTTGGCATGTACAAAACTGAATTTAGATTCAATATGGAATAGTTGATTGCAAATGTCAGTCATTAGATAGACTATGCTAAGGGCAGAATGGACTAGCTATGAGATGTCCAGCCATCCTTATATTCTCTACAAGATGAATCAGACCGCAGGGCATTTTAACCATTGGGGAAGACAGTTCAGAGAATGGTGTGGGCATTTGGTCTTTTGGAAAGCTTAAAGGTCAATAAAATACCTATGCCAGCAGCCAATTGAACAGCTATATTTCGAGGCTGTGCCACAATAGTTGACAGCTTGTCTGGGGGAAAAATGTATAAAACAGCTGGAACAGTGCAATGGCAGAAGAAACATGGAAGGAAAAAAATATCAGCAAATATTGAGAGGAAAAGGGTGCTGAAGTCTACTGTAAGCATTAAGGAAGAAGTATAGTTTGGTGATAGTAAATGAAGTCCTACATACAATGAGGTGGACCAGAGTCAGAACTTGTATTTATTTTTTATCCCACCTTTATTATCTGTATAAATAATCTAGTGAACATACCTCCTCCCTTCTTCCTCCTCCCATTTTCCCTCAAACACAACCTTATGAGGTAGGTTGGGCTGAGAGCGAATGCCTGGCCCAAAGTTACCCAGCCAGCTTTTCATGCTTAAGGTGGAACTAGAACTCATGTTCTCCTGGTTTCTAGAAGGGTGCCCACTATACAAACCTATCTTTTCAAAAAGTATATTACTATGCCTTTCATTTGCTCTCCAATAACTACACTTGAAGGATCATGCTTTACTGAATTCCTTTGGGATAGGCTGTCAACATTCAAAGCAACATTTCTTTTCTCAAGGTTGCACACCGGCTGTAGAAGACAACTGTGTGACCTTGGGAAGAGTCTAAGTAGTTTTAAAAAATTGCTGAGAGGTGCCAGGTGTTCTCCGAGGCATATTTATCCTTTTGAATTCGAAGCCCTAATATGGGGGGGGGGGGGGGGAATAGGACAAAAGACCTATCTATAACTATTACCAAAGGGGTCACCAGTTTTATGGTTTCAGCTTCATGACATTAGCTATTTCAATAGCTGTTGGGAAATTTGGATCAGAGGGGCATCACGTATAATTCCACAAAAGATGGAAAAATTAACACATGCTGAAGAAAATTGCTTTCAGAAACAACATCACTCTAGGTGAAGGATAAAAGCTACCAGTCAATACAGAAGATTAAATATACAGTATAGCAATCTTACTTTGCATTTAAAAGAATACAAATAGCTTCCATCACGGTCATGACAAGATCAGGAGGTTTAGTGAAAACTCTGATTTCAGAAATATCTGCCTTATCTAAAGAATCTAAGGCTTTGTTGGCAGCTTCTAAAGCTGGAAGGGCTTCATCCAAATCTCGCTGGGCATCATCAGCTATTGCCTGAGTTTCCTCTGCTTTTACTTTTGCAACAGCTTCATCTTCCTGAACAACACGCCGAACCTGGAAGAAAAAAAGAGTCACCTTGTAGGGGAGAAGGGCAGCATAAAAATTTAATCGATAAATAAAATAAAAAAAGAAATACACATTTTAAGAAAAAAATATTTTAAACACAGATAATCCTCGACTTAAGACCACAATGAGGAACAAAGTGATTTTGATCACTAACAGTGTGGTTGTTAAATGAGTCTTCACGTGACCCCCCCCAATTTCACAACTATTTTTAACATTGTTGTTAAATGAATTACACGGTTGTTAAGCAAATCCAGCTTCCCCCATTGTTTCTGCTTGTTGGAAGCCGGCTGGAAAGGTTGCAAATTGCCATCCTCTGACTATGGTTGCAAATGCAAGCCAATTGCCAAGTGCCCAAACTCATGTGACTATCGGGGTGAGGCAATGGTCGTAACTTTGAGGACAGATCACAAATCACTTTTTAAAGCACTGTTGTAGCTCCAAACCATTGTGAAATGAATGCTTTTAAATTGAGGATTACATGCAGATTTCCTAAGAAAATGAAATAGAACAGGTAGCAGTCATTGCTTATATGGGAATTCAGAATTTAGTGGATTAGATGAAATATCCTTAAGCAAAATTATTCTAGTAGGAAGAACAGTGTATGGAGGAGGAGACAGGACTCCAATGCTATCTTCCTCATTGCCTCAAAGGATTCCTTAGTTCTCCAGAGTTTAAAAACAGAGGGGGGAATTGTATAACCGGAGAAATTCCTTCCCTTTTCAGGCAGTGGAATTCTGGTGGATCGAAAACCTCCATTAAAGTTTATTGTTTCTATTTAGTAAAATTCTTCTACTAGAGCCATGGTAGTGCAATTGTTAGAATGAAGATAATTCTGCCGACTGCCAGCAATTTGATTCTGACCAGCCTTCCATCCTGCTGAGGTGGGTAAAATGACCCAGATTGTTGGGGGCAATAGGCGGGCCCTGTAAACCGCGAAGAGAGAGCTGTGAAGCACTATGAAGTGCCATTGCTATTATGATCTGATCTTTTAACATGTGAAAGATATCACTTTCTTAATGAAGAAAGTTAAAAACTCTGCATTGATAAAGCTTTCCCTACCCAAAGCAAATGAGACTGCACTTCGAGTAGTTTTTGGTTTATGGTCACAGATGAGCACAAAATTATGATTATAAATTGTGGCAGTCATGAAGTAAGAAGCTCATGTGATTGCCTTGCTTAATGGCCACAATTCCTGCTTTTTACATTATGGTTAAGTGGCCCTCTATGTCATTAAGTGGGGAGTTTGGTATTCACATGTGTTTTACTTGGGTGTCTCCCACCTCGAGGCACCCTTTTCAGAGTTTCCCACCCCACTAGTTTCCATAGTCTTGGAACTTCACTCATTCTAGTCACAACTCACTCCACTTACTGAAAACCACCTTTGAGAAAGAGAGCTAGCCAGTCTTCCTCTATAGAGGCCACATGGTACTATTCTGGAAGAGGGCACCATTTTGGAAGCAGTGGCAATTCTCGAATTGCAAAAATTGTGGCCATTCCCAAAATGGCAGATTGGCTGATCTGTTTCTCAGAGGTGATCTCAAAGATGCTTGTGCATTCCTATTTATTAGGGAATACAAAACCATTTGGCATTCACATTCTTAAAACATCCACATATTAACTTATAACATAACATGCAAACACCCTTAAATGTTTTTATATATGTTACTTTATCTAGGAACTGCCAAACAGAAAAATATTCAGATAGAGGAAGACATACCGTGGCGTTACATTGATAAATAAATATATATTAAAAAAATTTAAAATATTTAATAACATTTTATACCTGATCAGCGTTTTCTTGATCGACTGCTAATTTTTCCATCAAGGCCTCAACATCCACTGATTTCTCCTTGAGAACTGGTTCTAAAGCAGAAAGATCTAATTTCATTTTGTCAACAAGTACATTTGTCTCTAACAGTTTGGATAAACCATTCTTTACCCGATCCCGAGCCTGAAAAACAAGCAAATAAATACTGATAATTGTTTCAGTACTTTGAAAAGATATTATCTTAAAAATCTGATGCAGGTGGCTGTTTTCAGTAATTCTATGGATAATCTTAGTTAAATTAAAATGACCATAATAATGATATCAATATTTTAATATGTATTTATTACCATCATTTTAATTAGCCAAATCAGCATGCCAAAGAAATTACTCGACTGGATAGCTTTAGCATTTCTTTTACTAAAAAACATTATCTTTTACAACAAAGAAAGTAAATATTTCTATCAAAGTTAATCTAGTTTTCACACTATAATTGACACTTTGCTGCAATGTTTTTTACTCAAAGACTGTTTTATTCTACTAGATCTTAGGGTAGACTTCTTCAACTGGTATTCCTTAATCAGACCATAGCTCCCCAAATTTCAAACCAGAATGGTCTAAAGCAGGGGTCCCCAATTCCCGGTCTGCAGTATGTCAGAAACTGGCTACACAAACAAGCAAAGCCCCAACTGAGGGATATAGGTAGCACATGAAACCGCACCCCTTCCAGTCTGCGGAAAATCCTCTCTCCATGGAATTGGTCCCTGGTGTCCAAAAGCTTGGGGGCCACCAGTCTAAAGACAACTGAAGAGTGAAAAAAGCTAGTCCATATTGTACCAATCTAGTAGGTACTTTTTGCTGAGATAGACATTTCCATCCATGCTGCTATGTCCAGTTTTGCCGCATATAACATTTGAAGCTTATGGAGATTTGAAGTCCTAGCTCTGTGTCTACATATGAAGACTAGAATACATTGTCATTCATTGTACAGATTAGTAGCATCTGTCTGGAAGATAACTGCACAAAACTCCTCTTATCTGTGAAAAGTATGGCTAAAACCAGCAACATAGCTGTTTTTCCTGAATGTAGATTGCCTTATTCAGAGACAGAAATGTTGACATCTGAATTTCTTATACAATCATGCTAAATTTAGATATAAATGGGTGAGGGATTATATTTAAGCCAATTTCATAGAAATGATACTGACACTCCTACTACCGAATAGCAATATTTTCATTACAAAGAACAATATAAATAAGTTTGTTTGTATGACAACAGTGGGGTAGGGAATAAAACACGTTTCTATAATAAATTCCATTATTATTTAATACAGATCAACGTACTGAAACCAGTTGCTTCCTTTTTTCAGCAAGCATGGACAAATAAAGATTGATTAACTCTAAATAGGAAGTTGGTGTTGTATAGTAGCGTCGCCGGAGCTCTGCATAATACTGCTCTGCCATCTCTGTAACACTCATATGGATGTCTACACACATTACAGAAAGTTTCTCTTTCATTCGATCAGTTCCGAGATCAACATGCATAAAAAAAGTTCTTGATACAGAAAGAAGTGCTTCTTTTGGCCACTGGGGAGGAAAAAAGAGAAAATGACTATCTAAATAATCTTTCTTGAAATATATGTGCAATACACAAACCATTTTTTTTCCAATTAATTCAGCAGAATTGTCACTGAAAGACTAAAAGGATGTGGAGGCCATTATTATATTGTACTTAATATCATACTTTCATATGGCATGAACATAAGGCAGCTGCTTTAATTTATGATTTCTGGAATTGGAAAGAAATACTAATGTATTCCACTTGTAACCCATGAAAACAATGCTCATTGACTACTGAAGGATATTTTCCTTTTAGTTACTATTTTAGTTACTATACATTTAGCAGAGATGTTTCTTCTTTCCCTATAAAATGTAAAATAATTTTCTCAAAAGCCATGAATGATGAGAAAAACCAAGGGCCAATGTTTGACCATTTCCCAAAATTATATTAATTTGTACTTAAATTATAAGTTGAATATAATGTTTCAGAATATAGAAAAAAATAAATTTGATGGGAAAATAGCAGTCCTTAAAGTAGATTCATAAATTGTTTTAACATCTTATCAACATTCTTCAATGAATTATTTACCTGCACAAACCAGTCAATAGTGCAGCAGTTCACAAGGGAGGGAAACATTCGGCACCGTGCTCGGAAAGCATCTCCAACAGGACTCATACACAGGACAATGTGCAGCTTCTGTCGGACTCGACTAATGAAATACTGAAATACCTGAGAAAAGACAAGTTATAATTCAGTGATAGAAAGTAAACATAATTATTAGTATCATTTCCATCACCCACTTTTTAGACAGTTTGTGTTACTGAAAATGATATACTATAACAGGGGTGTCAAACTTGCATCATCATGGCATCGTCACGTGACGTATCAGGACTTTCCCCCTCATTGCTAAACCAAGCGGGGGCGGAGCCAGCACGTGATGCATCCGGTCCACAGGCCGTGAATTTGATGACCCTGTACTATAAGAAGCAATAGTCTAAATGACTTAAATATAGGTAGTCCTGGACTTACTATCACAACTGAGTCCAAAATTTCCATTGCTAAACAAGGCAGTTGTTAAGTGAGTTTTAACCTATTTTATTACCTTTTTGTCACAGTTGTTAAGTGAATCACTGCAGTTATTAATTGAATTGTGTGGTCATTAAGCGAATTCCCATTGACTTTTGTTTGTCAGAAGCCAGCTGGGAAGGTTACAAATGGTGATCACATGACTCTGGTATAGTGAACTGTCTTAAATACATGCCATTTGCCAGGTGCCTGAATTTTGACCATGGGCATGCTACAATGGTTGTAAGTATAAAAAACGGTCATAAGTCAATGCCATTGAAATTTTCAAATGGTCACTAAATGAATGGTTGTAAGTCAGGGGCTTATATACCTCTCTAATTCTTATAAATTGCTGATATATTTAAATATCTATAATAAACATGGATTTAAATTATACATGTAAATTTACAGTATTTATAATATCTTACCTCATCTCTGTTGCCCTCTGCTATTCCTACTTCTTTTGCCTTGGGTCGAGTAGCTGCCATGACAAACTCCAGTTCATCCTTTTCAAACAGATTAGGTACCTCTCCAGAATTCAAAATATTATTTATATCTTCTAGGAATTCTTCTACAACTATCTAAAGATTTTATAAATACCAAGTATTTAAAAAGTTATATTGTTAAAAAAAGAGTCAGAAACCAAACATTGCTAGAAAATAAGAGAAAAGAAAATTAGTATCCATTACAAGAATCAGATCTGGTTACTTCGAAAATACGTTTTCTTTTCAGTTTTACTTTTAATTTGTCACTCCTAAGTCATGTATAAAAAGCCAATCATGAAGCATTTCCCCGCATGATATTTACATCCAAAATATGCTGTTAAAAAAACTGCAGTATTAATTAGCATAAAGCATATCACTGCTGCTAAAATCTGAGATTTTCAGCAGAGGAACAGATGTCTCCTTTTTTCTCAGCATGTTATCTGTACTGTTGGATTGTTTATCCAAGACTGATAATTTGTGCTGTTTTGATTTATCTTGAATGGGGCTTACTTCTGAACATAAATAAATATTGAAAAATTAACCTCATCTAATTTTTTCTTATGAATGTCAAATCTATAAAAAAAAAAGAAAGTTTAAGCAACATCTTAAAAATCTGGAAATCAGTTTTACTGATTTCCTTTCTACCACAAATTTGCAAAATCCAAATTACTTAAGAGACGTTTATATTTTCAGCAGAACCAAGATTCCATGTATAATCATAATATTGCCTATTATTATTCTGCTTCACTAAATCAATACAATAAAATGTAGAAGAGTGTCCATATGTACCACAATACCCCACAGAACATAAATATCCTATATGGTATTTTCCTAATGACACACATGTCACTCAAATTCAGAAAAACACAAATGCATATATCCCGTCTCTCAGTGGGACATAGAAAGAAAGAAAGGTACATGCAGAAAAGCCACAGTTGTTTTTCTTAGAATTCAATGCCTATGTTTATCTGAATAAGATTTTTATAAATAGTTGCTGGATTAAGTTTAAAACTCCGTGTCTTATTTTTATTGTTTGTTTATTAAATTAATAGGCCACCCACCTTATCTCAAGGTAACTCTGTCTTAGGATTGATCTACTGGTATATGGTATCTAAGTTTTGTAGAGATTCTGTGCGTTATCTCAATATTTTACTTGTTTGGAATATTTTTTATACCTTTTTGTTAAATTATCTCTGATGAAATAAAAATTCTCAAACAAACTGTTTCCTAATGGAGATTTGGGGGATTAAGCTAAAAATTGCTACTTTAATATACGTTCCCAGGGAAACTAAAATAGTCAGCTAAACCATAAAACCTAGAAAAGGCCAAGAACGCTAATAAGCTGGGAGGCCACAGAGCTCCGGGAAAGCAAAAGAAATTAACTCCCTTGGGGGGAAAAAATCCACTACAATTACAGAATCCTGCCTTTAGTTCTCTCAAAACCCCATTGCTTTGTAGTCATGCCCCCATTACCTTATAGCTGCACCCTAATGGCTGCACTGACCTAACTAGGTATATGATCTAATCAAATACTTTGTGTTGGCTATATATCATGGAATACCTGACTGTTATCTATTTACATACATATTCTAATTTGTACACATCTCTTTAAAACAACTGTAGCTGGACAGGTTTTCTTAGGCCTCCTCCATTTCCTTCAAAGCTGGCAATAAACCAATTTGTGCTTCAGTTAATAAATTAATTCAATTCAAATATATCCCTGAAAATATATCTCCTACACTAAACATTCTTTACTAAGGGATTTGAGTAACCCCCCATGCCGAAATCAGTTATCAAAAAAAGTCCATCAGATCCCAGAGTACATTTCTCCTGGGAATTAAGTTGTCTTGCTGTGAGGCTAAACCACAGAATATCTTGCAGCATAAGGGAATGCTATTAATGATCCTTGAACCTGATAGAAGGAATTCGGCACATTAACCTTTGAGAAGAGATGACAGAAGAAGAACATGATAACCTTCAGATACCTGAAAGTCTGTCACATTTGTTTGTTTCTATCATTCTAGAGTGCACAATATGGATTTAAGTTACAAGAAGGAGGATTCTAAATGAATTTCAAAAAAAAAGGAGCAGTTTGACTGTGGAACAAATTAAGAAGTGATGAGTTCTCCTTTACTGGTGTTCAGGCAGAGACTATATGGCCGTCTGTCTAGGATGTGTTTTTGCACTGAGCAAGGGGGTTGATTTAATGGCTTTTTACAATTCTAACATTTTATAATATTTGACGATTGCTATAGGATTGGCCTCATTATTCAATTGATAGCTAAGCTTTTTCCATTTCATGTTACACAATTAACAGGCTCAGATGATGTGCCTTTGGCAGTCTGACTGCATACAGTATGACCTAATGATCATCTCTTTTGCTCCAGTTAAGAAAGGATACTGATTTAGTTCAAGATTGACAGATTTCAAGGGCAGAAATTAATCTTTTGAGAAAATGGAAGAAATGCTAAATTAAACAATTGCCTGACCAATGAGACTAATTTCATGAATGCCAGCATGTTTATGAATTATTAAGTTATTATTGTTTGGTATTGTTGGGAGAGAAAAAAATTAAAACATGCCTGATAAACAATGATAAATTATTTATGATCTGTAAATCGCAGAGTTGCCTTATTGGGGAAATAAGCATCATATAAACTTAATAAACAAACAAACACATATTTATATCACAAATTGAAGTATTTCATGTGTTCCATTTTTTTCTTTCATAGAGTAAAGGAAAAAGGCAAAAACTAAACAGGATTAACAAGAATGAACTAAAACAATTGGTGATGATATTCATGATGATCTATCACCGTAATAAAGATTTGATTTGATGCATGTGATGTTCAAAGAAGAAATAGATTTTAAATATCCCAATTCAATATTCATAACCAGGGCAACATTAGTACAGATTACATTATTAGAAAAACCACTGCTAATATAGCTAATAAATAGCAGTAAGAGTTACAGAATCATAATTTATTGTGGGGGTTTTCAAAGCTCTTTATCATTGTGTTAATTTTCAGCCAGAGAGATATTTTTAAATAACATTGCTCTAATTAAAGTTGTGTTTTAGTTTTCTAACATATTGCAACAGTAAACTTGGCAGCTAACAACAAGAATTGAATCTATTATATGCATCAATCTCTATGCTTCAGGAAATATGGATAATTAAAAGCAGAATTCATGATGAAAGATTGTAGGGTGATTTTCTTCAAAAACTTTGTAATAAAAAACTAATTGGGTATTATCACAAAAAATGATCATCCTATGAATATTAGTGACAGTTTATATAAATTTAGCACAGTGCCTCCTATTGATATTTAACTGATTTTGATGTAAACTAGATTTTAAAAGGTCTTTTATGCTTCAAAGATTAGAAACATACAATGAGCTGTATCAAGTGCAGAATCCTAATCCTCCAAGTTTTGATAAAAGCTTTCAGGACAAGCCTGCTGATTTTAATTAAATTTTACATACCACTGGAGAGATTTCCTTCTATTAAATGAGGTAGATACACATCAATCTTAAAATGTTGCTAATAATGTTAATCAATTATTTTCTTTTTTTAGAAAGAAATGCTTGATAAATAGTACAAACTATGTCACAATAACGGGGCTGCTTCATCGCAGTTCTAATTCTCCTATAAAATATGATTTATGTGAAGTGTGTCTACTGGAATAGCAGCCTAAATATTCCTGAATGCAGTTCAACTAATATCATATCTGATCCAGTAACCAATCTTGGAAACTAAAAAGAGTTTTGAAAGGTTTGATCTACTTAAATAATCTCAGTGTTAACAGGTTCCAGTTTCTAATGTACTCAAACTCTTCTACTACATTCTTCTTCATTCTATCCCACTGTATTTAATTTTTATTTCTGTTCTAAAATGTATTATTTGTATTCTATAATTAAATAACTGGGAGGGAAATGGAATTGTTTTTAGGAATGAAGAGAGCTTCCTTAATGTCCTTATGATATATCTTAGTAAATAATGATTATATATATATATATATATATATATATAGTGTGTGTGTAACTTACTTACTTATCAAACTTCTTAATTTCAAACAATTTTATAAGTTTAAAAAACCCACAACAGAATAGTAGAAAGGCTATTGTGTTGAAAAGGCAGAAAATGTATTTAACATCAGTCTGATATAATTATAAATGCAGTAAAGCAATGTGTGTTTGTGCTGTTTGGTGGGCGGGGGGCAGAGATAGCAGCCATAGAGACAAGGGCTTGAGTGAGCCTTTTGCAACCAATTCCCTACCTTTGATTAACATTACATCTTTATCAGTTGTTTATTGTATTGTTTCTCAAGCTGAGTGGAAATTGACCCTCCTGCTGCTTTCAGGCAGCAAATGTGTAAACTGTCTAAAATTACTGGTGGCACACCATTATTTGAAAATATGTGGTGGAGTTGATTATGAGAGAGGAAGCTATTCCAAGCAAAGTGCAGGGAGCCATGGGGGAAACTAACAGCAGCTGCAGAGAACTGCCATTATGAAAACTCATAGAGCTGAAATAAGTTTTCAAAAATAAGAATGGGGGTGGGGGTTGGCAGTTAAATCCTGGCTCAGCTGTGGTATAAGAGGTATCATTGTGAACTGAACTTTAAGATAGTGATACCAAAGCTTGGGGGCAGGCAGCGGGAATTTTTGCCTTCCATTATCTCTTGAGTTCCCAGTTCCTAATGAGGTTAAGCCTGAGTGATAAGACAACATTACAGGGACTGGGGTTTTTTATCCAGGGACTGGATAAACTAAATATGAGAACAGTGAATTTGAAGGTTTTGGAGCTTTTTTATGAAACTGGAGGGATGCTAATCGGCTCCTTAAGAGCAAATCAATACCTTTTCTTTCAAAGCCAAACATAACTTCACATTCCAGACATTCTGCTAAATCAGTGTTTCTCAATCCTGGCAGCTGGGGATTGAATTCTGGGGATTGAAGTCCACACATCTTCAAGATGCCAAGACTGAGAAACACTGTGCTAAATTATCTGAGAGTGCTCCTAATTCATCCAAAACAGCTGTCTAATATTTTTATGTTTCTGGGTTTTGGCTGAGATGCAACCCAAGGAATCCTGGAAGGATTTCATGCCAGAAATAAGGCAAGACTGGTGTCTCTCTCCCAGCCTTCCCCTTTTCATCTTTCACTTGTTCCCAGAATTACCATCCAAACTTCCTCTATAATTTTTCCTCATTGGTTTCATTTTTAAGATATGAGAATTATGTAAACCCACATAATCTTATTCATGTAACATGGTAACATCAGTTCAAAGAAAAAAATAAGAAAGTCCAGTTGCCTCCAGAAAAAGCACCTTTGGTACAAGCATGACCTGGATGACTGAGACTTTTAGCTATATAATTTGGGATGAACACCCTTTGAATGGTGTGGGGGTAGGAATGGATTTCCAGAGGAAAAACTGTAGACTACAGGAACCAAGAGCACTACTCAGCTGACCCTGAGGAAACAGAAAAACCTCCAAGTGCTTCAAATACCCTCTAAAAGGATGCAGATGACCAGCTGTCTGCAAGGAACATGAATCCTTCCATTCCCCACCGTCCTGTCAGAGCTGAAGAAGCTTCTTGGATGAGAAGCAAAATGTCTTCAAAGAAAATCCGGCTGCCTTCAGAAAAAGCACCCTTGGGACGTCTGTTTGGGTCTATCTTCTATTCATCAATTAATACTGGCACAAATATCTATTTTAAACATGTCCTTTCTATAGATCTAGTTTATTTTGTAAATGCTCAAATTACTATTCTAAGTATCAAGTACTATTTACATCACTGCTTTATCCACAATTATTCCACTTTAATTATTCCAATTATTCCATGTTATTCCGCACTTCAATCACTTACTAATGTTGCCATGGAAATTGTTGTCACTTTCATTGTTGAAAACAATGTCCCGATATCAACATTTCATGAGCTTCATTTCAAGTGTATTTCTTTTTGTTTGTTTGGGGGGGTTTGCTCTCATTTTTATTCTTGTATTTCGATACTGGTTTAGGCATATCAATGGATTCTTATAGAGTTAGATTTTCTCTTTCTTTAATTTATGGGCATTTTTTTAGTTTTATAGGGAGTGACATAATCCAGCAGTGGCTCACATGCAGAAAGGTGCAAGTTCTCAAGTAGCTAAGCATTCTTATTCATGCTATAAATCAGTACATCTTCCTAATCTGCAATTGTACATTACCAGCTGTGTCCCTTTTATCACTTTCCATTAAAATTCCTAGAATGAAGAGTGAGAATTCTTTGCTATGCCTTGAATCACCCTTCACCACAAACTGGCAAACTTCATTGCCTGCCACAGTTTTATGTGGGATAAAATCACAAGGCAGATATGGGTAGCCTTTACTTATGACCCAAGTACGTACCACTACAATTGAGCCCAAAATTTATGTTGCTAAGGGAGAAATTTGTTAAGTGAGTTTTGTCCCATTTTACGACTTTTCCTGCCATGTTTGCTAAGTGAATCACAGTAGCTGTGAAATGAGTAACACTGTTGTTAAGTGGCTCTGGTTTCCCCATTGACTTGTCAGAAGGTCACAAAAGGTGATCATGTGACCATAGGACACTGTAACCATCATAAATGTGATGCTGCGATGGTCATACATGTGAAAAATGAATGTAAATCCTGTGACTATGGGAATGCTGCAATGGTCATACATGTGAAAAATGGTCATAAGTCACTTTTTTCAGCGCCGTTGTAATTTCGAATGGTCACCAAGTAAACTGTTGTAAGTCAAGGACTACCTTGTACTACCAAAAACAAACAAACAAACATACAAACAGAGAAACAACGGCCCACACTTTGCAGAAACATGAATGAATCCAAATTTTATCTTTATCCTTTGCTAGCAGAGTGCCTCTACTTTCAGTGTCTTATCTGAACTTTAAGCATTGAATGGCATTTAAAATTCCCTTTCTGAAGTGTTCTGGCTGCATGAACAAAAGTACATAAATCACATCGCATTTCATTATATTAATGGTGCTTTATCTGCAAAATGAATTTCAGTATCATTATTTCATACCTGGGTGTCTGTGAAAAGGAAAACCATGTCTTTGTCTTCCACCCCTGCCATTTTGTATAGCTTTCTAAGGTCTTCATGAAAAGAATCATAATTATAGCCACGACTTAGTTCTATTTGAAAGCATTTATAGCCACAAATGTGAGAGGCAAGTCTAGTCAGAGACTGCTTTCCTGTGCCTCCAACACCAACCAGGAGGGAATTTCCTCTTTCCTGACGAATCATCCGAGCAATTCTAGGCAGAAAATTGAAATGACATTTGACTTTGATAAAACTTACAAAAGTAAAAATGCCATTCTACCATATTCATTCAGTGACATACTGTACGTACAGGAATTGAAGCAGTGGATTTTTTTTTTTAAATACTCTCCCAGGACATGACTACAATCACAGCTTGATTCATGCACCCTCTTATTGTGGCTCAGAATCACCCTTACCCATATAACTAAAATTTGATAGCAAAAATCTCAACAGTTTATTGTGTTAGATTTGGTCACTCCTTCTGACCAGGGAGAACTAAGTTTAAGAAATATAATATAATCACCACCAAACTTGTTCTGATTTATGAATTTGTGGTTTGCTTTACTTTGGTACAAGGACTATTGATGGCTTCAAATCAAGGGCCTAGGCTGCTCACTGGCATTTTACTTCTTTTGTTCTTTGCCCTATTTGCGTACCATGTTTTTTCCGGCTGTGTTTCATACATACTTATTCTTGTTTTATATTTTAGCTATTCATACTGTATTTACTTTTAATAGACTTGAACAGTGCTTTCTACATCTCTGACACATGCATCCTTTGCCTACCCTTTTGCTACCCTTTAGTGTTCTCCAACCAAATATAATGAATCCTGTAGAATGTTTTTAGATTTCAAGAGGGTGCGATGATAAACTTACTTTATTCAAATGTCACATTACCTAACGTATGGAGAGGGAAACATAAAATCCAACTTCGCATATTGGAGTGAGCTTGTCTTTGCTTGCCTGGAAACTCACCCAATTGTTGGCTTGTTTATAGTTACCTACCTACCTAGCTAGATATATAGAGAGATATATACATATAAATTGTATTTAATAAAAATTTGATATTGCCCATATCACTCACAGAGTCACTCTGAGCAGTTCACAGGTAAAAGACTTAAAAACCATAAAAATATCAGTAAAGTAGGAGCCAAGTAAAAATCAAGGTAGAATAATTTAAAAGTCAAGAAATGAAGGCAGAAGGAGCGCTATATCTCTAATATGTATTGTCTATGTATATGATCAAGTTTTGGTTCACGTTGACAAATGGGCTGGTCTGGAACTCAGGAAACTCTGAGTTGGGGACTTGCGGTTGTGCTCCTGTCGAGTCGGAGTGGAATTCGTGATTGTGTGTAGTTTCGCTCTGTGCTCACTCATTGGAGGGTCCCATTCAAGACCGGAACCACCCTGGAGGGGTAGTGAAGAAAGAGCGATCCACTGGAGGATTGAGGGGAGCCGCATCTCCCCTCCCTGACAAGGAAAATACCCTCTGAAGACAAGCTGCAGTGGTGGTCTAAAATGGCCACCACAAAGATGGGAGGCAGTCCAGGAAATGAAGACTGTGCTGGAGCGGTGAAGCTATGAGCAGTGTATGAACCTGGCAAAATACATGGACATTAAGGCACCCCAGAATGAAGAAACAAAGAAATTTTTAGGAAAGATTGTAAAAGCAGCAACCCGAGAGAGAGAGAAGAAAATTGGAGATTTGTGAAATTGGTTTTGGACTTGGAAAAGAATTTATTTGGAGATTGAAAATTCAGAAGAAAATATTTGATTATAAAAGACTTGCAAATTAAATAATTATTTGGATTTTGGCACTAAGCAGGCATAATTAAATGCTGGAATTGAATGTGTTAAAAAGAAATAATAGCTAATAGTTGAAACATTGAAATTTAAAAGCTTAAAGCCTAAAAAAGGGTGTGGGGGGGGGGCAAAAAGAAAGGGTGGAACTTGGACATAATGGAGAGCGCCACCTAATGGTAAAGAAAAAATGTCAGTGACTTTTGAAAAGTGTTTGGTCCTTTTAAAATTGGAACTTGACATGAAATAAGAGGGATATTATTATAATAATATAGAAACCCTGAAAAGTGAAATATTAGAATACTATAAAGATAAAAAAGATACGAAAAGAAATTACTCTGCGATTACTTGGTGACTTTGGGAAAAAGTTGGAAAAGGAATTAATAGAAGGAACCTGGAAATAAAGATTTATGGACATTGACTGTTGAAAATAAACGTTAAAGACGATCGTTGAAATAAATTACTGGATAATTGGTTGGATACAAATACCAAAGAAAGGAAGAAACAAAAATAAAAGGAAGTGTACAAAATGGCAGAATTATGTGTGGAAATAAAATTGGAACTACGAAATATGAAGGAAATGATGCAAGAAAGCTTGGAAATGTGCAGTAGTATATTACAAACATTAGAAATGGTGATGCTGACTAAAGAAGAACAAAGACAACCAGAAAGGGAGGAGTTAAATAAAGAGGAAACCAGCTTTAAAGAACAAGTGGAACAATGAACATTAAAACAAGGGGAAAAATAATTAAAGCTAAAACTTTGAGGTTTGATGTGATAATTAAAGGGGGAATTGTTTGGAAAGTTAAACAAGGAAAAAGGAAACAGCAGAAAAGGGAATTACAGAGAAAAGATCAAAAGAGGGAGCGGGACAAAAATTGGAGTAAGAAACTGAAGGAAATAATAAAGGAAAAAAGTGGGATTAAGAGAAAGGATCAGAAAATGATGGGAAGCAGAAAGCAAACAAAAATGAAAAGAAATTAAGTGGTCAGGAGGATGAGAGACAATGGGTAGAAGAAGAACAGGAAGGGGGATTCTGCAAGGTAATGTGTTGTGATACATAAGAATATAGGTTTAAAAATAGAAAAGATTGGAACTGATACTCTTTTTTTCTTTTAAGGATTATTGTTAAATCAGATATAGATATAAATGGAATAGATGTGGAAATGGGAATTTATTATAAGGATATTAATTGATATTAAATAAAGTGATGAATAAAGTTAAAATGAATTATGAGAATTGTAATGGAAAAATTATTATCAGATTAATATTTTTGAAATAATAGATGATTTAGAATGTGATTGAGAAAAAGAATACCATATATATACAGACGGACACAATATAGAAGCCTGATGATGGCAGATGAGATTCTGCCGAAACGTTGCTACAACTTTAAAAGCACAACTATAATGACGTGGGAAAATACCCGAACAAAGCTGAATACCATACATGTAAGTACCCGCGAAAACTTAAGAATATATATAGATATATATTCTTAATATATGTTTTCTTAAGTTTTCATGGGTATTCTTAATATATATATATATTCTCGTTTCGGCAGAATCTCATCTGCCATCATCAGGCTTCTGTATTCTGTTAATCTGTGAGTCAGACTTTTACAGCTGTTTCAGTTTTAAATTTGGGGCTAGCCTACTGCTGTGCCAGAATGGTTTTTTTCTTCATCCTGATTGGTTGGGAGTCTTGGTCTGTGTTTATTGGTCTTGGAGTTCGCTGTGTTCTGCTTGATTGGTGTTTCTAATATCTTCTGTCTGTTTTGTGGCATTTTTTGTCTTGATTGGCTGGCAACATTGTGTTTCCTGTGTTGGGAGGCTTTTTAGTGCGGCTTGGCTCCAAGTAAATGGACGGCTATCATTTATTAGGAAGCTAGGTTTCATCTGGGTGCCTGGTTGGGGTGTATTTGAGCTGGAGGTATCAGGGGGGATCTGTTTGTGCCTAGGTGTTTGCCTGGCTTGTGGTGTGGAGATTTTTTTGTTTGTGAGTGCAGACTTCCAAATAATTGACAGTCTGGTGGAATCATCTCTTCTATTCATGCTTTCAGGTCTTTTTTCAATCTCTATGGCTTCTCTGATAATTCTGTGGCTGGGGTTTTCTATAGTGGCTAGGGTTTTGGTGCCACTGAAGTTGATGCTATGACCTGTGGCTTTCATGTGTTAGACTAGTGAGGAAGTGTGTTCCAGATTTTTTACTGCATTTTTGTGTTCATCCAGGCGGGTACTTATTCTTCTATTGGCCTGTCCAATGTATGTGGCAGGGCATGATGCACAGGGGACTTCATATATGCCTTGGTTTTCCAGGTCAATTTTATCTTTGGGGTTTCTAAGGATGGTTGCTATTTTTCTGTCTGTTTTGAAGGCAGTCTTGATGTGATGCCTGTGTAGTATCTTACTGATTTTGTCTGTAGTACCTCTTATGTAGGGCAGGACAGCTGTTCCATAGGTCTACAACTTTAAAAGCACAAATATAATGACGTGGGAAAAAACCCAAACAAAGCTGAATACCACATATATATATGATATATGATACATAGTAGTTAGAAGATTATTGTTGTCAATTTAGAATGTGATAATTAAAAACGACTATATTATGGTACATTTTTATAACAAATTAAAGGGGAATTAATTGAGGGAATGTTTAAGGTAAAGGGGTAGCAAACTCAAATTGACAATTAACGGGGACAACTTTTGAATTATTAGAACTAGTATGAAATTTATTGAGCAATGAATGGAATAACAGTATGTGACAAAATTACAAATGTGACGGATAAAAGTAAATATGTGTAATGAGATAATATTGTAAAACAAAACATGAGAATATTTAAAGAAAAATGAAATAATGGGAATTGGATAAAATAAGTAATGAATATAAGAATATTTGAGAATTTAAAGGAAAATGGAATAAGTAACAATATATGAAATTGAATATGAAAGATTAATATGTTGTGGGGAAAAGAGAGCAGGAGTATTAGATACGTCCACTGTCTATATGAGGGGTAGGGGGATAAAAAAAATCTTGATATTCAGAAATATTGAATTTATCAGACCTGAACATTTTAATTTTACAAAAATATACACAGCTTGGAACTGCCTATATTCTCAGGTGATTCTTTAATAATATTTTGTCTCTTTGTAAGAACTTGTTTCTCATGTTTTCACTGTCTCATTAATTGGAAATGACAATCCCGGTTACAACTGCAGCTACAACCTGAAGACTACCTGTATGTGACAAAGGTATGTCACATATTTCATATATACTTTATATTCAATAATGCCTATATAATATTTATGCTAAATTAATGATAACTATTTTACCTTGAAACATGCTCTACTGCATCTTGGAAAAATACCAGCTTGACCTCTTTAGAGCTTGTTATATTATAATCATCAAGATAGTCTTGTAAAACTCCAATAATCTTTTCCATGTCAGGTAATTCTTCATAAATTCGTTCAGCTTTTTCTATTCCAATCTACATGGCATCATTGAGAAAAATCAGATGAATGTAATAAAATGATAATGACAATTGAGAACAGATGCTAATCAAAGAAATGTAGCGATGACAGGAGTGAAACAATGTTGACAGAGATTATACAAAATTAAGCATGCGGAGAGAAAAGTAGCTTGTCACATCTCCTGGATCTATTAATTAACTTAAAATGTTTTGGGTAAGATGGTTCCTTGTGAATATAGGTGTGCTGAAAACCTATTCCCTTGTTTTTGACTCCCTGTCATGGATTCATGGGAAGCACTATAGCAAGTTAACAGTTAGTCCAATGAACCATCTTCTTTTTTATGTTCTTAAACTTCCTAGCATTTTATTTATTAATGAATGCATATCCTAGTTTTCAACTATACCATCATTTGAAGCAATTTGGAATATGTCATAAGATACTCCCTGGCTGATTGATATGGGAGAAATGAGGACTCACCAAGGTGATTATTGTTCCACTGCTCAGCAATGAACAGATGGGAATACATCATTTTCAGATGCTTTCAATTTTCAACTATCTAAATTTAAATGATCTATCTAAACCATTTCCCAAGGGCTTAACTTTAACCTCTGTTTGTTTTCTTGTTTTTCCTTTCCAGCTTGATGAGCTCAGCGGTGGAAAATGTTATATTTGCAGTACACATATCTGTCACACTCCAAGATTTCTTTTTACAAATATAACTTCATATTCTTATTCATTTATGAAGATAACCTCCAAGAAATATACATATTTGGTTTCTTGGTGGAAAAAAAACTGACATCATGAAAGTATGCTTTTTAAATCCCCTTGTCATCCAAGCAGAAATCATAATCTAAGTCCATGACCTATTGATGCTGTCAACTGTTATAAATGAATCTTCCAAATTTGCAGTGAGACTCTCTATTTGACATACTGTATATAAATAAGCTTCCAGAAGATGCCTGGAGCAGGGAAGTCTCCCTTTCCTTGGCTGTACATCTAACAAATCATTTGAAGTCTAGAATTTAGTCTTTTGGAAAATTTATTAAAAAACCTAGTGCATGTTTTTTTTGCTGACACCAGATCTGTTTTGATTTGAAGTCCAGGAGGCCCACAAACTTTCTCAGCGTCCAAAGATTTGTTCTTCAAAAAGAAATGACAGAACAAGGACTATCACTTAAAACAATTTTGTATCTTTATTATAATTAATATCTGTGCATATTGAAGACATTTCCTTCTAAAACTGAAGGTAAATTCAATTTAATGAATCACATCACAGTTATATAGGTAAATATTTAATTAATAGATTTAGTGAAACGAGTCTCAGTACCTCAGAGATTACTCTAGGAATTATTCCAAAGCAAAAGAACAAGAAAACCATCAACATGTTCAGTCCATATGTTTGTGCCATGGCCATCTGCTGATCAGCTGTTTACTGATTTGATCTGTCAGTTCTGAAAGCAGCTCAAAATTTATTCCTAAATGTGACACTTCCACAAAATCTAATAGACACTTCAATTCGGAAAACATTCCATCTCAATGAAAGAGACACCATCATTTGGGGGGGAAGGAATTCCATGAATGTTATTTAGCCTAGGCATCATTCCGTTCTAATACTTAATAATTATGTAGATTGTTCATGTAAAAAAATAACAGATGTGTACAAACTAACAGAGATGTTGGCAGAGAGTGGTTTTAAACTTCATTCTTGCCTTTTCTCTCTTTGGGGTCTATTTTTATTTATTTATTTATTTGGTTTGTCAATTGCTTACCAGATAATAGGTATCAGTAAAAACATAGTTACGAATACATGGTTACATATAAGAAAAATAAAAGAAACAATAGGACAGGGACGGTAGGCACACTGGTGCGCTTATGCACGCCCCCTACAGACCTCTTAGGAAAGGGGTGAGGTCAATAGTAGAAAGTTTAAGGTTAAAGTTTTTGGGGTTTGGGGAAGAAACCACAGAGTCAGGTAGAGTATTCCAGACACTGATCACTCTGTTGCTGAAGTCGTATTTCCTGCAATCAAGTTTGGTGCGGTTTACCTTGAGTTTGCATCTATTGTGTGCTCTTGTATTGTTATGGTTGAAGCTACAGCATTTATTGACATGTAGGACATTGCAATGTATGATTTTATATACTATACTTAGATTGGACTGAAGGCGGTGTAGTTCTAGGTTTTCTAGGTCTAGAATTTCAAGTTTGGTGGCATAAGGTATTCTGCAACCAGTAGAGGAGTGGAGAACACTTCTTGTGAAATATTTCTAGACTTTCTTAACTGTGTTAATATCAGATACATAATGTGGGTTCCAGACTGATGAGCTGTATTCGAGTATTGGTCTAGCACATGCTTTGTATGCTCTTGTTAGTAGTGTAATATTACCAGAGAAAAAGCTACGTAAGTTTAAGTTAACAACTCTTAATGCCTTTTTGGCTATGTAGTTACAGTGAGCTCTAGCACTTAGATCATTAGAGATGAGTATTCCAAGATTCTTTACAGAGCTTGGATCATCAACAAGGTCTTGACTATTCAGCCTGTATTTTATTTTCTGGGGTTTTTTTTGCCAATATGTAAGACAGAGCATTTGTTTGTTGATATTCGAAGTTGCCATTTGTTTGACCATTCTGATACATAGTCGAGGTCTTTTTGAAGGGTAGCAGTATTGTCTGTGGTGTTGAATGGCTTTACATCGTCAGTGAAGACGACGCAGTTGCTCTTAATATGATCACAGAGGTCATTTATGTAGAGTATGAAGAGAGTTGGTCCTAGAACACTGCCTTGGGGGACACCACTATTGACAGGTACAGAATTTGATAGGACACTCCCAATTTTGACCATTTGTTGTCTGTTTGACAGGAATGCTTCTATCCACTTATGTAGTTGTCCAGAGATACCATAGGATTTTATTTTTAGGAGTAGTTTGTCGTGTACCACTGAATCAAAGGCTTTACAGAAGTCTATGTGGATTGCGTTCTATTGCTTTGCCCTGATCAAGTTGCGTAGTCCATATGTTTTTGCAGTGTAAGAGTTGCAGATTGCAGGATAGTTTTTTTCTGAAACCAAATTGTTTATTAGAGAGTAGGTTGTTTATCTCTAAGTGGAGGATAATGGATTGGTTAATAATTGATTCCATGACTTTACAGGTGACACAGCATAAAGAGATTGGTCTGTAATTTTCAACTAGGCTGGGGTCTCCCTTTTTGAAGATGGGGATGACCGTGGCTTGTGACCATAATTTTGGCGAGGAGCTGGCCCTGAAAGATTTTTCAAAGATTATGCTTAGAGGTTTGGCTATGGGAGTGGATAGCTTTTTTAAGAAGTAGGCACATATTCCGTCCAGTCCAATAGATAGAGATGGTTTTAGATTGTGTAGTGCTTTTTCAACATTGTTTTCTGTAAAATCGATATGTATTAGATCATTGTAGTTGTCTGTGGTTCGACTAGGAAATACTGGGCATGATCCATTGCTGTTTACAAATACAGAGCCAAAGAATGTGTTAAAGAGGTTGGCTTTAATGGTGTCATCATTGCAGTCTTTACCATTAGGTCCTTTCAGGGGTGGGATGGACCTTGTATACAGTATTTGAAACAATATCTTCGTACATATGATTTTCTTCAATATTTACTGCATTTATATTCCATTATCCCTTCAAGGCCTGCATTTGGATTTTTCTTGGGAAATTGAATGTTTTTTCAGATCAGGAAAATGAATTGATTTTAAAATAAGATACTATATTTACTGTTCAAGCCTCTCTATTATTGATCTAAAAACACTTTCATGGTTTTGTTGAATTCCAGCAGCAAATGTCTGATTATAAGATTGTTATTGTAAAACTGGATGCTGAAATTCATACACTTTTCATAAGAGTAAATCAACTTCGGCCATAGAAAGACTGATATAGATGAACATTTTTTATAAAATATATAAAGGTAATCATAAAGTTATGATTCTATATATACTCACCTTAATGTAATCTCCAAATAAGATAGGTTTGGATGCAAATGAATCTGGGTCAGTTGAAACTCCAAAATATTTGCCTAAAAATTAAAATAATAGGTTTGCTGATTTGTAAGTACAGAATGTTTATGAATAAAAAAACAATCAGACATATACAAATACACTAAGTAAGGATTCTTACTGGCCATGTCGCTTAACATAGAATAAAAATATTGTTTATCTTCATTGCAGATGAGGCGGTCATGAAAAATTCTCTGACACTCATGACAGAATAGTCTAAATATCTGATTCTGGTCTCGAACTGACACAGGATCACACTGCAGTATGCCTATATAGAAAAACAAATGTTATTTACACAACAAGCAATCTTCAATATTTTTTAAAAATATGTACATATTCACCAACTGATAATTCTAACATCAAACTATTATTCTGTGCAAATCACAACAGATTATTATAAATGCAATTTGCAAGTAAATATTTTTCTGCGACATGCTACTGTTTCTAAGGTATTCAAAAGAACACACGAACAGTTATTCTAGACAAGACAAAAGGCCCAGCTAGGGCAGAAGTCTTTTCTCAGAGTGGCCAGCCAATTACTGAAGGGAAGCCCACAATTAAAATATGATCATAGTAACAATTATTGGTCATGTTCTGCAGTTTCTGGAATTAAGAGGCATACTGCCTCAGATCATGGCAAGACATAGCTTATCATGACTAGGAGGAACAAGCCTGTCCTAGTTATGTTCAACATCTGTGGCCTTCATTTTCATCCCCCAGTGTGACAATCAGATTAGTGTCAGTTCTTTGATGTGTTGATTGCAGTGCACACTCCTGTAATTGGTCTGTGAGAATAGCCTTGGGAGACAGGAGGAAGAAGAACTGCAGCCTAAGCAATGTTCAGAGAAGAGATATCTCAGCCCACAGAAGGAATGAGAGTGGAGAAAGGAACCCTCTTTAATTCTCTGGAAACCAAACGGAGAGAAAGGGGAGAAATGCTTTCAGATTCGCGAGACTCTGTTACTATAACCTTACAATAAAGATAGTGTCAGTACTCATGTTTTTGTTTTCTTGACTGGATTGCCTCAAAGGGATATGAGCTATGTAACAAATATAGTAATGTTTCAAATATAGTTTATATTTTTATTATACTTTTACAATCTGTTTTGTGAGTTTTTACATGGAATAGTGTGTTAAACTAAGTAACTGAATCTTTAACTCTAAGAATTTTAAGATTTTTTTATACATGGCGGAAGGTCAAAAGAATTATTGTATAATAGTGGAAGATGAATCCACTCCTAACTTCTAGAAATAGATACCCGATATGTGCAATTCTTCAAAATGTCTTGAGGGAAGTTCAAGCAAAAAATGGTTTTTTTGATTAAGTTGGTCAATTTTTTTAAGAAAAGTTTTGCAACTAGAATGTATTTTTTTTCCTTTTCTTTGGTTAATTCATTTGAGGTATGTTGAACATATTCTAACCATTAATCATATTCTCATCCTATGAATTTGTCTAATATTTTTTAAAACTCTCTAATAGGGTGGCTAGCAGTATCTATTTTATACGAATGAATTCTAGACATAGAAGTAAAACATTTCTCTTATCTGTCCTAATCTTCATTCAAGTTCACTGGATGAATTCAGGTTATACAGGTAATCCTCAAGTTATGACCACAATTGAGTCCAAAATTTATATTGTTAAGTAAAACATTTGTTAAGTGAGTTTGTCCCATTTTACAACTTTTATTGCCAATATTTGTTAAGTGAATCATTGCATTTGTTATGGTTGTTAAATGAATCTGGATTCCCCATTGAATTTGTTTGTCAAGTCACAAAAGGAGATCACATGACTCCAGGACACTGCAACTATCATAAATATGAACCAGTTACCAAGCATGTGAATTTTGACCATGTGACCATGGGGATGCTGTAACAGTCATAAGTGTGAAAGTCATAAGTCAGTTTTCAGTGCTCTTGTAACACTAAATGAACTGTTGTAAGTCGAGGGCTACCTGTAGTATTCAGGGAATACTTCCCCTCAAACATGCATCATTTTAAGCACCTACATAATGCTCCTTACTTTCTTTTCTTGCTTTTCTTCTAAGCTAAAAAGCTTCAAATATTTTAATCTTTTTGCATTTAAGGTATTGCAGACTTTGGTCATTATAGTTACTGTTTTCTGCACTTTCTTAGGTCCCATATATACATGTAATTGATACAATTTTTTAATATATGGTGTTCTTCTTGAGGTAATTATGAGGACAGAAGTAGGGTGATCAAATAAGTTCAATTTACAAAGGTATACAATATCGGGATTTTATTTTTCATTTCTAGAAAATCCTAATGATTCTCAATATAGCATTTGCCTTTCTTCAAGCTTCCTTATACCGCACTGACATTTTCATTAAGCTGTCTTCCTACCTGGAGCCCCCTTATCTCAGAAAGAGGCTGAGCTCCTTGAACACCAGGAGACATTCTCTGCAATACTCAGCAGCTTAGCAGCAGGATTCAACCAAGTGAAAAATCTGCTGCGATCCATTGTATGCAAACAGCTCAATATTAACCATCAAAAATGGTCTTTATTGATTTTGAATTCTTGACCCTATCTATTTTTGTTTTACCACACACAAAGCTCTTTTCTACTTCATTTAGTTTTATGCCTCTCTTGACATACCTATCACTTCTTCACAGTGAAGTATTTACTATAATGTACATTTATAGCACATTCTTTTAGACATAGCTATTTTGATTAGCACATCATATATTCTGCTTTTCCTTCTTTTCACCAACATTTGCACATATTAAGATGGCTTCATCCATTATCTCTTTACTAAACATTCTACCAAGGTACACAAGGATGAATAATAGAGCTATCAAATTTCACTTTTAAAAAGGGGTTGCCTAATTAACTAATATGCTGATATGGAAAGGTACTTTAGTTTCTGTATACATACACAAAATTAAGCTATACTCAGACATAATAAAAGCTATCCCCCTGGAAAACTTGCAATAACCACCCAATTTTGTGTAAAAAAATTAGTATCAGTCATATCACCAAATATGCTATAAGGAAAACACCAATCTATCTTATTGGAAACATTGTACAGAATGTCATGTCGGACACAGAAAACTGCACAAGGATTTTTATAGTACAAGGAATATTTGTATTATATTTCCATGACACGGCAATCAAAAATTATTCTTGGAGGCTCACATAAAAATACTATGAAAAATCACCTCACAGAAAAATAAAAACACAGTGAAATTACGCAAATGAAAAGAAAATAGAATATAGCAACCACAACTCAAATCATGGATTGGATCTCAGAAAAGGCTTGCTTTTTAGAAACTTTCCTCAGCACAGGGGAAGCCAGCTTGGCCTCCATGAAGAGGCTATTCCACAATTTATTTATTTATTTTGTCAAGAGATTATAAGATAACAGGTATAAGCGTGGTTATCAATACATGAAATGGATATGAATAAAAAAGAAACAATAGGACAGGGATGGTGGGCACGTGGGTACACTTATGCACACCCCCTACAGACTCTTAGGAAAGGGGTGAGGTCAATAGTAGGCTGTCTAAGGTTAAAGTTTTTGGGGTTTGGGGAAGAAACCAGTCAGGTAGAGTATTCCAGGCATTGACTACTCTGCTGCTGAAGTCGTATTTCCTGCAATCAAGTTTGGTGCAGTTAACCTTGAGTTTGTATCTATTGTGTGCTCTTGTATTGTTATGGTTGAAGACAGGGTAGATTTGCTTCGTGTTGTTTCAGAACACAAGCCAAAAATAAATGGATTTAAATTATAATGAGGCAAATTTTGATTGGATGTTAAGGAGCATTTTCTAATGGTGCAAAGCTGTTCTGTAGTGAAATTCTGTAGTTGCAGCGGGAGAGGGTGTGGATTTTCTTCACTGGACGAACTTAAACAGAGACTGAATGGACATCTGTTGGAGATGTAGTAATAAGGTTTCTACACTAAATGTGGAACTGAACTCAATATTTTCAATTTCAATAACTTGTAGTTATGTGATCTTTTATTCTTAGAATTCTCAGCAATGGTCATCTTGGCTGTGGAATACTGGGACCTGAAATTCTTGCATCTGGAAGTTGCCAAACTTGGGAAACACCAGAAAAGATGAGTTCTAATCATTATATTCTCTGATTTTATGTGTGCTTTAGGAAATACAATAAAGGTAATTGTCCATTTCAGAGAAAAGTACATCAGAAATATATAGTTAATTAATTTTGGACCACATAAGCCAGCAAATATTATAATATTTGGCATTATATATTATAGATTTCACTAGGGCTATAACACAAATTATTTTATTTATAATTGCACTGGATTCATCTGCTATTTGAGTATGATTTGAAGTTTTCTCTAAACTTCTTCAAAACAGGCATCTTTGCTCAAGAATGGAGCAGCAGTTCTTAGTCTACTGTGTTAAGTATGATACCTTTATGAAAGAGTATGCTAGCAATAATGTTATTTATGGCTAAAATATGAAAACAAATCATAAAGTGAATTATCAATATTTGTTATTAATACAGGTAGTCCTCAACTTACAACAGTTCATTTAATGAGCATTCAAAGTTACAAAGGCACTGAAAAAAGTGACCTATGACCATTTTTCACACTTATGACTGTGGCAGCATCCCCATAGTCATGTGATTTACATTCGGATGCTTGACAACTGACTCACATTAATGATGGTTGCAGTGTCCCAGAGTCGTGTTATCTCCTTTTGTGGCCTTATGACAAGTAAAGTCAATGGAGAAAACAGATTAATTTAACAACTGTGTTACTAATTTAAGAACTGCAGTGATTCACTTAACAAATGTGGCAAGAAAAGCTGTAAAATGGAGCAAAATTCACTTAACAAATTTCTCACCGAGCAACATAAACTTTGGGCTCAATTGTGGTTGTAAGTTGAGGACTACCTGTACAGAAAAAAAAAATTAAATGTATGTAATGTGATAAATATAGAGAATAATTGCTGAAGATGTGAGCACAGAATTTGAATAACAAAAAATTAATATATGGAATAGATATAACTTACCTTGGACACATTTTGACAAATCACGTAAATTAAATACATAATGAGATTTTGCTGGTGTTGGGAGCAGATCAATGCTCATTCTTTGATATATTTCAACAGCAGCCTCCACTATACTACTTGCACACTGCTTTACTACTTGGGCAAATTCAGCTAGGAAGCCTTTCAGAATTGCCTAGACCAAGGGAAAAATAATGTAAAACACAAAGCTAAATATTTAAATTTGTTTGTTTCTTTTACAACAGTTTTGTTGTTACAAAATCACTAAAAGTGAATCAATCTAAAGTTCTGTACAAAGTGCTGAAATTCTTCATCTACTTTGAGTACCATTTTTTTACATCTATCAAAATCCCCAATTTATTATGATGGGAGTGCCAATTCATAATTTGCAAACAAATTAAAGTAATAAGGAACCATCTGAAAGCAAGAGTGTTATGTTTCACTGCCAAACACACACACAAGGTTCTGGATCAAGGCAGCTGATGGAAAAAAATTCTATTGTGCATCAGAGCAATTCATCCATTCACAGCTGGAACATATAGATTTGGCTTGCAGGGTTGCTTTTATAAACACTATAATTTTCTTTAATTTGTAAAGCTACAGAAAGAAAGAATGCATCTGGAAGGTATGCAGAGAACATTATCTGTACAAATGAGCATTAAACTTACTAATGTTTTTAGCCTGAAAACCTTTTCTTCAGAAAAAGGGATCTGAAAAAAGGTAAATTTTGTCAGTTTGTACATAAGGTAGTCTTGTCTAGCCCAGTTTGTTTACTTAAAAACTTTGTACGGGCACTCATTTTAAGAATGAAACTCTCAGCAGATTGATACAATATTAAAAACCAGAAAAGCAATTAAAACAATAAAGCCAAAAGCAGAGTCTGGTTGTTTATTTATAGAGGTACGTTTGCTATTTTACATTCTGATCTAAATGAAATTACCAGTAGCTTTAGCCCAGCTGTCTATCTGGATCTTGCACTACACAACAATATGCTATGGCAGAAAGTCCAAAGAATGTATACTTTGTTTCTTTTATGTACATAGATGGCGGTACTCACCTGAAAAATTTGTTTAAGGCTATGTTCAGAAGGCGTTGGAAGGCACAGCATAGCAAAATGTCTTATGAAACGTGCGGTAACTGGATTACGTCCACCACCAGGAGGTGCGCAAGCTGAACAAATAGTTACGTCCTGGGGACATGATGATTTGTGTGAGAAGTTAATAATCTGTGGCGCTATTACTTCTAAAGATCCCTGTTTCAAAGAATATATTTATATGTAAACCATCACTCAATATACTTGATATTCTATTCTTACTCCAATTTTTAATTTGGTATCAAAATACCTGTACTATGAGCATAAAGGTTTAGCTCGAGTTTATACAATTCTGTGTTCTTCTACAGTTTTGAATATAAAAGAATCCAGATGGCATAACACAAGGAACTTGACAAATATTGACCTAGCCAAGTATAAAAGTAATTTGATTAGAAAACTGCTGTCCTCAAGTAGATTGTTTCTTCTGGTGTTTAAATTTCAGGAAAAAAATCAGCAGATTTTACCTTCGTCAGAGCACAACCACTGACTGTGACCAGACATTAATAAATTAGGAAAAAAATACATAGTGTCATGCAGAGTATTCAAAACAGGTGCTTTACAAAATGTACTGTTAGTAATAGAACATCTCTTTAATGTGTTGAAACAGCTCCTCTCTCACATCTCCTTCAAAGGCTATTTCTGGCCCTCTGTCCATGTGTGCATAGGCACTTAGTTTTACTAATAGTCCTAGCAGAAACATTAGGTTGGAATATATGTCATGTCCCAGCATATAATTTGTATATATAGTGTTGTTGTTCTCTAGCCCCATCTAGTGACTGGGGCCAAATACCTATCTGTATTGTTTGGAAGCTGACTCTCCCCTTTAAGAGTCATCTATCCATGAACCCTCATTCCCAAAACAAGTGCATCCTGGAAAGCCAGGCTCCATTTCCTTTAACATTCAGAAAGAAACAGAAGCACCATGAAGAAATTTATTTATTTATCTGTTTATTTATCTAGTTATTTTTATCCCAGTTTCAACCATCCTGTTCCTTTAATAAAGCATCCAGATCTATGCACACAGTCTGATTTATTGGAGGATGGGTGGATTTAGCTGCACATCAAGCTGCAAACAGAGTAACGTGTAGTGAGGACAGAACAATATACATGCAGAAAGCCAAACCCAACCTTTAACCCAATTGTGTAGCCTTGCAAAGGATGCAGTTTGCATTAACACTTTAAAGAGAGGCACTTAATTTGTGCCGATCTGCCTTGCAAAAAGCACTTCTTCTGAATAGTTTGCAGAATTCTATGCACTATGTCACTGCCACATCTTAGTCCACTTCTGCCAAGGTACAGCTGCGTTCCTGGTAAGCTCTCCATTTTATCTGGCAGTTTGCCAAGGATATGATCGACTGGGAGAAGAGAGCATGCAAAGGTCGAGCTCCTACGCTACTTCATCGTGCTTCTTTCAGGTGTAATTGTCATGTGCCCTCTGATACGGGTCTGGAAATCCAATCACTCTGAAGAAAAGGGCACAGGAGGGAAGTCACCTTCACCCGTTCTCCCTTCCAGCCTAATCATTCACATGGTAATGAGGTAAAGGATTGGGGAGCACTGGGCACCTGTGGTGACCTAAATAGCTTTTAGGCCTTGAGGCAGCCCAGACATGCCAGGACACAGAAGCGCCCAGGAGATAATACCATTAAGAGCTTTCTCTCTGAAACAGAATAGTTTATAACACACGGTTGCTTTTCTTGAAAAAAGGGAATGATATATCATTCCTGCCTCCAGTTCTCCTGATGGTCCCCCCTGATAGTTATATCTGATCCAATCTGATATTTTGTCTTAAGGCTAGGAGGTGCATGCTAGTAATGGAGGTCACTGGGTAGCCAACACTGAATATTTTCAGTCTATTTTAGAGCATAAATTGAAGAATATCACATCAAAATAGGAGCCCCAGGCCTTATAGAGATTTAACATATCCTTTTTGATTTTCATTTTAGACCAAACATTGCTAAAGAATGCACCTCTCAAAAGCAACTATTTTGTCAGTGAGCGTTGGCAGATTGTTAAGGCATAATATCTGCCTGGACCAAACATACACTGAAAAGAAAATATTGGATGAAGCAATATTTGAGCTTCCAGATGGAAGAATGGGATGTGGAGGTAATACACATGCCTTCAGCAACTTGCAAAGGGAATGTTCATATTTTCTGTTGTGAACATAGCTTCTCTCCGAATTTACCTTCTTTCTCCTGCTGCTACAATTGCCTAAAGTCACTGGGAGTTGGGCTGTATACAGATTTAAATAACAACTAGAACAACAACAGTTGGGAACTCTTCCCAATGCAATGACTCTTTTTGTTAAGTCTGTGACACAAAAATATGGCATAGATATACACAGAGAACAGTAATAAATTAACAGTTCGTTCTACAGGGCAAAGCCTCCATTATATGCCGTAGCGTTCCTTGCCTGTATGAACTGGAGTGAAGAATGTCTTACAGAAACAACAAGCCTCAAAACTCTACATGCATCAGAATCCAGCCTTTGGGAAGGAGAGCAGTAATTAGCACTATTTATAGCATGTCTCTAATGAAACATGGAATTAGAACAATCAAAGGCACTGAAAATAGACTTACATGGATTTCCTTCCAAAACAGCTTATCTCGGTCATAGAATCCTCCAAAGTCTTGGTACTGTCTAAGTAGTTCAATAGGGGGCTGTGAGCCATAACGATCCAGTTTCGGCATGTTTAAATCATCCACAAAAATGACCACTCTTTTTTTCCCTGGTGCCCCTGAACAATACATGAGGAAAGAAACCGCTGGTGGTAAGCCTTGCCATAAAATACATACATACCCCAAACATTTAGTATTTCAGTGTGCAATAATTCTACTAACTTTACAATTCTGAATTCTTCAAATGTTCATTTACACTCGGGAAATGTTGAAAAATCCTAAAGCAAAGCTTTCCACAGGAATAAGCCTACCACAAATTCCGTGAAGCTCCATGGAGGTCCTTGAGCTTAAACAGACAGAAAGTGGGGCATGCTTCTCATAGTAGGCTGAAAAGAAATATGCCTGAAAAAAGGATGGTGGGTAGATTGTGTGAAAGCATGCATCATCATTTTGAAGAGCCACACTTGAAGATAGCCAGTCTCTTTCTCCCATGTACCACACATTTATGCTTGCTGATGGAAGGGCAGACTGGTTATTGAAGACTGCCCATCTGAAACCAGCATCTGTCTATGCTCTGGTTTCTAATCTGCAGGATAGTCAGCTGTTTGACAAATGTCAGGCAATGCAGCTCCCCTGGGAAATCAATATAGCCGAAGCTTGCTTGACTCAGAGGAATAAGCATGGAGAAGAAGGCAGGTTGGCATGTGTGTTAAGTATTTGCTACCCAAAAACACTAAGGAGGGAAGCTGATAAGTCTACGCATAACAGATTAAAAAATGTAATTACTTGTTATGAAAGCCGGGCTTGGCAAACAAAAGAGACAGGATATTGCCCTAACATGAAAACAGGACACTTCCTTAAGAAACAAATACTTGGACACAGGCCTTTTTTTTTTTCTTGGGAAAAAGACAGGAAGGATGGATCTATATTAAAGGCTGCCAGTTGACTTCTTCTATGCTCTGATTTAATCTCTAAATGATTTGAGAATTTTATTAATTAAAATTGTGGGCGAGGTTTGAATGATTTCCATATTACTGTACAGAGAGTCCTCGACTTACGACAGTTCATTTAGTGACTGTTCAAAGTTACAGGTGCACTGAAAAAAAAATGACCTATGACCATTTTTCACACTTACGACTGTTGTAAGTATCCCCATGGTCACATGGTTTAGATTTGGCTACTTGACAACCAACTCACGTTAATGACGGTTGCAGTGTCCTGGGGTCATGTGATCACCTTCTGCAACCTTCTGACAAGCAAAGTCAATGGGGAAGCCAGATTCATTTAACAACCGTATTACTAATTTAAGAACTGAAGTGATTCACTTAACAAACGTGGCGAGAAAAGTTGTAAAATGGGGCAAAACTCACTAAACAAATTTCTCGCTTAGCAACATGAGTTTTGGGCTCAAGTGTGGTCGTACGTTGAGAACTGCTCTTGCAATACCAAGAGGACAACCGATAAACTGTCGGGCCCAAAATAAAAAAGGACACCTGGCAATTCTTCCAAGCTGAGTTCTTTACAGTTTCACACCTACAGACAAACCTTGCCAGACTGAGAACTCTACTATCTGCATTTACAATATACTCTGAGAACTATTAGGGAGGTGCTGTCTTTGTCCTCTTTCTCTCATGCATAATATCTAGGCTAAGTTGCCTCTTACTCTTCTGGAATGCACCCCCTCCCACACGGGGATTCATCTCCTCACTACATTCCATCGCATAAACTGCACACAAACAGAGAGGAAGTTCTCAGAGATATATAATTTACTAACAGTTCAAAACATTTACTCAGAAAATACAAGAATATCTGATTTGTAGTTGTAGAGATATTTAATGTTTTTTTTTTAACAAAGGTAAAATGGCTATCTTACAGCAAATATCTATGTAAAAGACTATATGCAATAGACTTTGAGCAAGATCAGATAATCAGTTCTAAGTAAAAACGGACATAAGCTGTCACTAATTCTGCATTTTTCAATCAGAAAAAAAGAAAGCTTTATCAGCGGCAGAGAGGGAACAGTCCACAAAAACCAGTTTGGGGTAATGATCATCACTATTATATTCAGGGGTGATATAATGGTTACTAAACAGTTGTCCGTAGTGAAAACCTGCTGAGGCCTCTCTGAAGTGAGACAATTGCCAAACAGGATGAAGACGTATGGCAATGTTTTAACATCCCTTCTGCAGAAGAAGCAGTTGTAAAGAAAGCTTATTACATCCTTAATAAGGCTTCCTTAGTAGGAAAAATTGAAGAGGCTGACTGGACAACAAGAGAACCTAAAGAGATCACACCGAAGGGATCAGAATCATCAGAAAGCAAACAAATCGCAGGGGGAAACAATTAAATCAGGCATACTACTTCCAAACGAACACAATTTTATCCTCAATAAATGGCATCTAAAAGGCTGTTGTTAGTCGTGAAGTCGTGTCCGACCCATCGTGACCCCATGGACAATGTTCCTCCAGCTCTTCCTGTCCTCTACCATTCCCCGGAGTCCATTTAAGCTCACACCGACTGCTTCAGTGACTCCATCCAGCCACCTCATTCTCTAAAAGGCTACTGTCAACAAATGAGAAGTGTTTTTCCCTTATTGCACATATTCCTCAATAAACCCAAGCATTAAAGTAATGGATATCAGAAGAATTCAGTTTATCAAACAAGATTTTAACACCATCAACCACTATGTATTTGACAGAGTGGGCTTGCTGACTAGCCACCTAGAGACCACATGTGACAACTAACTGATCTTCCAGCAAATATTGAAGTAAGGCATACAGCTTTCCTAAAGGGAAAAAAAACGATAAGGCGCCATTCAGGGCAGAGTTGGTCTTCTAATATGAATTTCTGCTCCCCCCCGTCCCGTCCATACCATCTTTACAATAATAAAATAAAGTTGAAGGTGAAATAAAGAAAATACAGCAATTACTTTTTAAAATTAAAAAGTAGTTGCCTAAAATCACTGAGACATAATCAAATAACGAGTGAAAATGCTGAGAAGGAGGGCAATTACAAACCTTTGGAATTTTTTATTGGAGACTGGAATGTTCTACAGGTGTGTGTCTATACAATCATTTCTGAGAGTTGGAATTTAATCTGAGCAATTATTAGTGACACAAGATTGATAGATGCATCAGAAATGAGGATTGTATTTATAATGGATAATGTATTTATAGGAAATACATTATAGGGCTAATCAAAGCCTGGCCCTTGGATAACTACATTGTAGCAGGAAAAGAGTCAGAGCATATGTACAAAAGTCAAAATTGAAGGGATGTCAGATTAGCTGTCTTTCAGATAAACAACAATAGAGTGATGAACAAAGAGGGCACAGAGAGTAAATCCCTAACTCTCCATCTACAATTTTCTCTTTGTGGTCAATAGTTCATAGGTACCAGTATTAGACTGGGTCCTCCAAGCTGTCTCCCTCCCTCCCTCCCCCTCCCTCTCTCTGTTTCAGTCTTCTCAAATTAAATAGTTCAGATGTACAGTATCTGTTTTTGATTTTCCCAGTCCCTAAATGTTGACCATGCTGGTTAGGGATGGTATATAATAGAAATACATGAAAGGCAACCTATTGGGGAAGTCTGCTTTTGTATGCACACGCAGCTTTGAATGAGTGTTGACTCCCGGTGAGTTCCTACAGTTTTCTTAACAAGATTTCAAAAGTGGGTTGCCATTGCTTTCTTCCTTAGACAGAAAGATAATGGTTGGCCCAACGTCACCTAGCTGTCTTTATATCTAAGGCAGAATTCCCTATTTCTAGCCTGATGCCTTACTTACACCAACTTTATATAATGCTGTAATAACACATTTTGTGTAAATTAGTTATTTTTATAGTATAGTAGCAATAGCAATAGCAGTTAGATTTATATACCGCTTTATAGTGTGGTATTACATCACAGTAATAAGATATCTGGCAGATATTAAAAGATAATCACAGTGCATACAAATGGCATATGCTATCCTCTGTTGAGCAGTATGGAAATCGATATATTTTATAGAATCCAAACAGGTACTGTGAATTTGCATTAAAATGAAAAATGCTAATGTACCATTTTTCAGAACAACTGTAAGATTATTTATTTACTTATTTATTTACTTATTTTTTATAGTTCTAAACTAGCTGTCTCCCCCAGAGAAGGATTCTGGGCAGTGTACAACAATTAGTTGAATTAATTGTTAATTTAAATCTGAGAAAAGAAGTTGTCAGATGTTCTGTATCCACGCTTTGATAGGACTAGCAGTAATAGATTTCTTTTATCTATTTATATCACCATTTTCTGATGAATATTGCAGAGAACTATGATAAAGCCCACTAGTAAGTTTAAAGCTAAAATCAGGCATGTCAGAGCAAGGAGGCAGGCAAACATAAATAATATGTAAAATAAATAGCCTAACAGACGCAGTAAATCAGCTTTATGTTCTCTTCTAGCAATATGTTGTTAAAAGTAGAGAACAAAAGAGAGCCTTGGAAATTTTGATGGGGTGAAGGCAACAGAAGATGAGTGATAGCCCATGATCATGAGAGCTGAAGAAAGCTCTTCACAGCAATATTTTTTTTTTACCTAAACCGCCTTTAGCATTACCTCTAAAGTAACTATATACTATAAGGTAGTATAATTACTTGCATCTAAGGCAGGCTTCTCCAACTTGGAGATCATCAGATTTTTCGGTGCTGCAAATCCCAGAATTCCCAGCAGCGAATAGAGCAGGGGTGCCAAGCTTAGATCTGGCCCACGGAGCCAGCCTGGAAATATCAAAGGACTGGAGTTCCTTTGCTGGCCAAAATGGGTCGCAGGGGGGCTGCGTGTGGCTGTTTTCGGCCTCCTCGGCCTCCTGCAGAAAACTCAGCCCAAAACAGATGCTGCAGGAAGCCATCCAAGCTGAAAATGGGGTGCAGGGGCCCCACACGAGCCCCCCCCTACACCCCGTTTTGGCTGGCAGGAGACATCAGTCCCATCTCCCTCCCCCTCTCCACCCACCCCCCAGGCAGCCCTCGGAGGAGAACTACTATGCTGATCTGGCCCTCAAAGAAATCCAGTTAGACACCCCTGGAATAGAAGAAATTGCAGTTCAGATTTATCTCGAGAAAAGCTGCTCTAGGGAGCTAAACCCACAGGTCCCGGCAAAGTAGATTAATCTGTAAAGGAATTTTGTGAATATGGTTTATTTTGCCATTTCTGTTGAAGGGAAAGAAAGGCACACAATTCTATGGAGATTCTCAGTCATCCAGGTCATGGTTGACCCAAAGGTGCTTTTTTTTCTCCCAAGAGGCAACTGGACGTTTTACTTCTCATCCAAGAAGCTTCTTCAGCTCTGAGTGGATGGTGGGGAATGGAAGGATTTCTACTCCTTGCAGACAGCTGATCGTTTGCATCCTTTCAGAGAATCCTTGAAGCCATTTGGAGGTTTACATAGATAATAACCTAGATAAACCCCTATGTGAGCTGCTAAAAGAATGCAAATGATCAGCTATCTGCAAGGAGTATAAATCCTTCCATTCCTCACCATCCAGTCAAAGCTGAAGAAGGATGAGAAGTGAAACGTCTTCAAAGAAAAACCAGAAAGTCCAGTTGTCTCTTGGAAAAAAAAAAAAAGTACCTTTGGAACATATAATTCTATCTTCTTTTCTTTAATAATAGATTGGTAAAACAAGAACAAAATCTGGCCAAACCACATTTAGATTAGAAAGCAAAATACTTTTTCTCCTGAACATACATTTTGACAAGATTCATACAGAGAACAGACAAGAAGGACTAGGGCAGTGTAGGCGAAACTTTCCGGCACCAAGCGCCAAAATGGGAGTGCGCGCACAGGGGAACACTAAAAACCAGAAGAGCAGCTCTCCAGAAGTCCAGCTCCTGGGATGCTGAGCTTCTGTTTTCCAGCGCGTACATGTGCACTAGCCAGCGGGTCTCTTGTGTGTGCATGTGCACCAGAAACCAGAAGACCCGCTGGCCGGCGTGCACTTCCTGGCATGCGCTCTTCCAGTTTATAGTACTCCCACACATGTGAAGACCAGCTGGTAGGCGTGCATGCATGCACTGGAACCCAGAAAAGGAACAGGTGATGGATGGCAAGCTTGGTGAGGTGGCTCTGGGTGCCACTTCTGGCATACGTGCCATAGGTTTGCCATCACAGGACTAGGGTGACATGATAGCAATGTTCCAATATCTAAGGGGTTGCCACAAAGAAGAGGAGGTCAGCCTATTCTCCAAAGCACCCGAAGGCTGGGCAAGACACAATGGATGGAAACTAATCAAGGAGAGAACCAAACTAGAACTATGGAGAAATTTCCTGACAGTTAGAACAACTAGTCAGTGGAACAATTTGCCTCCAGAAGTTGGGGGTGCTCCAACACTGGAGATTTAAAAGAAGAATTGGACGATTATTTCTCTAAAATGGTTTAGGGTTTCCTTCTTGAGCAGGATGTTGGACTAGAAGACCTCCAAGATCCCTTCCAAATGTTATTCTGTTATTTCTGCAAAAAACGTTAACTATTCATTAGAATCTGAGTTTTCAATCATGGCTGTATCCCAACATTTAAAATATGGAGGGGCTGGTTATCTACTTCCCACAAATATTAATATTATTCAGGTATGAGCAACATGTAGCCAGAGCACCCTGAACATTATATGCAGTTGTGTTTGTATTTAGCCTCAAGTAACAGAAATTGCACTTTGGTATAATTTTAACATTAATTTAAAAACAGGGAAGGAAAACATATTTGATAAACCTCCGCAGTTGGGAATTCCTGCATGACAAAAGGAAGAGAGAGGCTGACTGAAAAAACTGCATTAAACAGAAACTCGGGTTGACATGATAGAACATAAGATGAATATATTAGATTTGTCAAATGCCAATAGTGCCCTCTTGTGAGAGAAATGTCGAAGTATACAATACAATACTGCAGCCTATATTCATATTTCAAGTCACTCTTCCTTTTGCTGTTACTTTCAAGGTACAACTATATTGTTTTCCTGTTCAGATCTGAAGCAGAAAGAATATTAATGAATTGTTCCTATCAGAAAGATAATTTTCTTCAAATTCTGTTAGGTGATCAAGTGCTGCAAAAAGAAGCAACCAAACAAAAACAAAATAATCTAGTACAAAAAAAAAGAATGTAATTACTTATCTTTACCTAAAATGTTTTTTCTTTTTTTTTCTAATTTTGATTCTATAATCTCTTGTGTCCTGGATGAAGAAGTCTGAGCAGAGAAATTTAAGTAAACAGGAACATAGCCGGCTTCATCTTGTATTTTGTTAAGCAGTGACTTTGCAACTACAGACTTTGTAAAAAGAAAAGGTAGAGAAATAACAGGACATATAGATACCATAATTCCCTCCAATATTAACTATATTGCTACACGTGGAGCAGACTACAGAATACTATTACATTTCCCAATCATGTTTCTTCCATTTCTTCCATTCCATTTCTATGGGCCACAAAAATGTTCATATGCATGTTTTTTTTTCTCTTTTCCCATTCCCACTAAACAAGTTTGTGTTAAAACAAGAATGGCTAATTGCAATGGCAACAGAATGGCTAATTGCAAGGATGGGAAGAAAAGAGTTGAGTCAGATTGGGACTGTAGTATGAAAGACTACTGTCTTGATTAGAACTGGGAACAGGCATTCAAATTGAAGAATGGTGATTAGGCCTACCAGTAGGAAAAAATGTTCAAGTCTTCTTCTCTACAGATGATGCCTCATCTGCCTCACAGCCCTTGTGCTGTTATTTTTAAATAATGAACAATTACACAACACCCAACTATATGGTGGGAGTCATAATTAGATTGGGCCTTAGTCAAGAATGCCTTAATGAACAATCCTTTAAATATCTTTAATAAGTCCACTTAAGTCTGCTACTTTTTTTCAAAACCAAATGATTTCACTGTGTAATCAAATACTTCTTACCTTGCCAACTCCAGTAATTCCTGTGAAGAGCACGGAATGTTTGACAGCTAACAATTTTTCCATTAGAAAGCCATAGCGTACAGTGTCAGTCGTAGGAACAAGCATTTCAAAAAATGGAACTGTCCTTTTGTATTTAAAGGTTGGTATAATTCGCTCCCAAGGATCCAAGCGCCTTGTATCATAATCAATGTAAACACTCCACAAATCACCAGAAGTTGGGAGCTAGAAGGTGAAACAGTTGTGTTAATGTTCTACCAAGGACTAAGAGTAAAAGAATGGAATATGCAGGAAAATGGGAAACCTTCTATTAATAACAGATATAGGAGTTCGAAGCATAAATTGCTCAGATTCTTTGATCCATAAATGAGCAGAAACTACTACTGTAATACATTCTTGGGTTTTTCTCTACAATAATGAATGCAGAATTTTGTTCAGTATCCTCAGAATTTACCATTAAAAAATATCTAAAGCAGGCATTACAACTATGCATTCTGAATCAGCGAATAATCAAGGAAAACTTTATTTATTTCACATGTTTGCCAGTTGTTGTACATGAAGTTTACTTGTTTTATACTAATAATAATATATCTTACAGAGACTAAGAGCCAAGAATGCTGTCTATCAGTCTTTCAGATTATAGAAAATTATATCAATGATGCCATAAGTGCTGTATCTTTATTTATTGTGAGACCTGAAGGGCAGATAGAGTAAAATCACCTTGTTTTCCTCTTCTCTCCCCACCAACCCCAGAAATCAGCAGCAAATGCTGGCAGAGGTGGCAGGAAATGGGGAAGCTGACTCTTTAACATCAGCCCCTGTAAGCAAACCTGAAAAAGAGCTGACAGGCACAGATTGGGTAGAAGTGGGGGAAGTTTTCAGAAAATAAACCAGGAGAGAGAACCAGCCACTTCTCTCTGCTGCTGCAGCATTATGGAACAACCTCCACACCATTCCTGTCTGCTGTGTTTAGCCTATTTTTAAACAAAGGTTTAGTCTACTCAACATTGTTTTAAAAGTAGCTGATCTAGGATTCTGAGCCACAGATATGCTTGGAGACCTCCTTATGAGGAACACCCCAGTTTGAAAGATCCGAAATCTCTTATTGTCTAAATTATAATAGCCCTAGAGAATTGGGTCCAGAAACCAAAGGGGAAGAGAGATGCCTGTACCAACTATTATATAGCCAAATAGTGATATGCATTCCTATCATTTTGGGATAGAACATTCCATTTCCTTCCTAGCCATGCCAAAACATTCCTTGAAAATGTCATTCCAGAGGCGATCCCTATCTTTTAAAATAGAAGCAATTCAAGGCGAACCAGGATGATCCAGCCCCGAAACAGATTAGGAAACTGGTCCAGAACATGTCAAACACTTCTAGTTCAGGGAATTTAATTCCAGAAACTGCTGGATCATCTCCAGTTCAAGAGGCAGTTTAGCAACATCTACAAAGAAAGAGAACTTTCCTGGGTTCCAGAATGTTCTCTTCCCAAATATTCTCTTCCCAAATCTGTGAATTTTGCATATTCCTAGCCTAACATTATTTTAAACGGATGTTTGTTTGAGGTGTAGCTGAATCCAGAAACACTTGTGAATATCTTTTTTATAGGCTGAGATAAAAGGAAAAATGACTCTTGTTTTATTGCAATATGATAATGAAGAGCATTACCACAAATGGCAATAAATTCTTCCCACAATATATTTCATACCTTGGCATCAGGGTTATCCTCAAATTGCTGTCTTACAAATGTATCAAAAGCATCCCAACAGTTCTCCATTACATTTCCACCTACAGACCACAAATAACAGAAGACAAAGGTCTGGCACACAAGAGAATTTAACCGTGATTGTTCCTGTTGTATAAATGAGAAAAGATGATTAGGGTTAGGTATCTAGAAAGATGATTTTGATTTAAAAAAATGTAAGAAAAATATCCTTGAGGAATATGAATTTTGCAAATTTAAATTTATCTTTCCCTGGAAATAGCAGACTACTTTAAGGAATATGTATTCATATTTTAGAATATTTGTTATGCCAGAATGAACAAATGTATTAGAATTTTAATACATAAATTCACAAATAACTAATATTCATAATCGCCAGAAGAAACATAATGCATTTGTACAATACACTCATCCTGAACAATTTGGAAAGCATGATCATGTAACTTTTGATATTTTATTCCCAAATGCTGCCATTGGAGTTTTGAGTTTAGCCTGGACTAATACAGCTTCAAGCCTCTGCAGATCTCCTCAGTTCTGGGGGCTTCAAGGGGCAAAACTGGTGCTAAAAGGATTAATAACACTCCATAAATAATAATTCAAAATATAAGCAGTCCTCGCTTCACTACCGCTATTGGGACTAGCAATATAGTTGTTCAGTGACACATAATGTGTCCATGCCTGACTGACAATATCAGTTCAGTTGTTAAGAGAATCACACAAATGGATAAGCAAAAGTCATATGACAAAGACTTGTGACTTCCTGCTGGTTTCCCCCTTGGCTTATCCTTATCATGTCAGAAGTGAGCTGTGAAGAGTGGAAAGGTAATCATGTGACCACAGAGATGCTGTTATAAATGAATGATCATCAAACAGGGTAGTCTTTAACCAAAGATTACTTGTATACCTTAAATATTAGCCTAATTTTTCCCATTTTAAGGTAGTTGAAAAATAAATGGGATGCCTTAAGCTAACCTACCTAATCAATTTCACTCGTTAACCCCCTCTCTCCCAAACCAATCCAACTTAATCATAATATTACCAGTTTGTGACTCAAGTACAGAACAGAAATAGGAACTATAATCCTGAGCTAAAGAAAGGTTGACAGCTTTCGTTTCCATTCATTGATAACAGAAGAAATACACTTAAACAACCCAATTTTAGATTTGTTTCTCTAATAATGTGTTGCTTTAGAACAACTGTAGAGACGCTTGAAAAGAGTGCACACTATAAACTGAAAACAACCCACAAAAGGCATTTGAGAGTGGTGTCAAAAAGGGTAGAATCAATGGTTCTATTCTATTGGTTTGGCCCGGTTCTGGCATACTGGTAGCGCCGAAGATTGGCTGAGACCGAACCAGTTCTCTCTGACGAGCTGCTGTTGGGCCCACCCGCCAGACCGGGCTCCCATACTCACCTTTATTCCCTGCTTTTGAAGTGTAGCTGCTTTGTGCGGCATAGCAATTGCCGCGCATCAGCTGTTGAAGCTACAGGGATTGCAGGAGGTGAGTAGGAAAGCCTCTGAGCATGCGCAAAGTGTGTATGTGCATGCAAAACTTGCCCACCAAGCCACGCCCACTGAACTGGTGGTAAACCTCTTTGAAACCCACCACTGGGTAGAATCAATAGTTATAAGTTCACACTTAAACATAAACTAGGGGATGTGTCAGGCAAATATAGTTTGAAGAGTTGACATGAAAATTCAATTAAAATGAGATGAACTGAGAAATTTTAAGGAAAAATTAGTTCTGATAATTCATCAATCTATATATTCACAGGTTTCCAGTAAGTTTCTCCTAGAACAATAATGTCAGTGCACATTTGCAATCTCCTGCTTGGGATACAGGTGGTCTTCATTTAATTACCATTCACTCATTGACTGTTCAAACTTGTGCTGAATGAGTGGTAATTATAACAGATCTTTGGAGTTTTGGCTGTTGCTGCAGTAACGTGATCATTTGGGATCCGGATCCTAATTAAGAAATTGCAATGAGCTATAACCACATGGTCACAATCTCCAATGTTCGCTGCCAACTTCCCACAAGGAAAGTCAATGGGAAAGCTAGCAGGACATTGAATGCTGTGGTCAGATGAGATCATTGCTTAATGTCCCATACACTTCTCGTTTAACAAGTATCAAAAAAGAACATACTGAAAGGGTATATATTTCTGCATTTTGTGTTTCCTAGTACGTTATCTAGCATTATCAATACCATTCCACTAAAAGTCATTCCACCACAAGTGAATGCATTTTCATGAAGGTAAGCATGTACATTTACACATACATGCCTTCAAATTGTTACATTCAGAATTTATCTCTATAGCTATCTATCTAATTTTGTATCTTCTTAAGCAACAATACCACTAATACAATAGGCTTTCTCTACATAATGCTTCAGGCAGAAGCATTAGGCGCTGCTATATTAAAAGTAGAAAATACTGGTATCATAACTCTCAGTTGGTTTGGGGGAAAAAACATTTTTCCTGTGCTTGGCTTCTATAGAGCAAACTATGCTATACGTATATTAAACAGATGGCTGTGATACTCTGCATTTCTTTGAAACCAACAAATGAAGCTTTTTTATTTTTTTTTCTTTTTTTCCAATACATTTTTTATTTTTATTTCTTTAAATACATCTTGGGGTGAACAGTGTGGTTCCAGATCTTTAACATTTTAAAGCAAACGTGACCATAATTACATATTCTATTAACTTTCTTATCTGATTTCATATTATTACCTATTACCAATCTTTTCATTCAATATTCTTATGTTACTTTATATCAATTTCTATATTCTTAATATCATTTTAATACATATTCTTGTAATCATCATATTTGCAAATTTTATCATATTTTATCATTCAATTAATCATTCCTAAATTCATCTTAGTTTATATTATCCAGTATTTATCCCTTTTAATATTAATTTTGCCACCATTATATTTTTAATACCAAGTCCCTCTCTAATCTCATTACATTACACAAATCATACTTTCCCTTTTTCATTTAACAAATGATACATTCTAATAACAATATAATCATTTTTATCTATTACCATATACTATATACATATATGTTCGCCATCAGGTTCCACATGGCATTTCCTTCCCCATATTATCATATTGGTTTTCTTGCATATTCCTTAAACAATTATATATCTTAAATAAATAACAATCCTATAGTAAAGTCTTATTTTCATATTTATTCCAATTAAAATATTAATCCTTGCTTTTATTCTAATTAATATTTTAGATATCTTTAATAATAATTCTATAAGTATTCATTAACAAAATGAATATTTAACAAAATCAATAATTATATATCTTAACTAATAAAACACCCATTCATGTGGAATCCTTATCCTTCCCTTCTTCATCCATTGTCTCTTACTCTCCTTACAATGTTAGTTATTCTCTTCCTGGCTTGCCTTCCATTTTCTATCATTTTTTGACCCTTTCTCTTACTCTTTCCTCCTTTCTCTATTGTTTCAGTTTCTTCTTTTTCCGATTATCTGGTTTTACCCCCACCCTCTCCAAATCTTCTTTCTGTAGTTTCCTTTCCTATTGCTTTACCTTCAAAATAGTCTCCCCTTGATTTATTATATTAATCATTAACATTTTAAATTTGATTTCCTTTTTGTCTTTTTGTTTTATTTGTTGCTCCCTTTGCCCTGTGTTGCTGGTTTCTCTGTTATTTAATTCCTCCTCCTCCTCCTGCATTCCTTGTTCTTTTATAGATTGCGTCGCCATTTCCAAATTTTCTTTCATGCTCTGTATTTTATTCCGTAAGTCCAAGCTTCTGTTTATCATTTCTTTTATAGTTTGAAATTCCACTATTTCTTTGTATATTTCGCTCATTTTTATTTTGCTTATTTTTTGTGTGTGTCCAAGTATCCAATTGTCCCACAGTCTTTATTTAAACCAGTGTTTTTCTTCGATCTACAAGTCCAATCGCCTTAAGTCTTTATTTCCCAAGTTTAATCAGTCTATTCCTTTTCAAAAATTCAGGGATAGTATCTTCATATATTCCACCACCATTTTAAATTTTAATGTTCCAATTTTCTGAGGTCTTGTTGTAATACAGTTCCTTTTATTTTCTTCTAAATTCACACTTTAAATAGGTCATAAAGTTTAAGGGATCTACAGGGTTTTTTTAACAGCAGATGGCACTCTTATTCCAGTTTTAACTTTCTACCTTTTTTTTCCATTTCTTTAAACTTTCATCAAATATGCCAACTTTTTCAAATGCTATTTTTTTCCACAGTCAATTTTAGCATTTTAAATAATGCCTATCCAACACCAAATCCTGTACAATCACCAATCCCAATTTTATGCTCTTTTTTCTAAAAGTTTTCTCTTTGGATTTTTTCCCTCCCGTTTAAGTTTTAAAAATTAAATTCTTTACGTTTCCCAAATTTTTTTCTAACTTTAAAATCACCGACAATACATTTCTTTGTAAGATCTTTTTCCTGTTATTTTTATCAGGGTAACCTTTTATAGTTTGAAGTATTTTCACCCAGTCCACACACCATTCACTGCTTCTTCGCTCCAGCAAAGTCTTGGGTTTTCAGACTGCCTCCCATCTTCATGGCAGTCATTTTGGCTACTGCTACAGCTCATCTTTGGAGGTTTTCTTGCTGGGGAGGAAAGATGCAGCTCTCCTCTACCTGTCAGGCAATCCCACTTTCTTCACCACCACCCCAGGATGGTTCTGGTCCCAGTTGGGTCCCTCCCACAAGGAAAGCTCGGAGTGAAGCCACAAATTATTGCGGACTTCACTCCGACTACGACAGAAGTACAGCTGGAACAGAGGGCGGAGCTGGCGTCGTGACGATACGGCATGCGATCTTGGAGATCTGAGATCGCAGCTGATATCTTTGCTCCTGGACGGCCCAAGTGGATCTAAACCGTCCCGAAGAGATGGTGAATGTAAAGAGCGCATCCTGTCGATCCCAGGGATATAGCAAAGTCCCTGGTAGATCCAGGAGAAGCTCTTTTTGCCAGAGGCAAAGAGGCAGCCATTAAAGCTGCTGAAGTTGGGACAGCTCCGAAACGAAAGAGAACGAAAAGAGAAAGTGTGTCAGTTTAGTGAGAACTTTTCTTTATTTTAAGATTTGAGAGGGAAAGAAAGAA